TTAGGCTAAGTATACCGTCGAACTAGGTTAAAGTTATAAAGCGTTATACTATTAACTAAATAAGACTAAAAATTAATAAGGTATATTACTTAATAGTAGCCTCGTCCCGGCCTTCATCGCGAAGACGTTAGATCTTAGCTTAGTAGTATTCGTACGTATAGAGTCCTACGATTATATAAGTGACGGTGATTAATCCTGAGAGAATCTAAGTATATAACTATAGCCGTTTCTAGACCTATCTTATAGCGTCTTAGCCTAAGACCGCCGCCCCGCTTACTAAAGTATTTTGATATTAATAGCTACTAAGATCGTGATCTAGTAGTGACACCTAAAACGCTAAATATATCTCTTTTATCCATCGCTAAGTACTTCAATACTAGCGTTCGTGAAAGAGATCTATAGCCTATTAGAATATAGCGAGGCGCTATCTCTACTGGTAGTTAAGACGATAACCGAGTACGGGATCGTCACGGTTATATATATACTAGATATAATATAAAATCTAGATCTAATGCTAGGTGTAGAGACGGATAGTCTTCTAATACTGTTAGCTATAAAACGGTTTCTTATTAGATAATTAGTTAATTTCTTAATAGTTTAATAACTAGAGCGCTAATAAACCTATTATCGATAGATAGTAAATCCATTAAGCGCGAGAGATTATCTTCGCCGTTATTCAATATACTCGCTAGAGTCTAAGTTTACGGGCTTAACTCTCTCCCTCCTCGGCCTTATCCTCGTAACCCTTAAGATAGATGGACGGTTCTCGCTAGGGGAGTTAAATTAACCTAGGAAGCTAAGCTCTTATATAGTACTAGAGATGATATTTCTATCTAGTCTACTCTAACTATACGTTCGTAGTATAGCGATACTTACTAGTCCTAATAGTCTTCTACTATTAGTATTCTTCTAGAGTACGCCGATATTCTATAAGTATCGCTTTCCTACGCTATAGTAGTTTATCTACCTATAGAACGCTATAGTCACTACTCGGGGGTTAAGATTAGTTGATAATAAAGAGTCGAGACTACGGTTTAAAATGGAAGAAGGTTTAGCACCGTTATCCCTCTATCTATAGTCGATTTAATAGATGCATTTACTTAGTGCGAACGTCACCCCCTTACCTCTACTTATTTCGCTAACCGTATTTATTAGTATAATGCTTTTATATAGATTAAGTAGTCTAAAAAACCTATCTATAATGCCGCCTATTCTCCTTAACCCTAAGACATTATAATCCATTATTAAAGACTTCGAGCTATAGAAGGTGATAAGTAGTAGGCGTAGAATATCGTATATTATAGAGTTCGAGTACTAGATTAGATAAACTCTCTACTACTTAGATAATTTACTAGCGAATAGTTAGCGAGAGGTGACTATAATACTATTTAAGGTATCCTAATACTTAATTCGGGATAGGATAGAATTGACACTATTAATAGTAAATTATACGGTATTATACCTAGTGCTTAAAGATACTCTCGAAATACTCTATCTTTCTGGCCTTAAAGATAACTATAAAGGGTAATATATGACCTAATTAGCTACTAATGTACCTTCAGATATATAGAGTTTCGTATTTCTACGCGTATAGTTCGTATAACGATAGACGATTATGTCAGCTACCGTAACTCTAACTCTTTTTCGTCCACCGTCTAGATATCGTTAACGCTACCCTAAGATAACTATAATACGATAACTATAGCTCCTAACGCGATATAATTACTCTCGGTATACTCCTCGCACTCGATTTACTCTCTCTATAAATTATCGGCCGGAAATTTTAACGAAAACCATAAACCTTTGACCTTTGAAAAGTAAACCTTTAATCTCTTTGCCCTACTAAGCCCTAGCTACTCTAATTAGGCTATTTAAACCTTAGACCCTACGATGTTTATATAATAATGTCAGAGTTATATAAAGAGGAAGAGGATCCTAGAAGTAATATCTAGTGAAATAGACTAGATACGCTAAACTAACGTAAGAACCGGCCGACGCGCTATAAGACTCTACCGCGCTAGATATATACGAGACTTCCTAGGTAAGTATAGAGGGAGGGAGAGAGGTGATATAATAGGTTAAACCTAGGAGAAGGCTTAGTTCTAGTGAACTAGCACTAAGACTAACGCTAGGAAATACTATCTCCTAATTAGTCAAGATTTACCTATATAATATATAGGCGAAATACTACCTCCTAATTAGTTAAGACGCATATGGTATAAGGGATATAAAGTCCTAATAGTTAAGACACTATATGTAAGGGAAGGTAAGGAGTTAGAATAAGTACGTAAGGGAAGGTAAGGAGCTAAAATAAGTACGTAAGGGAAGGAGTAAGGAGGTGAGGATAATAGTTACCTCCTTACGGCGCGTTAGAGGATATAAGGAGAAAGGAAGGATAGTCATTCCTTCCTTCTCTCTCCTTAGATTTATCCTCCTTATTACTAGGTTAGTTAGCTAGTTATAGAACTCTTTCTAAACCCTCATATTTCTATTATAAAAAAAAAGAGAGAAAGTTAGTTAATAAATCTTAGAATTAAAGGAGCTCTATTAGAGAGATATATATATCCTTATTAGTAAAATCTAAGTCTATTAAGGCATTATCTAGTATTAATAGTAAAGATACTTCCCCTACACTATCGAGAGAAGTAGCGTTAGCTAGCTCTAGAGTCATATATTAATTTTATAGATAGTTAAATTCGTCGAAGTAACTATTAGATATAAGGTCTAGGAGAGAGTATTTCTTAGGAAGCGTTCTCTATTATTATAAAGTATAGATTTACCTTAGTTTTAGGTATAGAGAGCCTCTATATTAGATAATATTAAATAGCGTAATTACTAGTATTACTTTAAAAGTCGAATTTATTATAATAGAGGATAAGTAATCTATATAGTAATTCTTATATCTAAGAAGAGGGAGTAGTAATACTCTTTTATAGTTAGTATATAAAAGCTACGTTACTCTACTTATAAGTATCTCTACCTACCTAAAATAGAGAACGTAGTATTCTATATTAGACTAATATCCACCTACTCTAGTCTAATATTCCCCCTTATTTAGCCTCTAAGTCTACTCTCTAGATAATAGTAGCGGAGTAGTTTACGTATATTAATAATCTAATCCCTAAATTCAATATATTCCTATATAGGTAGATTATATCTCTTATTAAGGAAGAAGTATACCGCTTTTAGAGAGGTTATCACCTCTAACTTAGTTATATTAGTAGATTACCTATTATAGGAGTAGTATTACTTAATCTATTAATCCTAGGCCTTAGATTTATCTATTATTCTAAACTATAAGGTAGATTTAATATTATTAAATAGAATCTAGTAGAAAGATTATCTCTATAGATAATATTATAACGACTATAGTAGTATTCTAGACTACTAAGTATTACTTCTTCCTCTATCCTTAAACTTAGCTAATAGATAGGATATAGAGTACTCTAAGTCTACCTTAACTCTATTAACTAATCTCTACTTAGATATAGTTAACTAGCCCTATTCTAACTAGATTAGTATAAGAATAATAGTATATAGCTTAGTTAATTTTAAAGTTTGTAAGGGGTAGGATAGAGCCTAACGTAAAAGGAAACCCTTATAGAGAGGATTTATCTATATTAATGCGCACCTACTTAGGAGCCTTCTTAAAGGATAGCCTTTAGGTATCTAGAGGAGAGACTAAGTTAGAATATATCGCTAGAAGTAAGTATTAACTACTCTAACTTAATATACTTCTCTATTCTATAAGTAAGAGTCTAACTTAAGATAGAATAACTTAATTTTCTATTAAAGGATTATCTAGGACTTAATTTAGTTAATTAAATTACCTCTTAAGGTACCCTATTTACTTAATATATACTAATATTAGTTCCTTAACTTACCTTAAGACTAAGTATTAAGGTAAAGTTAGGTCTTAACCTATAGAGTCTTTTAAGACGCCCTTAGAAGTTACTAAGCTCTATACTCTTTAACTTTTATCTAACCTAAGATAATAGATTAGATATTAGAATATAGTATAGCTATAGCTTAGCTCTAACTAACTTTACTTAAGGTAAGTAATATTAGAGATTTCACTATGTTTAAAGTTAGTTAAGGAACTCTAGATATTATAATATCGTATTAAGCCTCTATAGTGGAGATCTATAGACCTTAATATATAGATATCCTAGTCCTTAAGTTACTTAGGATTAGTGCGTAAGTCGAGAGAGCGCCATTAAGAAGCTAGGGCTATCTAGTAGTTAGGAGGACTAACTGTTAAAATACTAGATCTTACTAGACCTTAAAGGATTTACGTAACGCTAATAGACTTTAGTACGTATATCTATAGTTAATATTAAGTTTCGTTAGATAACTATAGATATATAATCTTAGGAGTACTCTATTAAAATATAGTCGCCTATCTATAGCGGCTAATAACTTAATCCTTAGGGCTTATATAGGTGTATAATTTAGGATTTAATACCTATCTATAGTAAATAATTAGCCTACTAATTTTAGTCCTAAGATTCCGTTAGGAATATCAAATATTTTACCGTAGTGTTTTTAAATATTTCACGGTTACTATAGAGTCTACCCACCCTATATAATTAGTCCTTCTAAATATTTCACCATGAAATATTTACGGTATTACTGATAGGGTACCACTTTAGCTTAGTAGTCTTTCTTTTATTATTTTCTAGTCTAAGTAGATAGAGGACAGCAAGACAATCAAAAAACTGCTTTATAAGATGTGAACGCGCCTGTTACCTACCACCGTACGAGTTGGCGCCTATGGCTAGAAGCCTCGCCCCAGTTCATTAGTCCTTCTAAACATTTCACCGTGAAATGTTTGCGGTATTACTGATAGAGCCTAGAAAGGAATTCCTTTGATATCTAGTTACTACACGACTTAAAGTCTTAGAGAGGTGTAGATCTCTTAGGCGTGTCATATACGCTCTTCTACCTGTGGGTAGCCCTATCTTAGTATCTATAGGGGCCCAATTATAGAGTATGGAAGACTAGGCCTTCTAATCTAGTTATTTATGACATCCTTATTCCATAGTTATCACGATTTTCCCAACATGACCCATATTCCAAGCATACTATTAAAGTGATTAGAACTATTCGCAGAGAGATCCATTCCTCACTCACCTCATAAGCGGATTTGGCATCTTCCAACCTGAAGACCTTTCTGTCTATCAAGGGCTTGATGTTATTGGTCTGTATGGCACGTAACATATTGGAGAACTGTTGGCGAGTTCCCACAGCCACGCCTCGCACTGTACAGAGACGGCGAAAGGCTTCCATCAATACTGGTTCTTGGTTAAAGTGGCGTCCCAGATAGCCAACAATTTCGATGTGACCGCCGCGTCTAACGCTGTTGAGACTCTGCTGCATCGTTGCAGCCCCACCAACCTCGACAATACAGTCGACACCCTGTCCAGCAGGCGTCAAGGATCTTGCTGTAGCACCCCAAGCTGGATCTTCTTTATAGTTGATAGTATGATGTGCCCCCAGCCTTTTAAGAAGGGAACATTTTTCAGGTGAAGACGTTGTGGCAATTACCATTGCACCAGCGGCGAGGGAAAATTGTAAAGCGAAGATGGATACGCCTCCAGTGCCCTGTGTCAAAACGACCTGCCCCGGCTGGAGGGGTTGGAGGCCGTAGAGCGCGTTCCATGCAGTCAGCGCTGCACACGACAATGTGGCTGCTTCGGTGAGGCTCAGATTGGACGGTATGTCCATCAACCCTTCTTCGTTGAACACTCCGTATTGACGGAGAGTTCCATCATGTAGGCCTCCCAACCCAAAGCTTGTGCCTAAGGTAGCAGCTCTGGTAGATCCTACTGGCTCTTTCTGGTTGAAAACCGTAACCACCTTGTCGCCTGGCTGGAAGTATGTCACATATTTTCCTACACAGACAACTTGCCCTGCTCCATCACTACCTGGGACAACATTCTCTCGCGTACCTTTCAAGATGTTAAGGAATTCGCTCGAGAATAAATACGAGATCAAGCACATACCGAATTTATATTGACCCTAGAATCAATATTCGTTATTATTATTTCGTACTGTCTTCCAGACACGACCGTTACTACTCACCTTTGCAACCATCAAATCTCGATAATTAAGAGACGCAGCATGGAACTTGACGAGAATATCGTGGTGTCCAAGATCAGGAATTGGAATTGCTTCTTGCCATTCGAGGCTGTCAAAATTTTCATTGATATTGGCCCCGCTACGAACTATCCAGCCTTTGGTATATGACGGCAGTCGGCCTTCGGCATATTCAATGTTGTTTTGCATAGTCAAAGCGAGGTTTCAATGGGATGAAAGGCTTGGTGTAAGACGCATAAAATCTTTTGGAGAGGGATTGAGGTAGAAATTGATTTATGTATGGATTGCTCTCTCGAAGCACCTTCTCCATTACTAGGAACTTATGAGGGATAGCTCTGTCCCCTCATATGTTCAGCCACTCGCTTTTTGGGTCTAAGATAAGGAGAATCATGGCCTCTTCTGGGCACGCGGTCGAAAAAGATATTTCAACTAGCTAGGCTACTAGTGTTACCCACACTATCACCACTATCCGGCTAGTTGTCCACAAATGGGCGTGAATTGTGAGAGGTGGAGCTTTACCGTACTGTGTCGCACAGTACCTCGTACGCTCTCCTATTGTCACCAATCTTCGATCAAAATCACTAAATGAACTCTTGAACTACTGACATTTCCCAAGTGATCAGTACCCATGCTATATCTTATCTATTGTACCAGTCGAAACGTTGGCTTTTCGCCCTGTGGGGTTAAGCGGAGCATGTGTCGGCGTCCTGTCGCTCCTAGGGGGTAATCTAAGGTGACGGAATGCATGACCATACGGTTGTCGTACACCACAACGGTATCCTCTTCCCACTTGACTCGGGTGTGGAAGTCAAGACCGCTCTTAATATGATCGTACAAGATCTTCAGGATGCCGTCACTCTCCTCCTTCTTCAAGCCTACAATTTGGCTCACGTACACTGGGTTGACCCACAGTGCCTTACGACCCGTGACTGGATGTGTACGGATAACGGGGTGGACTGTGTCGAGAGCCTCACGGCGGACGATGTTGGTCTTATGGGCAGTGACCGTTTGTGGAGTGCCCGCATGGATAGCTGATAACCCTTCCAGGAACTTCTTCATGGGTTCTGAGAGCCGGTCGTAAGCGGTCATAGCGTTCAAATACAAGGTATCACCACCACAGTCGGGAGTGGTGAGCGCACAAAGAAAGGTTGTCCCGGGCGGATTGCTATTCCAAGAAGTCAGCGAAAAATAAGTCATAGAGATGTAGGAGACAACCTACATCTCATAAGTCATGTCTGAGTGCCATCCTAGAGTGTTCAATTTGCCCGAGGTAGTGTGGTCAAAGTAAGAGTCGTTATTGTCTCGAAATAAGGTGGAAAGCTCTGGGTGGTCCTTGACATGAGTTCCGAACTGGTGGACATGCAACCTGCCGAAGTGTGTGCCGTACTCTTTCAGCCACTCAGGACTATGGTAGGTGAAGTCTTGCTTGCGGAAAATGACCATACCCCGCTCGGCCACGTACAAGGCTAGTTCATCCTTCTGTGCTGGCGACAGGCGACTTAACTGGGCGTCGAAAACCTCAGTGCCGATATTGGGTGTCAGATCCCTCCTGTTCCTCAAAACTTCAAACAGCGCTCTCTTCTCTGGGTCAGCACGGGAGGCAGGGTCGACGTGATCAAATGGCGTCAAAGGCGGATCCGCTGTGGCTGTGTTGTAAGGGAGAAAGTGTTTCCATTTGTACTGAGCGATATTAATACTTTGATTTCTGGCACTGATACAATCCTAACACAAACCTCTTCTTTGGTATAGTCCTTGCAAGTCTTTTGTGGGATCTCCGTCGTGCCCTTTGGGTTTAGAAGGATGGGCACCAGTGTTGAAGGAAATTTGAATTCCTTGGGCGGAACATAATTGGGATTTGGTGCTGTACAAGACCACCATGTATGTTTCTGTTCCTCTGGATCTTGCATGCGTATCTCCCTCGTCTCCGTATTGAGCTCAGCCCCTCTCAGAGTGACAGTCACACTTTCAACTTGACTCATTTTTCTATTGTACGCCTTGTTTGGATAAGAAGATGAATATAGGCACAAAAAAAGCCAAGGCTAGATTGTTTTATATATGTCGTCTCAATTTCACAAGATCTTTTATGAAGTGTAATGACTCATCAAACTCTCTAGCCCAGTCATATAGTGATAGTGTCTAAATATCTACTACAGGCAACTCGTAACACAAGCCTAATATGGAAATGGGATTGCGCTTTTAGTTTAAAAAGACAAACTCTATGATCCCTCTGGGGTATGAGCAAAGTGGATGGGGCTATCGAGTCAGTAGTATCTTGATAAGGACATTCTATTCCACCCGAGAACTCAAGCGGAACACCCTTGGGCCACGTAGACAGAGATGGGGGTGGCAAAATTCCTTACAATGGAGATAAGTGGGGGGAACCCTAAGTCGAGCTGCTCGTCGTATCCATAGTAATTGTTTGTCACCACCTCGGGACGTGAGTTGCTTAGCATCTACAGCATCATCGGACAAGATAGGAAGCCCTAAATTCCATTGTGAAGGTGGATACGCTGGTGGCTAAATTTCCTCATCCATCCTAGTGTAGAATTCCTAGCCTTGGTGAACCCCAAAATGCCCCGCCTCACTAGCCGTTGCCTTGGACTTGTCACTTTTATCAAGGCCTCTCAACACTTTATTTGGTAGAGACAGACCCCATGGCCAGTCTCGCCCACATTTGTACAGTACACCCACGTTGACTTTACGATCTAGGCCTCGGATTTGTGGTGCCCGCCTCGAATATCAATTGACACATACGGCCTTCGCACTCATGAGCGGGGTTCCACCACGGTCTGATCCTAAACTTCTCAGAAGGCGAGAGAATAAGTCAACTGCAATTGGCTAAGCTTCTTCTATCAGTACGCTATCGGTATATCTACCGCAACAATGGCTGATATGGGAAATAGGTAGTAGATATCTGCACGCGCTTCTGGATTGACTGCTTTTGGATTCTTATCAAGGGCTTATCATTCAGCACGAGTGAGAGCAGGGCTAAGCTCCTTGACACCTACAGACCGCGCAAGTACAAAATCCAGCAGATCCCTCCAGCATTTCGACTTGAGAAATTCAAGCTAAAGACAGAATCACTGTTCTACGACTCTGACACACGATCATCATCAAGATGGCTCCTCGTCTGGAGAGGAGGTATGTTTCGAAGCTGGTTCCAAGCTCCGAGTTCATGCTTTTCATTGTCATTGTGGGAACATCATTCGCCGATTCGGTGGTACGTCCAGACCAAACCGTGTGTCTTCATGTATTTGGATACTAACCTCCCTGACTGGCGCAGTTGACCGGATACGACAGCTCCCTTATGGGAAGCTTGAACGTAATGCCGTCATATAAGTCATACTTCACGCTTACCACAGCCACGACGTCCCTCAACACGGCGAGCTCTTACCTTGGTGGATGTATAGGTGCCTTTTTCGCCGGACACCTCACCGACTGGCTGGGTAGGAGACGAGCAATATGGTCGTCCTCAGCCATCACACTGATCGGAGCCGCTTTTCAAGCCGGCGCCGTAAATATCACTATGTTCATCATTGGCCGCATCATTGTCGGCATTGGTATGGCCGTCGCCGTAGTAGCGACGCCGACATACGTTGTTGAGGTCGCAAGAATGTCATACCGCGGTTTCGCCCTGGGACTGTACTATTCCTGCTGGAATGTCGGGACTTTGATGGCGTCTGGTATCTGTTATGCGGTAGGCTTGATGTGAGACTTCCGCACTCATGACAATATGGCTAACGTGCATTCGTCCAGACCAATGACTGGATTTCGACATGGGGCTGGAGGTTGCCGAGCCTGCTGCAAATTGTACCCAGTCTATTTGCTGCGGGAATCGTGTTCTTCATCCCCGAGTCGCCACGCTGGCTGATCGGACAAGATCGCCACGGAGAAGCCTTGGAAGTGCTGGCCATCGTCAACAGTGGAGGAGACAAGGAGGATCCGAAGACGCTCTTGCAGTTCCGAGAAATCAGTGATACTATCCGCTGGGAGAAGACCGAAGGCCGTCAGCTCACTCTGGTCCAAGCGTGGACGAACAAGTCTAACCGCAAACGTCTGCTTCTGGCTGCGACCTTCTCAATAGTTGTGATGCTCTGTGGCAACAATACCATCACCTTTTATTTTGGCGACATGATGACCAAAGCCGGTATCACGGACTCGACTACCCAACTCGAAATCAACATTATCTTGACATCTTGGGGTCTGGTAATCTCCGTTGTGGCCTCATGGTACACCGACCGACTTCCGAGAAAGGGATTGGCGTGTACCAGTCTGGGTCTACTTTCGCTCTTCATGTTTGCCTTGGCTGGCATGACGGCGAAGTTTGGAAACTCGACGGATAAGTCAGGCATTTATGGGACTATCGCAATGATCTTCCTCTGCAAGGCGGGATACGATATCGGCATTAATCCGCTAACCGTTTTGTATCCGGCCGAGGTCCTATCGTACCAGATCCGTGCCACAGGCATGGGTCTATATGCTTTGACTACCAAGATGGGCGGCCTCGTCTCAACCATGGCCATTCCTTTCTCGTTGAAGGCCATTGGCTGGAAGACGTACTTGATTTTCGGAAGTGTCGACATCCTCTACATTGTCCTCATTGCCATCTTCTGGGTCGAAACTCGTGGACTGACACTCGAGGCAGTGGACGTGAAATTCGGTGGCGTCAAGCACTCCGATGTTCCTGACCTCGGCGACCTTGACAAGGCCGACACCAAAATCACTATCGAAGGCGTCGATCTCAGCCCACGTGGCCACACTGAGGAAGCAGGAAGCGTTGACCTCAAGGTGGTGGCGCTTTCAAAGGCGGCCGATGTGTGAACAAAGGTGGAGACTGCGGGCGCATCCGTAGGTCGTATTGCTGGCAGTGCAAGGAGAATGAAAGAGGTTGTGCATGTCATTCCAGATACTGAGATTTTGTTTCCGAAAGCCCTACCCATAGTCACCCCTTGCTCTTGAGAGATGCTGATCTCAGTCCAAAGATAGTTTACATCTGGCCAGGCGCTTCTGAATAGGAGTTGTGTTATTTATTCTATTCTGTCATTCATTCTTGCCATGTTTCTTGGATCAAAGTCATGGTCTCGTCTCTCGTCATACAAGGAAATACCTTCCTCAACTCGTCGTTTCTCTCCGTTACCCACTTCTTATCTTCCTGCGCGCAGACACCACTTGCTAATAGACACAGCGGAGTAGATGTCCGCGAACTAGGGTTACAAGTAACCGGGATCGTCTTCATCAAGGTCATAATGATAGTGACTGTCTCTTGCACTCGTGGGGACCATTTGGGATCCTTGTAGATTTGGAGCTGTAACACCAAATGCGCACACCAATACCAACACTGGCCCAAGGTGTGATAGTAGATAGCTTCTGGTCCGGATTCTCTTGCGTAGTCACCGTTTAAGTCCAACACAGCCATACTTTCGCCATACACTCGCAGCTCCGTTTCGATCTGAAAGGCAGCAGCCAGTCCCTTGGAGAACGACCCGCTTTCGTCGGACAAGTCGGATCTCAGGTGACAAAGGCGCGCCAAAAACACCCAGAGCGGCTGGGGACAACCCGTCATCTCGCGGAATGGCGGTTCTGACACGTCCAATTTAGGATCGGGCCAGAGAAACCAACAGGTTAGGGACAGGTAGGGCCGTCGGTTTTGCGTCAATGAAGTCGTAATGTCCAGCATGGCAAAGCGCTGGAGTAAGAACCGCAGGACAAACCCTTCGCATGGTGTATCGAGGATGTTCAAGCTCTGGAGGAAATGTAGAGCGATATTGAGATGAACGTCGACGCCAACCAAGCCTATGAAGAAGCTGTTGGCAACCTGCATCAACACCGCGGCCAGCATCACTAGATCCGTTTGGAAACATTGTTGACCGCTGGGAGATGAGTCGCGTTGAATCTCGATCCTGTTCGAGGTCAAATCCACATTCATTCCGCCGATAGCCTTTCTCAAAGAATCTAAGGCTAGATGCTGTCGCTGCAGAGTTCTTTCAGCACTGACTCGGCCCCAGTGGAACATCCATTCGATTGCGTGCGAGACGATAGTGTTCCCTACCAGAGGCGAGGTCATTGCCATCATGGAAAACTTGCGGTATGGGTTCTGTGCGCCATCATAGGCCACCATATTCCCGCACCGCTTCCAGAGCCCTGCGAGTGCGAATTAGAGCAGATCACTCTGATAGCGGACGATCTCCACCTACAATATTCAAGAGCAAGCCTTTCGTCATATGACTGGCAAACGACCGAGAAAGGCACTGGAATCACTCTCGTAGGCCGTGGTGTATGAATTTGGACTTGGCCCGCCAGATGATCCTGGGCGAGACCATCATCTATCTCGTCACCCTCAGCGGCGGCGGCGTCGATGTGGGGGAGTGTTTGTTGCTGAGAATATCGGCGGAATCCAAAGTCCGCGGCTTCAGAACCACTCTTTCGCTGCAATAAAGCTGTTGCGGGCTTCTGCGCAAGGACTACAGGTCCTTTCGTAGCTTCTCCGTCGTGATTTTGGGCAATCTCTTCGTTCAATAGTGAACTTTGACGTTTCCGTTTGGGCCGCCGCGCTTCCGGTGCCCTTGGTGACGGACGAATAAAGGCCCACCTAAAGCGATTATCGTAATCGCAGTCGACCCCTCTTCTCCAGCAGCCGCCACATTGTGGTCTCTTCTCATCACACTTGCGACGACAGCGTCGGCACACCGCACATCCTAGAATTTTGCGCTCAGCCGTCGGTACGTAAAGGTCATCAGATAGGGCACGGGAAAACACTGCTTAACTCAGCAAAATTTACTAACCTGTCCGAGATCGCGTTTCTGTCATCGCTGATCGAAAGTTGTTCGAGGCAGGGCGCCAAAAATTCCCAGAGAGGTGAAAACGTGGGAAAAGGAGCTGCACAGAGCGCAATCGACCTAATGTGGATAAACTGGGGGAGGAGATGAACCAGGGTATATCTCGAGTTTCGAGACCCTGATATCGTCCCTCATTGGGGGCTTCCGTCGTCGCCATTCTCCGACCAGGCCTCGTGACGTCGCTTACCAGTGGTCCAAGATATGAGCAGTCAACCTCGGGAATTGGGCTAGCGGCTCGAGATATCTAGCCGATATTTGGCTAGTGAGGCTACCGATGGTGCTGGTTGTTGGCTGGGAACCGGCAAAAGTCAGGGAACTGGTTGACGAGTGCCATATTAGCATTCCAGGCATAGACGAATGAAATCTCAACATGGCACATTGGGACTTGTGATAGATGTAAACCCAACTAGCTACTATAGCGCCCTGCCGGAAGCTACGCTGAAAGTGCTGGAAGACGGCAAGAAAATACTCGAGATATTTCCTCAGATAACACGGAGTAGCTTTTGCTCATCTCCGCGACCCACTGCCGCCCCTCTGGCACAGATAAGTGCCTACATTGCCATATTCATACTAGGCAATCCACTTGCCGACAAGGACCCCTCGGGTTCTTCTGATTGCATGTCTGGAATACTCGCTCTCCGCATAAGCCAGTCTGTAACCTAAAAGGGGGTGAATTCATAGATGCACAACCTAAATCAAGATGAATCATTGGAACGCCCTGTTGCAATGTCAAGCCGCTTGATTGTCCCTGTGATCAGAGAGTAGACCACAACATCCCTCTGATAACACCATCTTCGGATCAGTAGACGGCAATGCGGAAACGCTGGTTCGGTAATAGCCGACAGTCTTAAGTTGTGCATTCCAAAAAATCAATATAACCAGGTGAAGGCCACCATGATAGTATGATATTACTACCGCCTTGAGAAATTTTTCGAATCCTACCAGGAAGAAGAAGAAGCACAATGGCAAAAGCAGAGATTCCCGTCATATCATTTGAGCCGTTCCTCAAAGGCGACTCAGAGCAAAGAAAGGCTGTGGCCGATCAGATCTACCGAGCATTCCACGACATTGGGTTCCTTTACTTGAAAGACTCTGGTATCTTGCAGGGAAGAGTGGACAGCATTTTTACTCTGGTGAGTCATGTCTCTCAACGTTGAGAGTTCCCCGCTCTGGCAGAGTGTGGATGTGGGCTGATCCAAGGCACTCACAGGCAAGACAATTCTTCGATCTGCCCTTGGACTTCAAAAAAAGATATACTATTCGAGATCCAGCCGAGAACCAAGGCTACTCACCTAAACTAGCAGGCGATCATCGAGAGTCGTATGAGCATCGGCGCTTCACCAACGAGCTCTGTCCAACCTCTCAAGAGTTGACTGATCACAATCCGGAAATTGCGAACTTTCAAGTGATCATGGACGAGTTCTACAAAGAATGCTTCGCCCTGTCGGAACAGGTACTTAAGTGTCTGGCACTGTCCCTGGGCCTCCCTGGTGGGGAGCATTATTTTGACTCAATGATGGAAAGATCCGATCCGCAACTGCGTATCATGCACTATCCCCCAGTGCCAGCTGCCAGCGTCACGGCGTCCAGAGGGGCAGATGACGCTGGTGAAAAGAGGGCCAAGCCTCACTGTGACTATGGCTTTTGCACGCTATTGTTCCAAGATGGGGTTGGAGGCCTCGAGGTTGATCCATTTCACACAGGGAACTATATCGCGGCTAAGCCTATTCCTGGCACGGTCTTAATCAATATTGGCGATTTGCTTCATAGACTACTCAACGGCCGTGTCAAAAGCACACTTCATCGAGTTGTTGCTCCGGCGGTGGAAGTGGCCGACGAGTCTGGAATGCTGCCATCGAGGTATTCAATTCCTTTCTTTGTCCATCCCGATGAGAGGGCCAACATCAACCCTATTGTCTTGAGCGACCAAGAGGAACAGCTTTACAAGGGCGTCAATGCAGGCATCTGGAGGGCATGGCGTACTTCGAGATTTTATAATGTGCCCGAGAAGGAAAAGTATTTCCTCGACCAGCTTGGAATTGCCCATGAACTTGTACGCACTGCCATAATCAATTGAAAGCGCGGGACAGAAAATTGCGACTATTTGGTGGTATGGGATTCACGAATACTGGTAATCTACTATTCTGTTGTTTAGAACTCTCCAGGCCACCAGGCTCGCTCAAAGCCGACCATATCAGTCTCACAACCACAACCACCCCTGGCTCACCTCCGTAGTAGAAAATTCAGTTTTGAATCTTTTCTTTGGTATAGTGCCTGCTCGTGCATACTTACGTCAGCAGAAAACAAGCAAAACTCGGTTCCACAGCAGCGCATGTTTAACTTGAGATCGTTCGGTAGCCTTGGACAAAGATCAGCCGAGCCACCGGGTGAGGATACAAGCATTCTGACTATTGCTTCGACCACTGTCAAACCATCTTCGACACAAGGCTTCACTGGCTGCGCCATCCCCCAAACTGCGAGCCTATCGTTCTTAACAGGACAGAGGAATTGCTGATGCCACCAGATGTCTCTGGAAGTTTGAAGGGCTTTGAGACATCAGAACTGGGCCCTGAAACTGGTAACCGGTGGTGGATTCGCACAGCGTTATTAAATTCATTCGCCGCCATCATTATCGAAGATTGTCAGAATGATGAGTTGTTTGCTGCTCACCCTCTTTGAGTGACGTTGACTGTTCCTGTACCCAATATTAGGTTGTGTTTCATGTTGTATTCTCGGAGACGAGCATCTCGGGCCTGTATCTATTGGCTGCGAAGATTTCGGCCGGGAGGCTGGTGGCCGTGGCTGGGAGTGGACTTGGTAGTCGCTCCGAACTAGCTAAGGACAGTAATTGACTACAAATAGTTTTTGGTAGTCATGATGGACGACAGTCACCTACAAGATGCGGAGTACTGATGACCACTTCACCGTAACCTATTTCCTTGTACTCAGTACTCGGTATTCGGCGTCTCAGTTTACCCTTTAGCCCCCTCCCGGGTGGTCAGGACTGTGCCAGGGGAAGGATGTGGTTGTGCGTTGTTTGAGACACCTACAGTCGTACCATAGCTAGCTCACATGTCCATTTTTTTGCAAACCACGGTGCCACGGCCCAACTGCCTCTTTCCCATGGGTTCCCACAGTGTCTCCCACTTTCATCGTACGTGATATACTCGCCTTCTGTTAGCTGGCCCCTCCCGCGGAACCTAACGCCCTGCCTAATGTAGACATCCTTCTTCAGCTCTTGAAGTCTATCGATTCCCCCTAGCACTCTATCTGCTCCTGCATGTTGAGTAAGAACATTCAACATCACTGCCGTCTCCCTCAGCCTTGGCAGCGGTAACATGTCGATGCAAACATGGTGAGGAAACATGACTTGTGCGGAACATGGGCGTAAGGAACCGGGGACCGACGACTGTTGATTCAGGGCAATAATGTTATTGGTCGAATGCCCCGGCAACCCCGATATGAGTATTGGCGAAACAGAGGTTTGATAGAACGGCGACATATACTGTGGATCCATGACTCGCTCGATGTCGATACCCAAAGCGCGGGCGTTGAACAAGCAAGCGGCCAGGGTAGTGGTTACTCCATGTGGCCAGAGTGCAGCCGCTGGGCGATCTCTTACAAGGTTCAAGAGCTCTGAGAAGGGAGTGTGAAGTTTGGGAATGAGAGATTGATGAGTAGGCAGTAATGTCTGAGGGGAAGAGAATGTGAATGGCGCTTCCTTGGTAGCGCCGCAATTCGGATCTGGTCGATCCTGCACTCCCTCTGCATGTTCTTGATAGCGGTGGCTGGGTATCAGGGTTTCTGGGCCGACGGTGCTTTGGTTCAGGATCCCAGTGTCGGAAGAGTTTGCATTGGCATCCGCTTCGAATTCATGGGGATAGGGTGCAAGTGGCCTTTGCCTGGTGCTGGATAGGAGTCGGTTTTTGGCCCTTCGCCTCTCTCCTTATAGAGTATCAGTGTTAGATTCGGCTTCTAAGGGCAAAGCAGACTCACGGAATGCTCTTTGTGCACGCCGGTTTTGCTGACGCCGTGCCTCGGTAATGGCACTTTTGAAGGAGCCCTTATCTCCGGGCGCGTGCTTGCAGGTTGGTGTAGAGTGCGAGTCATTACAGCACATTCCGAGCCTAGAACTACTAGATTGGCCTTTCGCGAATCCAGTTTTGCTGGTCATTGAAAGGGAAAGCGAAAATTGCTGTTGACGGCAAAGGCTTCCTGAGGTCGAGTTTCGGAGGCGGTGTTCAATTTAAGCCGCTTTTGTAGCCAAGCCTATCATTTCGGTCTTCCGACTCTCCTACCACTTGGGTGGCACTTGCTCCACCCCTTGCTGCTTACTACTTTTGCCCAATCGGAATGCAGGCGTTGGAATGGAACAGAGAGATTCGGGGCAACTTCATTGTATAGCTCCCAAAAGGTGTGCGTAAGTAGAAAGTATATATTCCATGCTGGCAACGCCCATGTCTAGGTTGATGAAAACCATGCTGGCGACGCCAGAGATCCTACGCCTTGCCTCGCTTCTTCATGCAAATCTTACTGGCCACGAACGATGCCAGCGATCGACAAGAAAACCATCGCCATCGTAGGCGGAACAGGAAAACAGGGCGGCAGTGTTGCACGCACTTTCCTCTCCGCTCCCCAGTCATCTCATTGGCATGTTCGCTGTCTTACGCGCAATCCTACGTCTAAAGAAGCCAAGTATGTACATACCCAATTGACCAATTTGCAGGATGTTGAGCGATATCGAAGATGCGCTCTTTTATTCCCGCGTCTACGTCGGTGCTGACCGTCAATAAGGAACCTCGCTGCTCTTGGCGCCGAGCTCGTCCAAGCCGACCTCTCCTCGATCCCAAGCCTTCTCTCGGGGTTCTCGTCAGCCCACGCCATCTTTGTCAATACCAATTACTGGGAAGTGTATCGTGGCGCTCTGGCCGCCGGGAAGAATGATGACGAGGCCTCGCAACTGGCGTACAACACTGAGATCAACTGGGGTAAGAACGCGGCCGCGGCAGCATCGCAGATACCAGAGCTCGAGAGATTCGTATACTCGGCTTTCGGCTCGATGAAGGTCGCCTCTGGTGGCAAGTACGCTCGCTGTCATCATTTTGAAACTAAGGGTGTGGTTGTTGCATACATCTCCACAGATCTGCCCCAGCTGGCGGCCAAAGCAAGCTACATCTATGCTTCTTCGTATTCCGACAATCCTTTGTTGTACCCTCACAGGGTTCCCTTCGGAACGCCATGGATCGTATGGCTTGTCTCAAAGATCCCGTTTCTTGTGAGGTTTCTCCCGAGCCCTCCTCCGAGCGAAGAGAAGTCCAAAGAAAAGAAGCTGTCTAAAGGTGGCCAATATCTCATGGTCCTTCCGGCGAAAATGTCGATGAAAATTCCAGTTTTCATGCCACATATATCAACTGGTGGGTATGTGCGTTGTCTGGTGGAGGAGGAGCCGGCAGGGACGAAACTTTTGGCAGTTGATTGGTGGATTGGGCTCGACGAGGGTATGAAAACCTGGGAAAAGGTTACGCAACGCAGGGCGCACTTCGTGGAGGTCACTGTGCAGCTACTCTGCCGAATGACAGGCTTAAAGGAAGAGGTGGTCGAAGGTGCTGCTTATCTGGCCGAATTTCCTTACATGTGTGAGGTGAAAGATTATATCGAGCCAAGTGGGCTGCGGAACCCACCACCTGAAGCCATGAGCTTTGAGGATTATTTGAAGAGCAGAGATCCTCAGGAGCTGCTGATATAGTCAACAGACTGATAATTGTTCCCAAGTTGAGTCAGGTTGTGCACTAAACATAGCTGCAACAGCTGCCACGATCGCTATGATCATAGGAGAGATGTTACAGTCGCTAGTAAGAAATAATCGTCTGGTGTACAAATTACTCCGCCGTAGAATTCCCAGTGCTCTGCCGTTTTGAAGAGCGGTCAACCGACGTGGGAAATTTTTCTCACCCACGATATTTACCCAGTGTTGTCATCCCTCATGCGTCAGACATCACTCTTGCGCTTCGATACCAATGTCTGCCGAATGTAATCTACAGAACCGCTCTAAAGTATATGTTCGATGGCGGCCCTTGAGCTCTACCGAATCTGGATTGCCAGAGATCGATATCGATGTTTGGGAAAACGAGAACGTTCCAATATCACTTTCGCTTCGCTGCCCGACCCAGTCCAATCAAGCCTGTTCCTGGAAGAGCGGTGCTTCTTTCACAGATGTCTTTGGTCCTGCCTCTAGTAACCGAAAAGTCTTTGAAGCGGTGGTGGCACCTACTCTTCCGGCGGTTCTTAAAGGTCGCACCTGTAATTTTTTTGCTTATGGCCACTCTGGTAGTGGAAAAACGCATACCATTATCGGATACGACTATGAGCATGATGAGGGACTTGGTTTATTTCTTTGCGCAGCACGAGAACTTATAACGGCACTTGATACTCTGAACACTGGGCTTTCTGAGGGCCAACGAGCGGCACAAGGGAGGCTCTGTGTCTGTATGCGACTCTATGAACTTCGAAGGAAGAATGCATATGATCTTCTCAACGAACAGAACGAGTGTTATCTGCGGGAAGGACCTGATGGACGGACACACATTCAACTCGGGCTTGTCATACGTTTGACGAAGTGCGTCAGCATCTTCTTGAAGGATTGAAGCTAAGATCGACCGGTACATCTACCGTTCACGATCAAAGCTCGCGCACTCATGCAATCTTGGAGCTGGAGGTGGTGAATCGCGCTCTTCTCGAGGCTCGTAATGCAGTCGTAGAGCGTCAATCGGAACTTGTTCCTGTCGGCAAGAGAGCCACGGATGTTTATTTGGCTGAGATGGCCCGCAGCCTCATCAAGGCGGAAGACGGGTCGTACAGGCAAAATCCTGACTGCCCACCAGACCAAGCTCGCATCGATGCAGCAGAGAAAGAAAAGCAGGAGTTTGAAGCACGTCTTGCGGCAGCAGAAGCTACTGTGTCATCTGTGCTTAGTTCGAGTCCATATCCATGCCTTGGTGGCAAGTTCGTCTTTGTTGATTTGGCAGGTGCTGAATATTTCGACCAGGGAAAAGGAGTATCGACTTTGGGACTAAGGCTAACACCATAGGAACGATAAGAAAGAAGATAAATCAACGCAGACCTATTTGCGTTGAAGGAGGTCATTCGAGCCCGAGCTTTGGGTGAGCCTCGTATCCCATTCCGCTCAGCTCCCCTTACAATGGCTCTTCGGGAGCACTTCGTGAGAGCCGAAGACAGCTTGTCTGCTATGATACTCACTGTCTCTCCGGCATCAGATCAATTTTCAGCGACTGCCAACACATTGAAATACGGCAATCTTGTTGGCTTGACGAAAGAGTATACTGCTTGTGGGGTGAAATCATAGTTTCTAACGACGGAGAAGAAATTAATCTCTAGCGAGACAGGTGAGCAGCTCAGAAACGGTCTTTGAGGAGACACGTGAGTTAGGAGGCGTACTTAACACCGAGATACTTAAGAATCAAAGAAGTATGACAAAGTTTAAAGTTGCCAGCGTTGTAGGCTACGCCAGTGAGATGTGCGAGGCCCGATGCTGGTAGTTAGATTGCTTCGATCCACCTACAACAACTCTGCAGAGGTCCTCCATGCCTTGTCGGTTGAACAGGACAAGAAAGTCACAGACATCAGTGTTGCATCTTCAATTCCGGATGTTCAACAGCTTCAATCGCGAGACAGCCGTCTACCTATACCACCCCGTTCCGGAAGCAATCCGATATGCCATTTGACAGCCCATTGGAGATGCTTTTTTGTTTCGGTTTCTTGGTTGCAAACTCTTCGCGGAAGACAGCTTCCATCTCCCTTCTGACAGCCACAACCTGCGACGATTCTGAGAATTCGACATCCTCCCAGCTCAGACTCTGGTCTTTCACAACATCCTTCTTGAGCTTCAAGCCATGAGCGAGTCCTATTGGCAGACCTCCTTTTTCCAAAGATGCTTCTGCAGGCATCAGCTTACCAACGACAGTATACCCGCCTTCACCGTCTAGCACCTCGCCTGCCTTAAGGTCCCGCTTTGCAGTAGCAATGACATCACCTGCGAATGTCTTCGTCTGGCCTGTTGGCTCTCCACGACACATAATGGAAGCCACTGAGTATCCGACTTCCAGCCCGATCAGGTGAAATGGTTTGTATTGTGTTGCATAATATCCCGAGGTGTCGGTTTCGAGGCCGTATTGCTCAAAGCATTCCTTTTGATAATCACTTGGTGCTGTGATTCCACGATGTGTGAGCTCTTAAGTAATGAATGAACTATTTATGTCAGTTGCGAATGGGCCGAGACTTACCCTTGAGCACCACGTACACACCAAACCTAGCATCTTTAAACACTTGCCTTCCATCGGGCTCTAGCGACGACACAACGTCAACCATTCCAGACTTCTCGCTGAAGCCGCCATCGGAGACCGGTTTCAAGACCTTCGCCATATCGTGATATCCACATGGGGTGAAGCTCAGCCCGTTTGTGGGACAAGCTAGCCCAGTGCCGTTGGCCACAGCCGCCATCTCTAGGCTTGACTTCGTCCCGTCGAGAAATGAGTTGAAAATTTGTGGGTTCAGGCTATCCCTAGCTACCTGTTCAGGTGTGAATCCATAGAGGTCCCACACCGTATCGGGAGTGGAGTATTTGTACTGCGGAAGGTATTTGGTGCCTTTGCCAGCACACACCACGTCAAATCCGCAGGTTCTGGCCCAATCTACCAGCTCTGATATCAGGGCAGGTTGATCGCCGTATGCCATGGAGTATATGATACCCGCCTCTTTAGCTTTCCTTACCAGGAGTGGTCCCGCAAGGACGTCTGCCTCGACGTTAATCATCACGATGTGTTTTTTATATTCGCAGCATAGGAGCGCGTGGCGCACACCAGCTGCTGGGTTTCCTGTGATTTCGAGAATAACATCGATTTCGGGGTGGGCGATGAGAGCAGTGGAGTCAGTGGTGACGATCGTCTTGCCGGACTTAATACCTTCAGTCAAGCCCATCGTTCCAGTCATGTCGATTCTGCTTTCCGGATAGCTTGTTCGACTAAAGGCGTCATAGATACGGCCGGTGTTGAGATCACATACACCAGCGAGGTTGATTCCTGGCGAGCGGAACACTTGAGCAATGCTTGATACCACAAAGAAACCACCAGTTAGTAGAATTCTTTCTGAGCATTGGACCCTCTGGCAAAGTCGTGTTCTTTTTGCTCTCCGCTCGACTTTTTCTTGAACGAACTGATGCATAGACTTACAACATAGACCCAAATTTCCCAGCGCCGATGACCCCCACTTGAATTGGATTGCCCCCAGCATCTCTCTCCGCCAACTTTTGCGAAAGACAACTCATCTTCTAGGTTCTTCTGTAACTCTGTCCTTCTCCGTGTCTTCGAGCTTTCTGAATTGATGGTCGAGAGGTCCCTCGAGAAATGAATAACAAAGTTTTGATTAATATTATGTCTCGACGGCAAGGGCAGACGGGGTCTGTTATCAAAAAAGAAAGACAGTCTGGATCGGTTTGACAACTTGGAACAGAGTCGGAAAGAAACCCTGGGCCGCTACCCCCCATCTCCAGATGACTCCATCACTAGTGTCTTATCTGCCAAACAAATTTGGTTTATTTGACCCACACGCTACGCACCCTTACCCCACAGTACGGAAATTTAGCCCTTTTCGATCATCACGATGCCTTGAAACTCCAGAGCGACAATCCCAGGCAGCAATTCCGGTTACCACCACACAGGCGATGGTATGATGTCTCCGCGCTTACTTTCCGGGGTACATGTTACCCGATAAAGTGTTTGAACATTGTTCAGCCTGTGTCATCCTTCTCCGAAATTGCCATACTTCCAGCCATCGCAAATCTCTTCCTTTTCCTGTTTTGGCGACAATCCTTCTTGGATAGTTTTCCTGGTGCAGTGGCCACGAAGACAGGTTCACTACCGGCCCTTCAAGACCCGCCACCCGCAGGCTGGAAGAAGTTCCAGGCGAGACGTTTTGAACCTAATGGAGACTTTTTGAGTTGCACCCACATTGGGCGACCGAATCTGGAATAGATCCTGTAAACGCAAAAATCTCGAATGTGCTAGAGCCTGAGGGATTCGCTGTATGGATTCGTGTTACACGGGCTACAGTAGGGAAAATACTTTCAATAATCCACCAGAAGGTTGCCTCACTGGCGTATATTGACCGCCTCTCTTTCATTGCCCATCTGTTTTCTCCTTCAAGACCAATTTCTCCCACTAATTCGGAATCATTTGACGGGTCGAGACGACATACACCTCGAGTAACTTCGACACTCAAAACTTTCACCAAATTAAAAGATCACAATAAATCACATAAATGGCAGTCTACCATATCGGTGCGTTCTGCAGAGAACCTCGCTATCATTCCCCTTGTGCTACGGATTGTACCTTTCTCTTCTAACCACGAGCAGTACTCTTCAAATTAAAACCAGACGTCAGCCCCAGCGACATTGACAAATTAAGACACGCGGTCGTAGGCATGGTAGGCATAGTCCCTGGGCTGATAAGGGCCGACATCGCTCCACCGCACTTGAGCACGGCACACCGTTCGCAAGGATATAATATGGGCTTGGTTGCGGTTTTGGATGGTCCTGGAACGATAAAGAGCTATACCGAACATCCCGAGCATCGAAAGTAAGTCTGATATATCTATGTCTGACAATTTTCCTTTCAACCTCCATGCCAGAGTTGCTGGACGCAAGTTCGCTTCTCCACCAACGTTCTGTATCAGACTCGAATGCCTCAGGGTTGTCACATGGACATACTATACAATATATGACGGTGCAGATTTGCTGATCACTCATAGCTATGTAGGATTCACGAGCTGAGAGAGTCGCTTTGCACTGACACCCTGGCCTACGACCTCGAGTACAATCTATAGCACGAAAATCTGGCGGTCCCAATATCAAGATCAAACTGCGTCCGTCCATACTCTTGTTTCTTACAATACTCGTGATATCGATAAGCATAGGCTTAGATCAAACACGCGTAGTTGACTGGAAATTACCTTCAAGTTCCCAAGGTTCTCAATCAATTCCTGTCGATGTTTTAAAAGCCCTTTGAAAACAAATGAGCCGTAGTGCATTCTAGAAGGGGGATTCCGACGGTCATCCTCTCGAGACTCCAGCCAATAGTATTGCATTCTTTCGCTACTTTTCTGTTGACTACAGTCTGAAACTAGTTTCAGCATCTTCTGAGAGGCAACCGTCAAGAATTCGACAGAACACAGAGGATGAACCTTTGCTTTCTTATTTCTGTGGTTCAAACAGCTCCCAGCGCGGAAGTACTACTTTCAATCTAAGACTGTGGCACATGATTCAGCAATACATTCGCCTCAGTTGGACACAGGTATCGTAGTCTCAATCGCATACTCTTCCCCATACCAGTAGATCTCCAACAATATGCTCATCACTTATCAATATGCCCACACTTTCGGTTTGCCACTCGCGTCAGCAACACCAGCCTTGTTCATGCGCCCGTACCAAATTCTCAAGACAATGGAGAGAAATGCCACCACAAAACTACAAGCAGCGCACGTAAAGTTGCCTGTAGGATAGCCTCTCTCGGCTTCACTGGCTTTCCAAATCCATTGAGCAATGATTTGGCTGATTCCGGATGCTGAGTTATTCAATGCTGTCGCGATAGCCATCGTGGTAACGCTAGGGACATTCCCGGTGATCCATGCACTGAGTGGTGCAACACAGGGAAAAGCTCCCGCGGACGCAAGAACAAGGCAACCATATCGAGCAGTGTATGAGTGGGCAGGGAGACAACCCGAAATCAGCCAGCCAAGGCCACCCAATATCGAGCCGAAACAAATGTAGTATCCTCTGGCGTTGAATCGGTCGGCTAGGAATGAGTAAAGAAGGGCACAGAGGTAGCCCACCACCCATGGAGGGATTGTCAGTAGTTGCGCTTCCAGTGACTTGTAGCCCAAGCCCGTGACAATTGTTGCAGTGTAGAACGTGAAGGACGCAAGTGGAATAGTGTTGAAGACCTGTGGTATTGTCAACTTCTGGATCACCGCCGAGTTCGAAAGTTGAAATGGTGCTCACATAAATAATATAATGGAGCAACATCCTTGGAGAGAAACACGTTTCCATTATTTCTTTTCGGGTAGCGTGCGCTTTCGTGTACCCTGCCCCTTGCTGTTGCAGTCTCCAATCACAGAGCCGTTTTTCTTCTTGAGTGAGCCATTTGGCGCGTGAAGGATAGTCTGGTAAAAAGAAGAGCAGAAGGAGGGCGCAGAGAACAGTGATAATCCCTTCGATGATGAAGAGCCAACGGAAGCCTTGCAAGCCACTGGCACCATTTAGGTGTCCGACTCCGTACGCAATAACACCACCGAAGGCTCCTGCAAGATTGGCGTGGGCGGCGACGAATGCGATACGCAGCCCTCGTTCTTCGATGCAATACCAGAAAGTTGTGAAATAGACAATTCCTAAACATTTGATAGTTAGCGGATGAATTGCAGAAGCGATAGCAGAGGACGTCTTCCTCATTTCCACATACCTGGAAAGAAACCGGCCTCGAAAACGCCAATAAGGAAGCGAAGTACAATGACTTCAGCGTAAGAGTGCACGCCAGCAAATCCTAGCGTTGTGGCTCCCCAGCATAAGAGTAATAAACCCAACCAAATCGAAGGACGGACGTAACGTTTGATAATCCAATTCGAGGGCAATTCAAAAAGCGTGTATGCAACGGAGAACAGGCTCAGTGTGATAGCATAGCCAGTGGAGGTCATATGTGTCTGTTGTAAAAGGTCGTCACCAGTCTCTTCATTGAGGACTTTTGCGTTGCCCACGTTGCCTCGATCAAGATAGTTGAGAAGGTACATGAAAGACAGCAAAGGGACGATGCGCAGGTCAATTCTGCGCACAAGCTTCTTCAACCGTGTCTCATCGTGTGGTTGTTCCAAGTCTATTTTAGCGGATTTCAGCTCGACATCGACTCTGTCTGGGCAGGGCTTCTCTAGAATGTTAGTACAGAAGCCAGCGATATGCTTTGCACTTGTGAGAACACTCACCCTCTCCTCGTGCACAACATCTGCCATCTCTTGGATGTCTGACTGTGTCTTGAGCATTTTGAGTTCCTGATATCCACGATTATTGTCATGAAGTAAAAGGTAGCTGTGCAAGAACTGCATGGAGTGCCCATCCCGTCTCATTTATATGCCACCTTGCCTTCGTTTGCGGGAGCAGCTGGAAGAGTGCTAAGCTCAACTTAGACCGTCGGCACACCCATACGTGGAAGGCGGGGAAATTCCTGGGGTCTGATGGGCCCACAAGGGGCCGAGGCTGGCGGGTTCGAAAAGTTTACAGGGGTAGGAATACATACCAAAACGGGTGAAGCTGAGAGTACGACCTACTTAGGTACTTTGTCCCGGTAGAGACGAGCAGGGGCCGCGTATATTTCCAGATTCGTGCACTGGCCCGGCTTCGTCTAGTTACGCTCCAACGCCTTCGTTTGCTTTCGATTTCCGTCCTCAGGCAGTTAGAACCCAAGGGCACAACTTAAAGGACAGTTGGAGGCTCTCTGGTCTCGCTAACGTCTGCCCATCTCTCTACGAGCCTGGTGTCTCTTTGCAATCGAAATGCCACAAGTCCACATTTTAGCGATCTTCACTCCGAGACCTGATAAAGTCCAGAGGGTGAGTCTGTGATGTTCCAATCGATGGGTAGGACAGCCCTCTGAACTCTCTGCAGGTCAAAGAGCTCCTCACTGCACAGTGTAGAGAGGTCTATGAGAAAGAGGATTATGCCTTGAGATTCTTGGTTACGGAGCAAGTCGAGGCTGAGGTGCCTGAATTTATATTATTTGAAACGTAAGGAGCAGCATTTCTGTTTGAACAGTCAGAACAATAGCTAACAGCCCTCTCTCTTTGTATCAGGTACACTTCCAAGGGTGACACAGATCGGCACATGAAAGAGCCTCATTTTCTCATCATGTCCAAAGCATTTGCAGAGGAAGGGTTATTGAGCAAGAACACTTACGTGGCAAAGACTGTAACGACGGCTGGGTTTGATCTCGACCGTAAATTCATTATACAATAGACCTCTGGTGTTGAGTAGCTATTTATTGAAGAGAAGCTGAGGGCAAGTGAACCAGGAATCGAGCCTGGAGACATGCCCGTTGTCGATATGCCAGTGGATCCGATCTATTCCATATCCCAATGCTCTCTCAGTGAGTCTCGTACGTACTTCGTAGGCCATCCGTGAGCATTTTCTGTGCTTTGGAGAAGCTCCAGAATTGCGCGTTGCTCGTTGACTTCTGCGAACCAGCCTCCGCCTGCACCTGTTCAGCAAAGGGGTCGACAAACCTCAATACCCAAGGTACCGGAGAACGTCCACTTTGAAGGGCAAAGGGTATAAACTCACACATATGCATGATTGGACACAGGTTGAACTTTGGGTTGACAAAATGATTCGAGTAAGCTATGCCGCACACAGCTCTTGCGTGGAGCATGACCGCTTCCTATTTGAGGTGGAATTGGATTAGCTGGTGTCCAGGGCCTCACAATGATAGTGGTAGACTCATTCAACCCTAGTCTTCTTGACGCACTTTCATTGCCTTGTGAGCCCGAGTGTACCTCAGCCCTGCTCCCGGTGCTGGAAGATCAGGTTTGTAGAGACTCAGTAGAATCTTGCAAAGATGGAAGTATTGGGTCCCCGTTGCTATATTAACGTTGCTTCGTAAGAATTGTATTTCGGCTGCAAGAAACACAGTGAGAAGGGGTTTTGAAGAAAGGTGCAATTACCATGCCATGAAGTACAGAATCGGATCTCGGGCCAGAATTTTCCACTATGCATTGATGCCTCCTCGTAGAATATTGGTGTGAACGAGATAGGTTTCCGGGCGTCCCAAGCAGTTACTTGTGAATTCAGATCCTCCCAATGAGCTGGTGATTCTGTCTGTTCAGTGAAGCAGTACGTCAAAATCATTACCGTAGAGAAGATGATGCGATTGGCCCAGACATTGTCGGGCGCTTCAGACAATGAGAAATGAAAATGTTGTTTTGAAAAGTCGATCCGAGGTGGCTGCTGGATAAAGAGAGACATGTAGGCATCTTGCCGCACAAACTGCCAAAAAGCTGCTTCGGCTAGACCCCCTGTGACAGCACAAGTGCGGGAATTGAAAAGCGCTGAAACTCCGAGTAAATGATTCCCGGAGTCCTGTTGGGTCACGTATCCTAGTATCACGTTATTGGAACCAATCGTGACTTGAATCAACCAACACAAGGCTTACCGTTCATCTCTTCGAATTTCCGGAGTATGACTGCGGCGGCTAGAACATCTTCGGTTGTGGCCAAATTTTCATCAGTGATTAGGGATATGAGCATCCCTACACATCTGGTATGGTAGACCTCGGCGAGGACAGTGTCGACAGGTAGAGAAGATCCCTCGACAGATTCCTTCCGAGGCGACCGGTTGAGATGGAGCGCGGCGATTGCAAATATTGCATTCAGAAGGACTTCACTCTCGAAGGCTCGCTCAGGCACCACCACCTGAAAATAACCATAAGGATCGGTCACATCAAACTTCATATAGGTATTTAGCAAGCGTGCGAGAAGAAATCGGAGGCCGACATACCCAACATGCTAGCTCTTTCGCAAAGTGCTGCAAGAGCATGGCTTCAACACGATCATTCAACACACGACGTCTGATGGACGTGGAAGGGGTAGTCGGCGAAAGACTTCCGTGCTCATTGAAAAGAGCGAGGCTTGTTCCTGAAATGGTTTCGTCGGGCGGAAAGAACTCCTCCGGACGAGTAATTCCGAACGTCGGCATGGACGTCTCATCAACAAGTGCATCTGACGTGCCCAGGTCTGCTGGCTTCTGTGAGCATTCCGGAATAGGGGGCTGGGGAAAGGCCGATACTGATCGGTTGGCAAGAGGCGCATCCCACTCATTGTGTACATCCGGAACTTGGTCGTCGGTCGGACTGGATTCGTCATCTGACTCATCTTGGGCCGCCTCTGACGCCGGTACAGCAGCATCGATGTTTTCAGTGACGAACGTTACTATAAGTGCTCTATTAGTTGGCCAGATTCGCGCTGTGGGTGATAATACTGAGACAGACAGCGTTCGGGAATTTGTAGCCAGTTGCGGCCATTTCCATTGGCTTCTTTATCCTCAAAGACCCTGCCGTCTTCCCATTGCGAAATGAGAGGACGTCCTGTACATCTGCGGTGGGATTCTTCGCATCGCCAGCAGATTGGAAGGTGCTCGTCACCTGGATTCGCGCTGTTAAGCCGAGTCCGAAGATGCCGAGGGGTTGTCGTGACCTACACTTAATATGTCGTTTCCGGCAGGTGTCACTGAGCCACTCGTTAGTGGGCATGGAAGCACAGCGATCCTGCAAGGACTCACCATCCGCGGCGTGATCTGGTCTTCGGCATCGGGGAGTTGTAACAAGACTCAGTTGCGAGTTTGGGGGTTAGACGAGGGAAGGAAATTCATGATTTCCTCTCAAACTCCACACAACTATCACATGCGGGGTGAGGGACCAACCAAAGGGGGATTCTCCTGCAGGCATCTGGGCGGTGGGAAATCCAGTTAGGTTTTGCCGCCAATCGGCCCTCTTGGATTGAAGTTTTTGGAGACGTGGTGTGGATGGCCTTCTCTCTTGCAATTACAACTCATTGAGCATCGGGGGCTCGTTTATTCCTCTGGACATACAAGAACCTCTGAAAGCATCACTTGCTATCAACTCGACTAAATGTCTTCTGCAGCAAGATTCATGTACAGGCTTTGGAATATTCAAGCTAGTTGGAGCTCCTGAAGCTCCTTGTTGAAAACAACTTTGACGCTCTTCACGGCCTCCTTAGCGCTCAGTCTTGGTATCAGGATATCATCGTATGAGCCCTCAAATGCCACGTATTCTGACACTTCTGTCACGACCTTGGTGGATGCTGTTGGAAAGAAACGAGTTGGCTCCTCATATTCGTAGACCATGGTGAACGACCCATTCGAGACCGAGCCGTCAGGCAGTCTCACCCCAGGAGGACAAGCAGTCCATGTGTGAGGAACTCCGCCGATGATGTCAACGAGGGAGCCCGGGGCAACAGCGTACAGCGTGCCAGCGATCTCAACCATTCCCACCCCGTGTAGCACCAAGATGCGCTCATCTGTCAGTTTCTGTTTGTCCAGGGCCATGTGAATATGACGTGGCAGACGCAGTTCCGACGTAAATTCGATAAATCCAAGCTGGCCGGAGAAGAGCTGTTTGCTCCTTGAACACAGCTCATGCATCGTCAAATCGATGTTATTGAAGGGCTTCTTGACATGTGCCAATCCATGTGATATTCGACAGCTGTTGTCAAAGGTATATCCAGTCTCCCCTTCAGGCATTCTTGATCACTCTCACTCTCAATACTGCGAATTGGTTGTTCTTCTGCTTATGTCTTTTGCGTCCTCGCTCCTAATGTACTTCGAGCAGGATTTCGTGACTTTGTGCGTAGGGAGTATCGAAAAGAGAGTCGTGTGACATGGACTGAGTATTCGTTGTCGTTCCAACAACCAGTGTCTTGTTTCTTATCATCAAGCTCTCATGTGCTCGATCCACACTCTGGTTTACGACCCTCCTAGCCCAGAGCGAATAAATACCTTCCGAACGGCAGGGTTTGGAAGGTTATCCTCTTTTGCCTAAAACAAAGTACAGAGCGTGGCAAAAGGCTGGTTGCGAATAGGGTAAATAAACCGCGGACGGATGTGCCGGAAGAGTTGCCTTTTTTTTAACGCCCTGAAGTTTCGCAAGAGACGCCGCAACAACAGGGCGATTTGTTCTTGTATCCATTCAAACACATACATATGGAAGAGTCGTCCGAGTCCAACTGGGATTCGGCATGATATTCCGACTGTGTATTTGGTATATAAGCCTCACGAAGACATTTGGGCTTGTAAGAACGGCAATATCGCCTCATGCGGCTGCACCTTCCAGGAGGATTCCGACATTATGAATCAAGACTGAAACTTCTGGTAAGCGGCGTTTGGTCGAGAGAGAGCGAAGATGTTTGTGGTCAAAAGGTTTGCGAGTCCCGGAGGTACTCAAGGTGAGTCTGGAATTCGCTCAAATCTAGGGCATTTGATATTCGTTCACAATCAGTCAGGGTTCGGGCTCTCAACGCTTTGGTTAGTATGTTGTTGCCCGCCAGGCTCTGGTACCACACCTTCGTGACCATGGTATTGGATTGGGAAGTAAGAGATCGGGTTCTGAGATTGACCCGTTTGCTTACGATACTCGTCGGTTCTTCATTGTGGGGAAATACGGAGAAGGGCTCGGGGGCGGGACAAACCCTGAGGCCAATGTCCCACAGGCTCAGTTGCTGGCAGGTTCTGTGGTGCCAACTATGGCAAAAGGGTACTCTTCCCCACAGTCCAAGGGCATCAAATCGTTCGACATTGATGAACCGATATACTCGGGCTGAAAATTATCCAGCAGCCGTGAACAGTGTGCAGCCATTTACGCTGGTGGGCCCTTTACTCCCACAAATTGTTGATGACCACCATCTTGTCGAATTTCTATGCGGTATCAGCCCGCACTGTTGACAAAGCAAACTTCTTTTCTTACGGGACCACCATTGCTTCTGTCTCTAGAAATCTGACAGGATGGAAGGGGAGACTTCAACAATATTTATTCTACTTCGTTGACATAACAATTCATTGTTGATTTGCCACCGCAAAGTCGTCATGAAAGTACTCAATCGCACCACCGCGTTTGGCTTCGCTCTCGTGTTTCTCATTTGGGTCGTCCGCTCTCTCATCTACCGCAAGAGAAGAAAGCTCCCTCCTGGTCCGCCACGGCTTCCGATCATCGGTAACCTGCATCAAGCGCCACCCCTCGACCCATGGAGAACATATCAGGCTTGGACAAAGAAGTATGGACCTATGTACAGTCTCCGATATGGTCTAAGCACTGTGATCATGCTGGGAAGCTACGAAGCTGCTCACGATCTCCTCGATAAGAGAAGCAACATATACAGTTCCCGCCCACGTGTTGTCATGGGCGGAGAATGTGTTAGTAAAGGCTACAGGACATTACTCATGCCATATGGCCAGAGATGGCGCAATCACCAAAGGCTTCAGGGCGCTTTTCTCAACGTCCGTATCTCACAGAGCTATCGCCATCTTCAGGAGCTCGAGAGCCTGCAGCTCATTCACGAGCTACTAGACCCAGCGGCTGATTTCTCCGATCGATACCACCGCTATTCTTCAAGCTTGATCTTTTCGTTGGCATACGGGACTCGGATGACCAAAGGCGACGAACCAGAAGTAAAGGGGATCGACCAAGTCATGGAGAACTTTCTATACGCCGCAAGAGTCGGGACGTGGTTAGTGGATGCGCTGCCGGCACTCAACTATCTTCCCAAGTTTCTCGCCCCTTGGAAACGCCTCGGGAATAAGTTACACGATTTCGAATCTAAATTATACATGGACAATTTAACCCAAGGCAAAGCATCAACTTCCTGGAACTGGTCCAAACAGGCGCAGGAGATGAAGGAAGGTCGAGCCATGACACAGAAGGAACTCGCTTATGATATTGGCATTCTGTATGAAGCCGGAAGTGATACAACGACTATGGCTCTAGAAGTCTTCACACTTGCGATGCTTCTCTACCCCGACGTCATGAGGAAAGGACAGGCCGAACTTGACTCGGTACTTGGACCTACCCATTTCCCGAAATTCGAGGATAGGGACAGTCTCCCGTACATCGACGCGATCATCAAAGAGATCCTTCGATGGCGACCGGTATCTGCTGGCGGTATCCCTCACGCTGTGATCCAGGATGACGAATACATGGGTTATGACATACCAGCAGGCTCCACGGTGATTGGCAATCACTGGGCTATTCATCTAGATGAGAATGTCTACAAGGATGCTTATCATTTCAATCCTGACAGATGGATCAACGACCCCAGTCTACCTTTGGCGGCGTTTGGGTTTGGAAGAAGAATTTGCACCGGCCAACACATCGCCAAGAACAGCCTCTTCATCAACGTCGCAAGGATTCTTTGGACATTCGATCTAGATTACAGTTATAAGATTGTTGAGGGAAAGCGCCAAAGGTGCGAGGTCGATCCGTTCGCTTTTACCCAGGGTTTCAACTCTCGCCCTATCAAGTTTGAGGCTCGTTTTCTCCCACGAGAAGGCAGAGAAAGCCATGTCAAAGCAATATGGGAAAGTGCCGAGAAGGACTTGGATATCGTGATGGAGAGAGTACGAATTGAAAACTCGAAGTCGTGATCGATAAGAAGAAATCCTGGTGGAATTATAGGAGTTAAATCAGGATGCTGGAAGGGTCTAGGCTATGTGTCAGAAGTAGGGAAACTGCTAGGGTATTCCAGTTGCTCACTGATTATGCTTTCTTGATTGCTCACCGCCAATATTTCCAACTTGTGGCTCGAGTCTTCTCCCACCCTCTATTGAGGGCATCAACAATGCTTTCCGGAAGCGGCCCCTTCTCCAGATCCTTGAGATTCCCCTCGAGCTGCCCAATGTTGCTCGCGCCAATGATGATAGCGTCACCGCCTCGAAGCATGGAGTGATGCATCAACCATCGCAAAGCACATTCGGCTTCCGTCAACTCATGGGCCTTTGCTGCTACGCGAAGCATATGCAATGCGTCAAAAGTTCCATCATTCCAATACCTATCTCTGTACGCTCTGCCCTGGAAAGTATTCGGGTCGAAGCGAGTCCCTTTTTCAAGCTCTCCGCTTTGGTTATTGCGATGGTATCGACCCGTCAAATAACCACCTGCCAAGGGATTGTACCCGTAAAAGCTGATGCCATAGTACCGCAGGCAGGGAAACAACTCTTGCTCCACGCTACGGTGGATGGCGTTATACACTCCTTGGTACACTCTTGGCTGGATCCAGCCATTCCGCCGACAGATCTCACAGATTTGAGCAACCTCCCAGGACATGTAGTTGCTGATACCATACGCGGTAAAGTACCCCTCCTTGTGAAGGTTGTTGACTTCTCGCAAGGTCGTTTCATAAGGTGTAGTCCGGTCAGGTCCATGTAGGTACCAAAGATCAATCTTTTCAGCTTTGAGCGCTTTCAGTGACTTCATTAGATTCTCTCTCAGATGCTCCGGACTGTGAGTCGATCCTCTGTCTCCTGGTGCATCGGACTCAATAATTGTCGCTGTTGGATAGAACTTGGTTGCCATGAACAAATTCCGATCCGCCCACTTAAGCAAGCCTAAATACTCCTCCGATGAACCACCACCATAGAACTGAGCTGTGTCAATTTCATTGTGGCTATAAGATCGAAAGAGATCAAGCATAGAACCAGCATCCTGTAAGTCATGGACGCGAGCTTGCTCAACCCCTTCACGTCCGAAAGTCATACAACCTAAACACCAGTTATCAGTATTTTATCGTTGCTGCAAGAGCGGACCTTACAGACCCAGCACAACCTTGACTGGCTTTCTCTGAGTTAAAGACATTCCGATTGCCTGAATTAAATTTGAAAAGAAAAAAAGGGCGAGCACCTCTCCAGCCGATATATAGCACTCTGGCGTCGGGGCTTCTTCACAATGTTGTGTTGTTACTGACACGGGGTCTGGGCATAAGTCGGAGTTTGATTGTATGGCCGGCAGACCTGTACGTGGCTGACATTGTTGCACTAACTCCATGTTCTGCAACCGCTCAATTACTATCTCCCGCTCTTCTTCCTCTAAGGTGTTGTGCGACTAGCTCTGAACTTCCGCGGGGATTCAGCACGAAATGGAGCCCATGACCAAGAATATGACGGTAATCCATCGGACGAAGCAACCTTTTCCAATCAGCTCGAACACATTGCCCTCAGCTAGCTTCAGCGATATGTTGTACAGAGTCTGTTGCGATCTCGGGCCATAAAAGGCGGCGAGCAGTCTAATGTACGCGCTGTGGAGAGAACCGCTTTCCGAAACACCCAATCCCTCTCGCCCAGAAAGCTGTTATGTTCGTTTCAGTCGCATTTAGGAGCCCCACGCTTCCACAGAGTAGGTGATCCGGTCGCCGGCATATAGTTGTGTTGTCCAGCCATGCTTTTGCGGAAAGCAGAATGTTCCAGCTAGCTGAGACACAATCACAACAACTTTTGAAGTGTCGTATTGACAAATCTGGTTCTTAGAGCACTTGCCCACTAGGCTTCATCAAGATTCTCGCTGGTGTTGCCGATGTGTCAAAATCATTTGTCTTGATGACATTCTGCCCCTCCCAGCTTGTCGGACTGCTCACCTAAGCCATATGTGATGACCTGTATTGTGAACCTAGAGTAGTCATCGTTCAGCAGGTTTACGGAGAAGACGCTGGGGGGTCGCCGGGCGGGGTGATATATCGGTAAGCTGTTGCTTGGTTGTCGGTTGGAATGGGCGTCGCAGATGACATGGATTGCGTTTGGGTCGAAACAAAACTTGCTGTCCTGGATACAACCGTTGGAGTTAGGCCGCCGTTAGGACCGCCAGACTCAGACTTAAGCCACCGTCGACAGAGTCTGTCAAATTCATCCACGACTTGTCCCGTGCTTATATCCATACCGTTCGCACGGATGAAATACTTATCCTGCACTCGCTGGGCGGAGGCCACCGACTTTTTGGTCTTCGAGTGAACTGCAGCATAAATTGACTTGTAGATCCCTTGGCCAGTGTAGCCGATAAGGCCCATGCATGCTTCAACAAACAAATTATCAGGCTGTTATCATCGACAAGGGGGCACCGAACATACCTGATGTTGGTTTCGTCGCAGTCTGCAATGCCCCTTTACCGATCCCTTTGCCAAAGCCAATAATCCCTTCTTTGGCCAAACCCTTTGCCGGCTGCACCATCAAGTCCGTCAGTCCTTGGCCCATTTGATGGACAAAAGTCGTTCCCGCGACTTTGAGGCCGCTTTTCCAGTCAGTCACGGCGGCGTGATCAGGCACTTCCTGGCCGTAGAGCTTCGGCGTATTCCGCAAGCCTTCGGCAACAGCGACCGGGATGTCGACCAACGATCCCTTTATCACTATTCCTGTAATCTGAGAGAGGCTCATGGCAGAGGCCCCCACCATCTTCGCGATTTGTTTGCTTGAACCTTCCCCCGAATCTATATCTAGACCAGGCTCGGACTGATGAGACGAGGCACGACCTAACGCGCGTTCTTTGTCTTTCTGCTTGCGGACTGCTCGTGGGTTTCTCCAGAATCCGCTGACAGCGGCCAGAATATCGTATGACATCTCCATCGAGACAGCGAGTGAGCTAGTAAGAAAGTCCCACCGGCGGTTTTCAATTGTGAATGGTTTTGATTTGTACAATCGAAGGTCGTCGGCCTTGATCCTCTTGGCTTGGATCAAGATTTCAGCCGCAGCCCCAGAGATTTTGAGATGTGTCTTCGATTTCCTGTACACCCAAGTAGCGGGTAATCCGTTGATCAGATCACAACCCATGTCGTCAACTGGCAAATGGCGATGAAATGAATGAACAGCTGTTTTGACGCCCATCTCAGCAGCCATCTTGACAGCCACATCTTTCGCAGCGCTTTGAGTCTCTTCACGCAGGCAATAGCGGATGGAATTGCTCAAATTCTTGCTATTGAGTTTCTTGTAAGAAATTGGAGGTGGTCCAGCCCGTGAGGTGGCAACCACGTTGCCCCAAAATGGCTGACTATAGTTGATCAGCAAGGACAAAGCCATGGGTTCGGACGGCAGCATACTCTCCAAAGAATGGCACAATGACGGTTGGGCGGCCATGCATCAGCCCGGAAGCTGTAGTCCCAGCACCGCCATGATGGACCACCACAGAGACTTGTTGAAACAACCACTCTAGATATTTAGCAAGCGAAATAGCGGAGAGTTTCATCGAGTCATCACTCACCATGTGGACATTCCCCAAGGAAGAAGACATTTTCATCAACAGCTTCGCTTTCCAGGTTGCTCCACCCCTTCGAGATAATGGCGCGCACACAACATTCTTTGACAGCAGCAAGCAGTATTTGAAGGATTTTTTCGGGGTTCTCGACCACGATACTGCCAAAGCCAATATAGATGGGGGTCGGCCCCGACCTCAGAAATTCCTCGAGATCAACAGGTACAGTGTAGGGCGTGGGATCTCGAAGTAGAAACCCGCAGACGTCTGCTTCATTTGTCAAAAAAAGGACTGTGCGGAGAGTATGAAGGACTGACCGATATGCATGCCCCAGTCTTTGGGCTTGGGGGCTAACGCGGGAGACCAGCAATAGGTGTGAGGAACTTGGAGAGTCTCCATGAGGAAAGGAGCTTCGGACATTGGTATGGCTTCGAGATCAATCGATTTCCTCCAATTCTGTACAATGTCGCCAATTCTCGGGGAGAAGTCAGCAGGGCATCGTCGAAAAGGCGGACCTGCCCTACCCATTCCAGGTCAACAATTGGACCATGCCGTATGAGATGTAGTTTGCTAGCTTCGGGTCGGTATTGCCATTCCTGATGTTCGCTAGAGGATGAGGGAATGCTCGGGTTGGGCTCCAGGGCATGGTGAACATAATGTGGAGCGGAATTCCAAGTGCTTGAGCACAGTGAATGTGGGCAAAGGATGGAGGGTTGGCGATAATGGCATTGGCAACGAACGGATCTCCATTATCTGAAGGTGAAATGCATGAAGCCCAGCACCCTTCAAGGATCTCGCGAATCATCTGCCTATTCTTGCTGACGTCTCCTTCTCGCAGGGCCTTCATGCGAGGAAGCAACCCTGGGTTCTTGACCATGTACTAGATAATCAATTAGTTCAGGGCTTAGCAATCAGAACGACATCAAAATACCGCCATCAGTTCGGCAGGATCGCCTCCGACAGAGTAGAACTCCAACCCAGCATTTTCAACAAACTCTCTGAAGACGCTGTGTGTGGCCAGGCGCACTCTATGCCCGTGACGCAGTAGTTCCTGCCCGAGAGCAACAAACGGCTGAACATCCCCACGACTACCAACAATCTGGATCACAATATTCAGAGGCAGTTTCCACGAGTCTAGTTGCGAGATGGTTGAGTATGCCGGTGGGGGTTCAACGGTGTCTTCTTCATCCTCGGATGCTTCAATAAGCTTCGCAAAAACCTGCGCAAGTTTTGAATCGAAGTTGAGAGAGACGCGTCCGTCGTCGAGGACGCTCGTGGTATCATCTAGGAGGGCATCAGGGAGCGGAGAATCGGGTTCGTCAAGAATAATAGCATTGTCCGTGTGAACAGTAGTATTTGGAAGTTGTAAAGGAGGTAAAACAGCCAGTTGGCGAGAGATATCTTGCTTTTTGCCCATAGCTGGGGAATGCTGCTCTGGAGTTGACCAAGAAGCGGCGCATCCTGGGGACTTTCTTTGATGGAAGCCTTCAGCTCGATGACATCTGAACACGGAAGATTTTGCTGAGCACTGCTGGCATGTTCCTCCTCGATTTCCAGGCGACAATATTTCTCGCTGCTTGTGGAGAAGATTTTTGGCTTTTGAGTGGCTTGCAGGATCAATACGTGATACGGCGATACGGTTTCACACCTTCGTGTGGGAAAAAAGGTGGTTGGCTATTGATGACTTTCCGCCCCCAAAATCTTCTCTGGCCGGAACAACGTCAATTAATATCCGAAGTTCACCAGTATGATTGCGTGTCTCAAAGATGGGGGAGGTTCTGCCTGAGCATAGCCCACCTGGTAGTCGAGTCGGACGAGAAGACCCAAGCTGACCCAGCAGAAGCTGCCCGGCAAACCTCCGACAGGCATCATTAATAACTGCCTCCGTTGTTGTCCCTGGTTTCTCCGTCCACAATTTCAATTTGCTAGCTTAGATTTGTGTCGGCTTCTTTCTGCTATGTAGATGAATTTTGCATGCCGAGCATGTAGTGCTAGTTGCCAAATATGCTTGAGGTCTACCCATAAATCTGGCTGGCCAGTCGCGTTCCTTATATTACTGTGTTCTTGGGGACCGCATTGCTCTAGAAATACTTCAGCCTTACGCGGAGAGTTTTGTAGTCGGAATGACACCGCGGAGGACGCTATTCCCCAAATGGAAGTTCCCGGCCAGTTGACGGCATCTGCTCCGCCTACACAAAAAAACTCGAAGAAATCATTTTGACATGCAAGTTTCGCCATGCTACCCGGGAACATTATAGCCGAACGGCTCGAATTACACTTGAACTCGGCAACTGAAGAGTCTAGCAGCGAAGAGGATTTTCGAGATTCTCCTCCAAAACGAAGACGAATTTCGCAGGAGAGTGGTACACCTCCACGCGCCGCCGCCCAACGAGTCCCCGTATCCAGAGTTAAAAGCACCGTCCTTCCAGAGAAGAATGGGCCATCGTCAGCGGCGCGACCTTCGATCCCTACAACCTCTGCTACCTTTCAGTCACTTGCTGTGGCGCCATGGCTGATACATTCTCTCGCCGCAATGGCCATATCACGTCCCACCGAGATTCAGCGAACATGCATACCTGAAATTCTAAGAGGAAGAGATTGCATCGGAGGCTCGCGGACGGGCACTGGGAAAACTGTGGCCTTTGCAGTCCCTATATTACAAAAATGGGCAGAGGATCCCTTCGGTATCTACGCTGTCATTCTCACGCCCACGAGGGAGCTGGCGCTGCAAATTTACGAACAGTTTCAAGCACTAGGGGCCCCGCAGAATCTCAAGACAGTCCTGATAACAGGCGGATGTGACATGAGGCCCCAGGCGGTTGCTCTAGCTAAGCGACCACACATCGTCGTTGCAACACCGGGGAGACTGGCAGACCACATTCTCAGCTCTGGCAAAGAAACTACCATCGGGTTGTCTCGCGCAAAAGTGATGGTCCTTGATGAAGCCGACCGCTTGCTAGCCTCTGGACCGGGCTCCATGCTTCCAGACCTCAACACCTGCCTATCTGCTCTTCCTCCACCTTCGTCACGATTAACCCTGCTATTCACCGCGACAATAACGTCAGAAGTTCGAGCGCTGAAGGAACTTCCGCGCCCACCAGACCGGCCTCCTATTTTCATCTCCGAAGTTGCAGACCTCTCGGACCCCTCACTCTCCTCCAGCCTTGTTCCGGCGACCCTCACACAAACATACCTCCAGATTCCCATGACGCACAGAGACGCCTTTCTTCACGTCCTTCTGTCGGTTCCTTCGTTCATTAAAACCCCTGAGCCCAGCATCATAGTCTTTGTCAACCGCACCAGCACTGCCGACGTCCTTCACCGAACCCTCCTCCAACTCTCTCATCCTGTGACAGCACTGCACTCCGAACTCCCCCAGAGCCAACGAAACAGGAATCTCTCCGACTTTCGCTCTCAGAAGTCGCGGATTCTTATAAGTACAGATGTTGCATCAAGAGGTCTTGATATTCCTGAGGTCAATTTCGTGATTAACTTTGATGTCCCTCGGAATCCGGTAGATTACGTTCACCGGGTTGGGCGTACAGCTAGAGCGGGCAGGGAAGGCACGAGCATCACATTTGTTGGACAGAGAGATGTCGCTCTGGTTCTAGCAATTGAGGAGTACACAGGAAGTAAGATGGTAGAGTGGGCTGAAGAGGGGGTAAACATCGAGACACGTGTGGTGAAAGGCCGGACACTGAAGGACGTGGCCGAGGCGCGAATGGAAGCTCTTCGGGATGTCGAGAGCGGCAAGGACCTGAAAGGCTGGCGAAGGAAGATCAAGAAGGATAGGAAGCGAGCAGTTGCTCAATAATGGACAACCTCGAAGACACGCTTTTCGCCGGGCTTCAATGGTGTCTTTTGTGGACTATGAGTATGCCCGCTATGGTACATTTGTGTCGAACAATTACTATCCGAGATGTTAACGTCCAGCCTCGAGGTTCTTCTCCTCCGTTCTGCTCTCTTCCTATTGCCTGTCTGCCATCTGGCTCTTCAACGATCGTGCATTCATACATCATTCCTCAAAACCTTCACAATTGCATACATAAAGTGCGGACACATACCAATGATGACTCTTGAGTTCATCGTGAGGTTATATTACCACACGTGGCTATTTTGATGCCGTTCTACCTCATCCAGTCAATATCAAGCTCCGCTTTGTATTCGCCCTCGTCATCGATGCTGCTGAGAACAGTGTCTTCTCCTGTCCAGGTGGTTGGTGTGCCGTGACGCATACTTGATAGGCTCCCCGGCTTCTCGCTTCCGTTTACACTGCCTTCTCTCACTCTCCTCGCATTATCATTTGACTGATGTTCTTTCCACCATTTCCCGCTCTCTTCGACAACCCTCTCTTCCCAATCTTTGACAGGTCCAATGACTTCCACACCCTTCTGACCCGCCTTGAGTACATCCCGACAGGGCAGTGACATGGTCATGTTTTCCTGGTTGTTTCCTCCTGTCAAGTCTTTCAGCTTCTCCTCGCCCGCAGCGTAGACCAGGCGTCCAATATTGCTCCAGTACAATGTCCCCGTACACATGGCGCATGGTTCCCAAGTCGACACAAGTGTGCATGAGGCAAGGTATTTCTGTGAGAAGTGGATTGTAGCCAGTCGGGCGAGCTCAGTCTCTGCGTGCTGAACATGAGAGATGGAGAAGTGTGTAAGCAGGACAGTAGTATTGTCAGGCCCTAGAAGCAAGGCTGCAAAAGGCCGCTTTTCGTGCAATGCCGTAGCATTGTTTTGTAGATCCAGACATGCTTTCAACGCAGCGTCAATTTGTTCTTTGGTCAGGGATGTTCGAGTTGGCTCGTAGGTACGAGGAATGTTTAAGCCGGATGTGGGTGGTATTTTGGGGCCAGAGAGATTTGCTGGGGAGCTGGTGGATGAGGCAGGCGAGAATGGAGGATTGGTGGTCAAGGTTAAGGGAGCATTGCCTGTCAGAGTGGTATGAATCGATGAGCTAGAGAGTGCGGTGGACGGCGCTGAACCCGGAGGAGGTTTTCGATGGATTGCGCCTGACGGTGGAGTTTTGTTGTTGGCAAAAGCTGCGGTGGATTTGAGATATGACTGATAACTCATTTTTCGAAGTATTGGAAAGGAGCCAGCCTATCAGAAGTAGCGGGTAGATGAAGCACTGTAGTACAGGCGAGAGCACGAAGAACCTACGTGGTTAGGTTTATCGACCTCCAGAATATTGCACGCAAGTCATCATTCATCGGCTCGTTTGGAGAAGTGATGCTAAAGCGCAGTGCGCATTATTGATAGCAACGTTGTGGATTTTTCATTTCAGCAGGAGCGCAGCGGAGCTCCCATCAATCATAGCCCCAGGTGCAACCCCCAATTTGCGTCACCTCTGTTCAGCAGCCGAGAACGCTGCGGAGAGAGCCAACAGACCTGTTGTACGAAGAGCCCTTTGATTTGTTGATTTCAGGTGGGAGACTGGCCTAAACACCCAGTTCCTGGCGCTAGTGTTTCCGCCCCTGTACGCTGCGAATCCGTCGCGTGGACCGAAGACAGAGGTCGTCCTCGTAGAGCCTTGGAGGCTCAGGGTTGCGAATCTGTATCGACCACCGCTCGTGTTGTTGGTAATGGCATTGCCCTGCGATATTGCATCTTCCTCAATCAGAAGACGAGAATATCGATCTTGTTTTGCTCGGCTCCATATCTCTGACGAATGCTATCGAGATTGAGCAAGGCGACCATGGGTTGAAAAATTTGGCCGTTTGTGAAGATGGTGCTTTTCTTCTCGTCTTGATAAGAGCCATCCACCACAATTCGTTGTAGCCCCTCCGTCTTCAGTTCACCTGCTTCCATCAACTGATTCAGCCTCTCCGGAGTGCCTACAGCGATTCCAACTTTATTACTCCGCAAGAACTGTGCATTCATTTCGAATTTCATGTGTTTAGGCATAAATTTACCGACTTTGGAATCCCGAGTCTTGAACACTCGTAGTTGTCGTATGAGATCTGCTATGCGCATACCAGATATTGCGAGGACGAGGGTATGTGGAGTCGCGACTTCATTGCAGGTAGAAAGGCCCTCTTTACCGCCAGTTGCAAATCTCTCGAGAAAGTCTGGAAGGTTCGCAACGACTCGGTCTCTTCCGTAACTCGTGGTGTCAACAAAAGCCTTCGTGGGTAGGTACCGGTCTTCGAGTTCGATGGGGCTACTGGTTGGAAACCACTTTTGGATGCACTTCGCAAAGTGATCAGCGAGGAGGGCAGGGTCAAGGGCGTCGTCTAGTGTTGGGGTTTGTTCCGGCTTCATATCAAAGGCGGTTCGTTTCGATGAAGGGCGCGGGTCGACATCGTCGAACTCGTTGAGCTTTCGCTTTTTCCCACGGTCGCCCGTGGCCACCTGTTTCTTTTCGAGTTGGATGGAGGTCATCTCATTCTTCCCGCGCTCTTTTGGAGCCAGCAGATTCTTTGCAGCGCCCCTGCGAGCCTTCTTCTTCGTGCGAGACATCGTGGATGGTCGTCCGCCAAAGGGAACGTATGCATGGACGAGGCTGCGCTGAAGATTCGAGGAGACGGCACCAGGTTTAACCTTGCGCAATAAAATAAAATATTTGGAACTCCGCATGGATCACCCCGCATCTGCAACCTTGGCAGAACGTCAACTTGGCTGCTTGGTATGGAGCACGGAGTTAGTCTACTACGACAATCTATCACACTAGGTGATGCGTCCTGCCATCACGGTTCGCAGTCATGGCAAAGTCTGGATAGCCCATTCCGATATAGAAATACAGCCGGCTTGACGTTGTCCGAGGCTCTACTTCTATCCAAACTCCGCCGTCTTTAGTAATCTGTTTGGCGTCATTTCGCGATTGATGACACCATAACGCCTATTGAGCAAGCTTAACAAGTATAAACAGATGGATACTGACCATGGCAGGCAATAATTTCTGATTTTGCTTCCTCAGCGAGAGAACTCCACCTTGTCTCAATTCTCTGTGCCAACATGGGCGCTTTCAAGGACAAGCTTGAGGGCCAGAACATCGTAGTGGTTGGAGGAAGCACAGGGTAAGCCAAACAAAATGTTCCATTGGGTTCCTGCTTTCTGCCGTCTGCCATAACTCGGTTGACAAAGGGTAGGATCGGCTTCGGGGCTGCAGCAGCACTTCTTGATGTCGGTGCCAGAGTAACCATCATTTCATCCTCTTCGGCGAAGTTAGATGCCGCACTGCAAAGACTTGCGTCTCCAAGTGCCAAGGGAGTTGTCGCCGATGTCCGTGACGAGACGGCCTTTGCAGATACTCTGCGATCACTGGCACCTGTGGACCACATTGTCTTCTCGGCTGTTGATAATATCATTCGGGGCAAACTAGAGGACCAGAACCTCGACGAAGCAAAGCACCTCTTTGGGGTCAAGTTTTGGGGAGCAGTCATCACTGGAAAAGGTACATTAGACTGACAACTTTCAAGGACTAAAGCAACCGTTTGCTCACAAGGCATAGTTCTCCTGAAGTATGATATCGTGCGAAAGGGAGGCTCCCTGACTCTCACATCGGGGACGGCTGGCATCAGACCTGGAAAAAATGCTGCCATTGGTGGGGCCTTGAACGGAGGGGTGCTCTCTCTCACCAAAGGTCTTGCCGCAGATCTTGCAGAGAAGAAGATCCGCGTGAATACAGTGGTGCCGGGTTTGGTGAAAACGCCACTCTGGGACAAGCAGGGCAAAACACCTGAAGAACAAGAAGAAATCTTCAGCAAAGCCAGCCAAAATCTCCCGGTAGGGTTTGTTGCCACTCCTGAACATATCGCCGAGGCGTACCTCTACGCCATTCGAGCAGATTATTCCACCGGTAAACTAATAGAGATTGGTAAGTGTAGCAGAGCCAATCTCGTTCCCAGTGCTGACGGGCTTTTCAGACGGGGGTGTTCTGTTATAGCTGCGTCTCGAGCCACACATCAAATGCTGAGCTTGAGCTTGGCTTGGAAAGTACGCGGGTGGTATATCATCAAGCCTTTACAGCCAGGATCCTGAACGAGAGCGCATCTTCCCGTTGATCTGATCGAAACCGGGAAGAGCTTCTGACGGTAAGCAGGGGATTCATTAGCCGCCACTACGATTTACATTAGACCAAGGAAGCAGCAAACGCAACGATGAGCACTAATAGCTAGGAAGCCGTGTTGGGTTTTAGCTATGCGAAGTGGTAGATAGGCCCGAGAATGATAATGGCCTGCCCACGTATCCCAATCACTTAACTACCACTGGTGCATACGGCTTTTGGTCTCTTGAATCAGAAATCTTCTAGGAAGGGGTGTCCCGGGTAGACGAAGTACGCATGGCGATTGCCATTCGGGTGTGCTTCACAGGATGATTTCTATTGCTCATGGTGCCCCTCAGAAGGTGTACCCGCCTGAGGGCCGAGCAACGAACTCTTGACATTGACCACGAGGTTGGCAATGCTGAGGATCAAATAATCTGAGGCGCAATTGTAAAGGTCGACTGAGATCTGGTGTCGACGAGTTCGATTTGATCATAATCACATTATACTGAACGTTTCTAGGTAATGGCAAACCTGGACTTAAAGCAGTGAACCAAAACAGCCCGAAAATTGACAAACAAGTTATCAAAGCTTGTTGACTACAGGCAACAGCCCTATGGCTCCTAATGCCCAAAACAATCGCTGAGCCTCACTCATCACGCCATTCACAACCTAATCGACACCGCAGGGTCTGGCACTTATGCAGTGGCAGTCCAGCATACCCAGCTCCTGACTGTGTTCTTTCTCGTGGCTGGCCAGGTGAGCATCAAACAAGGCTGAGATGGTGATCTTGGTGTACTTCTTGCCTGATAAATGCCTGCCATATAACGCAACGGGAGAGAATCTTTTGAGAAGGTACTTTGAAGGACGCCATGAAGATTGATACTCCGATCTGAAAACGTCATACAAAGCAGTATGCAAGAATTGCCCTCATCTAATTGAAATGGAGCAGCTCAATGGCTTGGTTGACAGTGATTAGGCCATTATAGACGCTCCAAATCTCTTTGTATCTCACCTCTGGGTAGGTATACATGCACACCGGCGGTTATGGGCTTGTAAGCTCGTTGCCTCAGGTTTGGAAAGGGGTAAGGTGATTGTGCAGGTGCAATATATCAGGGGCCACATGAGTGTCTGCAATATCCCAACCCGCTTTCGCTTGCGCCCGTGATCAAGCCTTTTGCGGTCAGAACAATTTTGCAGTCGTGATCTCAACGCGCCCGCAGCGACTTTGCTCAGTCTGTTTCCTTCAAAACAAAAGCTTTTGTAATGTCGTCACCCAAGCCCTCATCGAGAATCGACTGCAACCAATACATGTCTCTCTTGTCTCGGTCGGTTTCGAATTGCCCAGGCAAGGGGTTGCGATGACGGACACCAAGATACTGCTGATGGGTTTTAAAAGATAAAGAAATGGTGTTACGTATTGGCCAGGCTTAGTTTTTCGAGACACGTAGTTCTCCCATGCCATTTGAAGTAGGGCAAGAGTAGGATCTTCAAATGCTAGGGTTCTTCCTTTATCCTCTCCTCGTTGTGAACCGAAGCTCACATGGCAATGTTAATTCATCACGAGCGAGGAGCAACCTCACCCTCTCTACTCACCTGCCCAACTGGGACCACTTCCTGCTCCACTTTCAACGGAGCATATTGTTACAATGCAAGCAATCAAGATATTTGCTGCGCTGACGGCAGCGGTGGGCAATTCTCCTGACCTTTGGAGTGCTATTACTAAGGATCCACGTAGGAGTCTGTAGTGGTGGTTTCGAATGTGGTGTTGGTGTTGCCGCCAATCGATGCTGTCAACAAGTGCGTCCGTATCATGGTCATATTGTCCAGAACTCACTTTCCTAGGGCCAAACGCCAGAGCAGTGCGCACAGAGCCCTACTGTCGATGTAGCGACGACCGTAAACGCAATTCCAGATCCGACGGTCGCTTTACGAACCTCTGATTCCACACATCCACGCGTCTGTATTTCGGCTCTTGGGATTGTGTTCCTGTTATTTGCTTTTCTTTTGTCTGCGTCCAGCAACTTGTGACGTGGCTAATGGTTCGTGGCTTTCGGTGCGCATCTTATTCGGAATTTAAAGAATGGCTTTGCAGACAACTGGGTTGAAACAGCTGGGAGATAGTCGCAATGAGAGCTTTCAGATGTCCTTGGCATAGGACGAGTAGTATGGCAATGGAAGCAAGTCTGTCGAGGAAAGAAAGTCTTCATTCCTCTTTCATGTCACATCAGAATGATGTTACAGTAGCAATAACATTCGGATGAATCTGCGGCCTCCGCTCGGCTTTGGTGACTGTGGGCGAACTCTGCGGGGCCTGGGGGCGAGGGGTTCAACTTTCGCATACCTTGAATCGGCGTCAAAGCATTGATCCGACAAATAAATTTCTTGACCGAGGTCCGCACCACTGGAATATCCGTTGGCTCCAGACCGGCGACTACCACTGATCGCTCTAAGAGTGACTTATCTGTTAGACATATCATTATATGAGCTCGGCCGACCGGATTCTTGCGATGACCATGCACATATATGCTCAAGGCTACTGCGAAATGATCGGCGGCCGATAACTTCAGAAACTCTACGTGTATCGCCGAACAGTCACACGACGCACTTGACTGCCTCATCGTATGGGTTGAACGCCGGCCGCGACTCACTGTTTTCACCATGCCGATCATAGAAGAGACGGTGACGGACAATGAACATCAAGACAGTTCTGCGATCGCCGAAGGCGATGCCTCTGGTCGCCATCCCCGTGTCCCTCCAAACCCAGCTTCGGTCAAGATCAATGTCGAAGGCGCCTTCATCGTCGACGACGAGATGAACCTCCGTAATGGCGCCTCCAGCGAGCATGAACACGTCCATTGGGAACACAAGGACATCCGCCTTCCATATCACACAGATGTAGTGAGCCACGTTGCTCTTGATGTATGCCACCCATGTGATATCTATTTCTCTGCAACTGTTCTGACTCTTACCCTAGATTGGCGGGTCACTGGCGAAGCTGGTCTACTTCTCCCGCGAGCCAGGCTCGACGCACGGCGGCGGACGACTGAATTTCCTCAACTTCGAGACGGACCGGATTGATTTGTGCATTGACTTTATTCAAGAATTGAAGAAGACGCAGTCAAAGCTCAATGGGTCTACTCCACAGGAACTGTGTGTCATGGCAACAGGAGGCGGCGCATACAAGTTTTACAACCGGATGAAAGAGCTGTTGCACGTGGATGTAGTTCAAGAGGACGAGATGGAGTGCCTCATTATTGGTTAGAATTCCAAGAGGAGCTTTTATGCATGATGGCTGACTGGGTTTCAAACAGGGCTAGACTTCTTCATTACCGAAATCCCGCGAGAGGTGTTCACATACAGTGAAGAGGAGCCGATGCAGTTCGCCGAAGCCCGCGCAGACATCTACCCCTACCTCCTGGTCAATATTGGATCTGGTGTCTCAATGGTAAAGGTCTCTGGACCTCGAGAGTTTCAGCGCGTGGGCGGGACGTCCTTAGGCGGTGGGACATTCTGGGGTATCCTATCCCTTCTCACCGGAGCCCGCACTTTCGACGAGATGCTCCGTTTGGCGGAAAAGGGGGACAACAGCGGCGTAGATATGCTTGTGGGTGATATCTATGGCGGGGGATACAGTAAAATTGGGCTCAAAAGCACCACTATTGCAAGCACGTTTGGGAAAGTGTTTCGAATGAAGAGGATGGCCGAAAGACACGCGGAAGACGGTGAAGGGTTATTTAACGGCGATGGTCACGGCGAGGACCATGACATGCTACGAGGATTCAAAATCGAAGACATGGCCAGAAGCTTACTATATGCCATCTCGAACAACATTGGCCAGATTGCTTACCTTCAGTCAGAGAAGCACAACCTCCAGCACATATATTTTGGCGGCTCTTTCATTCGAGGCCATACTCAGACGATGAATACCCTTTCTTACGCCATCAAATTCTGGTCCAAAGGCGAGAAGCAAGCCTACTTCCTCCGGCACGAAGGATACCTTGGCGCTGTTGGAGCATTCCTCAAACGACAACCGAAGAATTGGGGCAGGCGCAACAGTTTCGAGGATATCAGACTAGGCAAAGTGTTGTCGAGGGAATAGCATGGATTCGCATCTCTCAACAAAACAGTGATTATCGGAATCTTGTTCAGATCCGTGCACTTTGCCAGAGAGGTCCATTTGACTAAGAAGGCACCGAGAACCTGTTTATACCTTCGACACCAAAGCCATGCTCCAGAACCACCCTTTGGAAAAGATGGGCACGAATATTCTTTGGCGAGACAAGCGTGTCTTTCAAAAAATACCAAACAAAACACACTACCGCCAGTCCCGCATATCGGAACAGAAGCAAAGGTTACTCCGTGGGCATGCACCTGGGGCAATTAGTATTGTTGTCCTAGACTGGATACCCAGGTATGGGGTGGTCCGAACCACAGGACAACTGGTTTGAGAGAGGGGTCTGGGAGTTGCAGCAGTGCCCGAAGAGGGCCTCCAATGCATCACTACCTGGTGATTCTGTGAGAACCCACAAGAGATTTGGGCTTTCGACAGAAGCTTTTGCGTAAGGCTGGAGGAGGTTTCCGGCGGGCGTAGAAGGTTGGAAAACTCCTTAGTGAGTTGGGAGTGATGCAATATCGCACCGAGGCGGCACTCTTCCGATCAATATAGCGGGAAGTTCCAGCAATATCTTTAATCTACTTCCCTCAGCAGCACACTCCACAAAAAGAGCACGAGAAGTCACCGGCAAGGAGATGCCGCAGCGGAAGTCGAATGCTCAGACCATCATTGCGTGTTCATCTCCGTATCATGAGGGCTAACAGCCAGCACGACGAATGAAGGGCCTTGTGGCCTTAGCCTGGTGAGGCTTTTGGTCGCCAGCAATGCGCGGCAGGAACCAAGGAAAATCGTTCGGGGGTGGATGCTCCCCAAACAAGCACCGCCGGTTGGCTGCCCTCGGGGGGTCTGGCCCCTCTGACGATGCCTGACGTCAAATGGGTTTGCACACTCTCACCCTCTCTCATCCGACCCTCGCATGAGGCTTGTCAACAATGGCCGTTATCCAGCCTCCTTCGGCTCGTTCATATCTTACATTCGTTCCTTTCTGCTGGCGCATTTGAAAGCGCTCATTCCCGTGCGACACCTGCATTCTCTCCAACTCTTGTTGTTTCTTGCCCCTTCGTTTGCGAAACTACAAACCCCAATCCCTTGTTCGGTGACCTGCCGCGCAACTCTCGAGTCTGCGGATGGGTTCGGCATTGCGACGACGACAAACAAGCAGTCAGCAAGACCACAATTGCTTCACTTCCTGCTAGAAATCGCCAGGATTTGACCGCGAGGACCTTCTCAGGGCATTCGCCGTCTTCTAATGGTTTGCGCTTCTACCACCACCGAATGCTAGGACTCGGAATTAACGTAGTGATAGGCTCCCCTCGCGACCCTCGCATCTGCCTTCTTCCCAGCAACCCCCGCTCTCGTACCTCGTCAGGCCACAACCACCATTCTAACGCAATCAACAACGTCGTGTTCAGGACAATACTCTGGAGGTACACTCGCTGGCGCCATTATCGGGACTTTCTTTGGAACCCTCCTGTTGATCTTTCTCTTCAATTCATTGCAAGCGGGCAGTTTCGGAAATCGACGTGAAGAAGTCATCGTTGAGCGCAAACGAAGGCGCCGGAGTCGAAGTGGCAGCTCGTCAGGAGTGCGGCGACCAAGCAGGGTCTACTCTGGGTAGGCATTGGTTTGAGACCTTCTTGGGTTTCAGGATGAGGTGGCAGACGGAACACGAGTTGTACGATTATTGATCATTGAATGACGACGGGTTGGGCAACATTACTACGGGGCACGTCTGCATTGCAGCTGATCGGTTCTCAATTTACGACGAAGAAGGTTGAGCCTGGAGCTATGAGTTTTTGAATAAGGGGGCTGAGATGGGAATCTGGGAAACACCTTGCATCTTATGTTTTTTAAGGATTTGAGACATCTGGGGGAATACAGCCGTATGCGCGACTGATGTGACCATTGGGATTCCTTTGACCTTGCTCAGATGGCCGTGAGAACATCGCGACGTGTGTCTGTACATGAGGATCAAAGGAACGCTGTCAGATATGCAGATGCTGGGATGAGATTTCCAATTTCATTGAACAAGATCGATGAGTTCACAGTCTCTTTTGATATGACTTTTGCGGGTCTGCTGTTAGAGGTGTTTGTTGCAGCGAACTGTTTATTTACTCCATCCTCCCGGCAGGTGAACTCGCTTGACCTGCTGCGCCTGTGACAACCCAGCCGGGCTTCAGCCGAGTAGCGTATTTGCTGCTTGCCTGCTTGCCTGCTTGCTCACTTTCCGCCCTCTGAATCAGTTGACGGGATTCTCGTTGCTACGCCCTGTTCTTCTTTGCAGTCTGTATAACCCAGAAGGTCTTCAGTAATCGGCCACATTTACGCTACCAACCATAAACATCCCGAGATTGACCGTAGACTTTCTTCCGCAGGACGACTATTCAGACTAGCTCGGAGGCACGCGAGTTCGGGACCATGGCCGTCAAAGCGGTGATACCATTCCTTGTGGGAATGATGCTGCTCACTGGGTGCGCCAACACCCTTTTGACAAAGTTTCAAGATCAACAATGTGTACGGGGTTGCAGGAGCGAGAACCCAAAAGACCATAAGACGTTTGAACAACCGGTCATCCAGACGCAAGTTCCACTCTCCGACAGACGGGAGTTTTTGATTGCTAACCTGCACAGAGTACAAATGTTCATCGGCGAGATGGGATGTTGGCTTGTTATGTTGGGCTTCTACCTGTACCGCTACCTTGTCCTGCGCTCCAAAGATGCACCGCTTTTACACAACACCGACGAGGAACAGGAGGAGCAGGAGGAGGAGGAAGATGACACCGTCCGGCCAGTTTCTTCACGCGATGCTACCGACCCAGCGCTGAAGCCACTCTTGCCTAACGCAGACGACCGAGCTCATCTCGAGGGGTGGAAAGTTGTTCTATTAGGCCTTCCAGCATGTTGCGATATCGCAGGCACAACCTTGATGAACGTCGGATTGCTGTTCGTCGCTGCCTCTATATACCAGATGACTCGAGGCGCGTTGGTTCTGTTTGTCGGTCTATTCAGTGTCCTGTTCTTGAAGAGAAAGCTCTACTTGTACCACTGGATTTCCCTCGTTATCGTGGTGTTGGGGGTTGCCTTGGTTGGATTGGCTGGGGCGATTTCCTCTGGCGACAAGAACCCTGCTGCACCCAAAGAGGGTAGCATCGAGCTGATTCGGCACACGATACTTGCTGCGAGAGACGTTATCGTGGAAACGGTGGATCCTAGCGTTCTGCGCACTGTCCTGGGTATTTTTCTGATTGCCTTCGCCCAAATCTTCACCGCTACACAGTTCTGCCTCGAAGAATGGATTCTGGAACATTACGCCCTGGAGCCACTGAAGGTTGTTGCATGGGAAGGCTTATTCGGGTTCATCGTCACGGTCGCCATTCAAGTCATTCTGCATTTGGCGGTCGGCATCACAAAAGCTGGCAAGCACGGATACTTTGATGCCGAGGAAGGTTATCGTCAGGTGTTTAACAACCGTGCAATCGGCATTTCGAGTCTTGCAATCATGGTCTCCATCGGCGGCTTCAACTTCTTCGGCCTCTCGGTTACCCGAAGCATCTCGGCAACTTCTCGATCAATCATTGATACCTGTCGAACGCTCTTTATCTGGATTGTCTCGCTCGGGCTTGGATGGGAATCCTTCAAATGGCTCCAGGTGGTTGGATTTGCCCTGGTGAGTTTAAAGAGCGCCCGTTTCTGCATGGGAAAATTACTGACGCCTGCTGTAGCTAGTGTATGGCACGTTCATGTTTAACGACCTTGTGAGACCACCAATCAAAGCGTTGTTGCCTCAAGGGAGAAACGGCGAACGTGAGCAACTTTTGCCAGAAGAGCCAGTGGAGCATATATAAGGCCTAGCCATCGACACAGGAAGAGTGTCAGACTCAGCTTCGCATCGGCGTATCGTTTTCCAAGTCATAACAGGTCGCTGGAATAGACGTTTGTGTATCCCCTGAAAAGACCATTCTCATTATACAACTGCTCAAGGATGACTTGGATGTCCCTTACGGTATGCTCAGCTTGTTATTCTACGGATCAATGGGCGTGCCATCCCCTATTCTTTCAATTGATCCATTTTCCGAGGATGGAGCAACGGCAATTTCGTTCTGTACAGAGATTCGAATAAAGGAATCCAAGTCTTCTGGCGATATCGAACTCTTCAGTCCCAGATGTCAGCTCCTTTGATTCCTATCTGGAGAGTGGCAATTTCCAAGTGACAGCTCTTGGCGGTGGATTTGGAAACGCAGTGTTCAGGCTTTGTATCCCGTCATGTAAGGCATGACAATTAAAAGGCTGCATATGCCCTCTCAAATTTCAATGTCATGCTATGCGGTGCGACAATTCTCGCAACCTTTCGAGTCTGACACGGTTGTGGTGTGCACCCTGAAGCCGGGTTGAAGCAAGGGATGAATTGCTGCGCTACACGCCCCTAAAGGTGGCTGGACAAGACTCGCTCCAAAGGGTGAACGATTCTGTGTGACGCCGGATCTGATACTCGACAACGATGCAAGGGAAAGATTCAAGAAACGGCTGCTCGCGTCTTGCAGAAGGACCGCGGCGCCATTGGCAGTTGGATTTGCAACACGCGCAGAAGTGAGCAGCTGCCTTTCCCCTGAATATATGTCTCAGCTTATCCTTCATTGAAAGGGCCACATCCGCAGCCTACTTATTCTGGCTCGCACAAACACGATGGAACAATTGGATTCTACTCACGCTCTCGACGCAGCAGCTCACCCTCCAGATCGATCCTCATCGTTCCGTCCCGCTCACTGCTCGAGGGAGGGACAAGTGACACCACCCCCGTCGCCTCAGCCACCGACTGGGGACGGATCCAGAACGCAGCTGTCAAGGCTGCTTCATCGATGCAGGTCTGCGAAATCAAAGCAAAGCAGATTACTGCAAGCCAGGTTTCCAACCGCCACGTCGCAAGAGACATCCTTTCCATTACTTCTGCCCGAATTTCCGCCCATTTGCGAGAACAATTCTCCTACCACGACACTGCCTTCTCCCGGCCTACGCAGGATGTCGGCGAGCTATAACGACCTGCGTGCCCTGGCTCGCAATGAAGCTGCTTCGAGCCCGATCAGCTCATTACTCCCAAGCCCTATTACGGGAGCGCTGCAGAAAGAAGGTGGCTCGTGTTTCAGATTCCACAACCCGCGAGAGCGTTTACCAACACCGATCCCCAACGAAGATTCTTTGGATAGCCTGCACATTTTGTCCTATTATTGCGACGATCAGGACTGCGACGATCAAGACCAAGGAAGCCACTCCTCCGAACACGGGATACTTGAAAACGATAATCTAAGCACAGCGTCGGAATCCATGCCGGTAACACCGCGTGACAACGAGGATCGAGGCATTCTTTGTTCGGACGAATCTGGATGGCTGGCCAACACGACGTCGCATGAAGAGAGGATGCGGCGATTCAAGGCTCGCTACTATCAAGTCATTCAGGGGCCTTGCGCCCTTGATCGCACAGAAGGCAGCGAGGATGGAGTGGTATAAATTCGTACATTTTCTGTTCTGTTCGAAGTGCACTAATTGTATCTCAGAAGATCGCCACGGTCCTCGTTGGGCCAGGAAAGCCGAGACTAGTTCATATTCAACGTCCGCCTTCGAGTCAATCGAGGACTGAATCACCTGGAGAAGGGATGTGTGCTCCATCGACACCAAAGCAGGGGGCAATCGAGGTCTCCGCCTTCAGCCCGTATGACACCCCCTGCGATATGCCTCAAATCGAGTCCCACGTTTCAGACAGCATCTGCCCTCGTATCTCGGAAGCCTCTCCTCCTCTGACCGGGTTCGTCCCACAGCTTACGACCTTTGCAAAGCGAAGCAAGACCAGCATATCAGATACCCGCGAACCCCACGGCGCTGACAATTGTATCCGTAAATTGACAGATCCATTCATGACGTCGCCTCGGAGGACTCGAAGCGATCGATCGTTCCGCACGGTAGAGAAGAGGTGGGCGGTTTTGGACACACTAGAAGTGGACTTGCACTCAATTTCAGAGCTGTCACCTTCAGCCAAGAGCGCGAAATGGTCACGATGCCGAAAGTTAGAAAGGGCGCTCAGTGCGGTGACTGTGGCCATTGACGAATTCCCCGATGGCATGCTCTGTCTCGACTCGCCTGCTGTCGTGGAGCTGCGGAATCCACAAATCTCGAATGCAACCTACATCGAGGCCCTTTGCCGAATATTTCCTTCTGCGTCACCACCGCTCATTTCTGCCATCACGGCCTGGGTGATCGTCGATCTCCACTTCTCTCGACTGAAAGACCAGATCGTTCCCATCGAGCGGTACTGGGCGCAGGCTGCGGCCTCGAACGAAAGTTTGCATCGCATTCCCGAGAAGGCGAGAGAAATGTTGGGAATTGGCCTCCCGGATGAAACGTCCATTAGGCTCAACGAGTATGCGCTTCGAAAGAGAGCGATGGCTATGCAGGCAGGTATCGGCGTTATTGGGCAAAGGTTGATCGAAGGTTTAAGAGGATCGTGGGATGAAGACATATGGCGATCCCTGAAAGTCTTGGTGGAGGTAATTGAGGCGAGTTCGCCGCGTTGGCCATGATAGCAGGTTCCATTGAAACAGTTTCTTGTCCTTGTGACACCAATGATTCGATCCATTCTTGATGTCCGAGAGTTACCGCAGCGCCAACCTGACATTCAACCCCGTTTGATTCAACACCCAGGCATTGCTTACTTCCCATTCCCGCTTAGGGTCATCCAGCTGAATCTTGAACTTCATGAGCAGCGCGGGAACAAGCTTGTGCAGCTCCAGCATTGCAATGTTCTTGCCCAAACAGGACCTCTTCCCGGCACCGAACGAGAGGAGACTGTGTTCCATATTCTTGGTTTCCTTTTCTTTCCTGCTGAGCCAACGACTGGGGTTCCACGTCTCCGCGTCGGAGCCGAAGACATGTGGGCTACGGTGGAAGACCCACGGGTTCATACCCACGACAGTGCCTTCAGGAAGGAAGGTATGGGTGCCGTCTTCATGCTGTAACGTCAAACCTTCTCTCGGAACGACGCGCTCAAGTGGCAAGGACAAGGCTGGATTCAGCCTGAGGCCTTCTTTCACCACAGCACAAAGGTAGGGAAGGTATTGCTGGGTTTCGTTCCACGTTGGGGATGGGCTGGAGATTTTCTTCTGTGCTGCAGCTGAGTCCAGCTCGGCGGTCAAGAGCGAGAGCGAGCCAGGATTTTTGAGGAGATGGTAGAAGATGGCTCGTAGAGTCGACGCAATCGTGTCGCTTCCGGCGTTGATATTCATCTACACGAACTTTGGTTAGGGGCTGACGAGGCTTGAAAAATGGGCTTTGGTACTCACAAATAAATTGGATAGAATCTGAGCGTCTGTCAACGCCTCATCTCCCTCGGTGCCATCATTCCGGGTTTTCAAAAACCGGCTGAGGAAATCTGGTTTGTTTAACTTGTCGGTCTTATTCTCTGCACCCCCTTCCTCCAAGTCCGCCAGTCGCTCCTTAAGTAATCGTTGAGCAAACAATAGGATTGGTGAACTGACACTCTTCCGGAAATATCTCACGTATAGGGGGTTCTTCCCTAGCACTGCTTCGTCCAGCCAAGGCATTTGACCGAGGACACTGAAATAGGAGAAATTCGCCCCAATGGCGTCGATAATGTTGTCGGCATCAATACCAGATTCAATGAATCCCAAGCGCCGGCTGAAAGTGAGCTCTCCGATCACATCGAAAGCAAAGAACTGTAGATAGCGTCCCAGGTCAAGCACACATCCCTGCGAACGCGAAGTGCAGGCAAATTGTTCCTCCAGGGTGAGGAGAAACACATCCGTCGTGCGGTCAACCAGTTCTTCATACTCTACCAGCGTGCTGAGCGAATACGCATGAGCAATCAACCTTTTGGATCTTGCGTGCTGGCTTTCATCTGTCATAGCCACAAGGCTGGCCGCTCGACGTCCATTCACAATATTCTGAAAGCAACTGTAAAAGTCGGATTTCACAAGACCTTTGCCGATCCCGTAGATCTGGGGAATGTAACTCTGCGACCCTGAAATGGAGATGCACTTGGGCCCCAGGCGGACAAGGTTCCCATAATGTTTGTGGAGCATGAGATGTTTCTCGTGGGCATTGCGGTTGTAGACAAGGAGGAGGCGATAGATATCGGAGAGGCGTGCCGCGAAAGGCCCAGGGATTGAGGACAGAGAGAAGTAATCTTTGAGGAGATATAATATGAAGAGGATGGGGACTGCGTATATCAACAAGGGAAGCAGCATGGCTGCCTGAAGAATTCAGGACAAGAGAGAATTGGCCAGGGGAGTAGCGTCAAGTTGAATTCCAGAGGTCAGCAACACATGTCCGACTGCTATTACAGCTCTTGGAGCAGCAAAGATATAAATGAGGCAGCAACGGTAACCCTGGAAACTTTTCTCTCTCCGGGTCGATATCCTCGGCGTTCTTCCGCGCAAAGAAAGCACGCGAGGCGGACTGTTCGAGTTACTCAGGACGAGCGCGACAACAGATCTAGATGACACGAGAAACAGGCTTGTTGGAGGTCTTTTTTTAGGGTGGAAGATGCGGGATGCACCACTGCTTTGGGGCGGAACACTTTCCGTCCCCTCAGTGCGCCGCCCACGTTCGAAACACAAAATTTATGGGGTGTCGACATCTGGAACAGATTCCCTTGCTTGCTGCCGTTACATCCGCATCGCTTTCAGATGTCTCAGGAAGCCCGGTCGGAGCTGAGAATAGTCTTCTCCCTGTCGGATTCTTGCTGATGGGCCCTATACCATGGCAAAGCTTTGCGCCGCTGACCGGGCCGCTTCTCGAAGACGTTCGCCGGTTTCTAGCTGGTTGTCTTTGGGCGGGATGCTTGCGAGTAATCTTCTTGTCTGCACAAGAAGACACAATCAAGTATTCGTCCACCTTACGGCTCCGTCCAGTCGACTTGTTCGGTCACCGGTGAACCCCCATCTTTGGTGTACGAGATTTTCAACCGCAGGCGGAGTTTTGTGGGGAGGGCCTATCGAACAATCAGTCAAAGAGTAATGGTAAAAATACGAAGAAACTTACTCCCGTCGCTGCAACAACCTTCATGCCTTGGGTAGCCTCGTCGCCGACTCCCAATATGCTTTTGTTTATGGCTTGTAAGGTCAACTTCTGACTCTTTGGAACTGCAGCTTGCAAGCCGACATTCGACATCTGCTCAAACGCGGAGGTGTTCTTGAATCTTGCAATGGCTTGTATCGCAGAACCACTTCTGGAGACTTGGATCGCAACAGACAAACCATTCTTGTTGTATACAGGATGTGCTTGTGGTCCAGCAGGTGCAGGGCTGGCGGGTTTCGTAGTTCCGTTGCCGAACAGGTCCATGATGGCATCCGCGTTGGAAGGTGGTGCAGGGCTTTTCGTTTGTGGTGGAGGACTTGAAACTGAGCTCCCACCTCCGAGAATATCTGCCAGCAGGTCTGCTGTCTGCTGTTGGCCGTTCAGCGTAGCGCTGGTGTCAACAGCAGGCACATCGGATCCGCCCATAAGATCAAGAAGCATGTCGGATTCCGTAGTCTTCGCAACTTTCACATTCGTTTTCGCTTTCAGAGTCTTTCGCTTGTCCTTTGCAGGTGTGGTTGACTGGCCGAGCACCCGTTGCTCTTCCTTGATCTCCGGTGGCGGCATTTTCTCCAACACACCTCTTCGAATGGAGTCGTAACCGAACATGTTGCTATATTCAACGGCCCTCTGCTGGATCTCAATGCTAAGGTCAGCCGTTCTGGAATTCATTAACCGCCTTATTCGTTCAATTTGGGACTGATCAGACATCCTCGTAGTCAACTTCATGGCAGAAGTGATGATGTATTCGGTTACCACTTGATTTGCATATGTCGAGTTGAGGATTGTCGTGAACAAGTCGACAACGTCGCTTTCTTTGACTTCCTTCACCAGCTCTTCTTCCTCATACGATCCACCGCGAAGGAGAGCATCACCATATTCGCCAATGACCCAGACTGCAGCCAGAGTCAGGGCCTCCTGTGTGATGTCAGACTTCAGGGCCGCGTATAACTTCTGGACTGCATAAGTTTGCTGATCCGCCGAGGTGGCGATGAGGCGAATGAAGGACGACAGAATCTGCTCTTTGACAAAGTTTCCTGCTAGCTTGACAATCCTCAGCATAGTATCGATGTGCCAGCGTTTGTTAGGGGCGAATCGATCTGCGGCGATGCCAATTTGCGTCGTCATCACGGGTTTGAACTCGGTATCAGCGACTTCCAGAAAAGCCAACAATTCTCGTATGAGTACGCGTACATTGTCTTCTCGGATCAGGGTGAAGCTGAGATCCAGCGCCCGGCGGCGGATGGAGATATCTGGGTCTCTCAAGCATTCTAGGATGGTATTTCGATGCCTTTGAACCGCATTGGGCTCAATGGCGACCACCTTGATCAATGTGTTGAGTGCGACATATCGAATGTTGTTGTCCTTGTTGGCCAAGAACTTCCCTAGGATGTTGACGCCCAGCACCCTCAGACCCGAGTCGGCTTCGATATCTAGAATAGTGAGAACCGCCTCGTACAATATGGCGTTGCCAACATTCTTGGTGGATTCGGTATTGGTGGCGACCTGTGCCAGAATGTCGTTGATCTGCTCGCTGGTCGCAGCGTCTCCGCGCCCCAGAACTCGGAAAAGCCGAAGGATCTTCACTTGCAGGAAAGGATCTGTGATCCCGGAAACATCATGTTCAGGAGTGTATCCCGAGCTCGTCAGACTTTTCAAGGTGCGGACCAAGTGTGGTACAACAGGCCGGAACATTTCCACCACGCCTTCTTCACCACCTTCTGCCTCATCTGCCTCGCACATACTCGTTATCAGAGTCAATCCGCAAAGGAGGACTCCATGATTTCTATCCTGTAACAATAGTTTGGCTTTTTCAAGGAAATGTTCTTGCAGATCTGGGACTTTTCGGCATATTCGCATGGCGCAGAGCGCAGCCTTTCGACGTATGTAGGGGTTGGCGGTGGACACCAGCGTCTCGACTTCGGGAAACAAGTCTCTGGACATTTCAACTGAGGCAATGTTGCCTAAGGTGCAGAGGGCCAGTCCAACGACATATTGATTCGAATGATTAAGATCGCTGTGAACGGTCAGTAAGGCTCTTCAAGGGCCCAATGCAGTGCATACGTACTTCTTCAATGAGTTCGTGACCAACGTGAGGACTTCTTGGTTCTCGTCGAGCAGCAGCATTGTCCCCAGATAGCCCAGTCGTTTGTCCGCAAACCTTGGAGAGGCCAGGAGTTTGAGGCACTCTATCTGGCCGAAATGTGTGCGTTCTCCCAGCGTGAAAAGATATAGCAGCTTTGCGACATTGTTCCTTCTATTTCAGGTCAGAAACATCCCTTCTCACATCGCAGTTGTGATGGAGCGACCTAATATTGTGGTCCCCGCTCTCTTCTCGAAAGCTAGCCCTGATTGCGGCACTTTCTTTTTGGACGACAGCACGCTCGTCTGCAATGGTCTTGGAGGCCCGCACATTGCGGATGAATTGTTTAACTTGAACACTTGTCAGTAGGCCTCGAGCAGCGCAGACAATCCACAGGGCGACTGACGGGAGGTCATGATGGCTCACGCTGACCCAAAGTCCGGGTCGTGGAAGGATGTTCACTCTGTCATGGGGTTTTGGAACTATCGTACGACCGTCTGGATAGACCTTATATTTAGCTGGCGAGCGAGGCTGACGGATACACTGTGATGTCTGCGACCGTTGACAATCCTGGTGTCCGAATATCGGTTCAGGAACAACCTCATGCGTCCGCAGAAGTGTCCCTTCAACAGCGGCCAATCGGGGCCCGTGTCACGCCAAGAGCCGCTGCATTAGCCGCTTAAGTATTTAGGTAGATAATCAACTGCTAAAGCGATACGTACCAGAGTAACTTCCAGGTGGTTACTACTCCGTGGTCCGCCCTCCCTATCGAGTTCTTATTGCTGGCTCTAGGACATTGAGAAACTCCTCCCGGGGCATAGTAAACACCTTCCAGTTCGCCCAGAATGCCCGAGCATGTCGAAATATTCTCGCGGAGGATGTGCAACTTGCCGACAGGCACATACCAAGTGTGATGAAAAGGAGCCTGCATGCTCCAGATGTATGCTTTCAAGCATGGCCAACCTGAGAAACAACGATCTGATTGAAGTTCAGGCACCAACCGAGGCTGGCTCTGCCCTGGATATCGACGGCCCCTCCGCTGGTCCTTGAAGCACGAGAAAGTTTCCAAGCCGGATTCGTCCCTTTCGGGTGTGACAGCTCCAAGGTCTAATTCCTCTCGAAATGCATCCTGCCACGAGAGCTTTGATTCCTCTCTCACCGGCCGACATTATGACTATGGAGGACCACCCTCTGATCTACATGCCACCCTGGGGTACGACGACGCAAGGCCCAGGCCACGATCAGCACAGGAAGTAATGGGCAAGTTATCTTCAGAAGCATTCTCTTTGTATAACCTTGGAAGGACACCTGCCTATCAACGAATGTCATCGATTCTCCAGGATTCTGTTCTGCTCTTCAGTTGCTACTCTGGGATCTTGTCTCGTGTTCTATCCATTTATGATGGTCGGTTCAGCCCTTTCCGTGCTGCGGCACTGTCCCAGTGGAGGCGGTCGCCACTACTCTTCTCTGCGTTCAAGTATTTTGCCAGTATCTACAGATCGGGTCTCGATGCAAACTGTCATCCTTCTGTCGTTGTGAACGAGGCACGGCTTGGGGTTCTGGGCGAACTGTCTTCCAGCCTCGTGGCTATCAGCAGGTCCATTCCCGCTCGAAAGACAGAAGTCCTCTTTGTTGTGTGCATGTTTGGCCTCAGCAGTAGCTGGTACGATTTGAAGGACCTCGGATTGGAACACTACGATGCTGCCTCTGCTCTTCTGTCCGAACTACAACAGGAGAACTCCAGGGTTGCGCCAAGGGCCACCCAATTCTTCGCGGAATTCCTGGTATATTGGTGGATGATGCTGTCCTTTGCTTGTGGTCCGGAGACACGCGAAATTCAGAACCCACCGGCAATTTGCCCTCACAACTCGCGCGAGCCACGAATGCCTCATCCTCTTACTGGTATCTCGCCAGAGTCTCAAGTCCTCCTGGGAAAGGTTGGCCGTCTTGTCCTCTTGCAGCGCAGGAAAGTGCTTCACCTGCAAGTGACTGCGGCGGGGGCACTTCTTTCCACACTCCCTGATGTTGAGAAGCTTCGAGAACTTGAACATCAACTGATGTCCTTGGAGTTTCCCAAACCCAACATGGTCTTGGATCCGCAAGACCCTTATACTTCCGTCCGCGACCTGTTCAACATCGCCCAAGCATATCAACTGTGCGGGCTTGTCCTACTCTACCGTACTTACCCCAACCTCCTAGATTTCAATCCAGCCAGGGACACTTCGCACGCCATAAAAATGCGGACCCCCCGGAGTCCTGGAACGATCTCGGAGTATCCAATATCATTGGCAATTCACGCTTTGCAGGTGTTGGAGCAGAACTCGAGAAGCTCCGGCACTCGGACCATCGAAGCAATACTGCTTATGATCATATCAGGGGAGCTTTCGCAGAGCACCGTTACTCCATCCAAACGTGAGGGCGAGGCACGGTGTGACATATGCTTCCAATTGCCTGCAATCATGCAGTCTCATGAGTTCTCCAGCTTGCATCGGCAAATGACGATAGTGGAAGCCAGGGCTCTGGTTATCGCTCGGTTTGAACGAATCCAACATATCCTACCCTTTGATACAATCCGGCATATGAAGTTGTTAGTCTTCGAGACCTGGAGACTCATGGATCAAGGATCAGGTGTCTTTTGGGTGGACTTATTGATCAGAAACAACTGGCAATTTGTGATGATCTGATTCGGCCACGAGAACTTCGAGGCACAGCTTGGCCAGCAAGTCTCGATTACGGATTACTCCGCGATCAGAAACTGGATGACTTCCGTTGAGTGTCCCATAGTGACTCCTGTTTCGGATGTGGTTTGTCTCTCATTCTTTGCTTCTTACCAGCGCTTTTTCTCCTACATTCTACTGCGCATACCTCTCCCAGGATTGACGCTGTAAACACGAGCCTCGCAATGCACGTCCTGGTTGTGGTTTGTCATCCCAAGCAGGAGTCTTTCACCCACGCTATTACCGATCAAGTTATCAAGGGAGCCCAGAGCAAAGGTCATACGGTCAAGGTCATCGATTTGTACCGAGATGGTTTCAATCCGATCTTTACTCCACGCGACTGGGAGCAATTCGAGGGTGTTACAATGCCTGAGGATGTGCTTGAGCACCAACGTTTCGTGGAAGAATCAGACGCAATTTTTCTCGTCTTCCCCATCTGGTGGTACCAGATGCCCGCCATGATGAAGGGATGGCTGGACAGGGTTTGGTCAGCGGGCTGGTGCTACAAATGGGAGCGCAATCCTGAAGGCAGCTTGTTGAGCCACCGGCCTTGTACAGTCCTTGCTCTCGCTGGCGCGACTTCTCGACAACTCGATAGATGGGGCTATGACAAGCAAATTCACCATCTCTGGCGATATGGTGTCTTCGGCTACTGCGGATTTGAACCTCTGAGAATCACTATCTTTGACGACTGCTCTTACCCCGAAGGGGGGAAGCACGCTGAACATCTGCAGGCAGCGTTTCGAGCAGGGCAGAATATTGGTCACGATCCCGAAGCCCTTCCGGGAATCAAACCGTTCTTAGACAGGGGCCTGACCATCCGAGGAGAAAAATACACTGGGGAGTGACCAAGCTGCCTGGTTCAACGCCGACTGGATCTAGTTTACGAACAGGAGCCTATCGGAAGGGCACCTATGGGCGTGCTGAAAATTGGTGAGCACACAGAATGCCCAGAGATAGGACGGACTTTCCGCATGCTTCGCACAAGACTTCTGATAGAATTCGACAATGATGATTTGCACTGCGGACACCCCTTGTGCATTTGTTCGCGCCCAACGAAGCCCGGGATGCAAGACCGTTTAAACACTCCATCTTTGCAGGATAATCGCGGCATCTGTCATTGGCCGAGTGATTATTACGCCTTACTCAATTTGACGCAAAATTGCGAACATCCTTGAACGTTTGATCCAGGCTTAACCACAACATAGCTCGAGCCGAGGGACTTTGGGTGCACCTACTCGCCAATCATGCAAGCTGATAGCGATTCATGGCTGGATACAGCAAGCCATTCTCTAAGATGTTCAAAATGCTTGCAGGTCTCTTGCCAGTACTTCCAGCACGGACGCTTGGGTGGTATTCTATATCTAGCTTCCCGAGCTTTTGGCAAGACTGATCTATTCTACATCAATTCTGCCTGGGCCTGGAGAAGGGACTACACAAACACTGGGTGATTTCGCCGGTCGACTATCTCACGAATATTTCAAGATGAATGGCACGACTAATGGTGTGGGCACACATGGCCCGGTTAGCAACACCCTCCCGGCGTCCTGGTACCGCGAGGAAGGAATGTACGAATTGGAAAAACGTGCCATCTTCTCCAAACAATGGCTCTGTGTCTCCCATTCTCTGAGATTCCAAGAAATCGGGGAGTTTGTGAATTTTGAGATCGCTGGCTACAAATTCTTCGTCATTCGCGACCGACAGAATGAACTGAAGGCTTTCTTGAATATATGTCGGCACAGAGCATATCCCGTGATTGAGAAGCAAAGCGGTCAGGGTGGGAAGATTAGTATTCTAGCATGCAAGTACCATGGTAAGCCGGCAGATATGACACACGGTGCATCCTCTCGCCTCCTGCTTCGCCGCTGATCGACGCCTATCAGGATGGTCTTATGGTCTATCCGGCAATCTCGCAAAGGCACCGCGTTTCGAGACGGTGGAGAACTTCGACCGGTCTCGATATTCGCTGTATGGTGTTCATGTGCGGACTGATAGACTCGGCTTCGTCTGGGTTAATCTCGATGCTGCTGACCCACCAACAGTCGCTTGGGAAGATCATTTCGCAAAGGTTGACGAGCAGCCACGCCAGAAAGACTTTAGTATGGAGGACTTTAAATTTGACCATGCATGGGAGATGGAGGGCGAGTACAACTGGAAGGCTATGGTAGACAATTATAACGAGGTAATGTCGGTCTCTAGTTCAAGCACTGCAAGCTGACGACAAGCTCAGTGTTACCATTGCACAACTGCACACCCAGGCATTCTGGCAACCACAAAACTCGACACTTACGATGTCAAGGGTATCAGAGCCTGGATTGAACACTATTCGGAGCCGCTGGATAGTGTTGAACACAAGTACGGAGTGCAGCCTACTTACTTCTTCCCCAACGCTGCCATATTGATATCGTAAGTGTCGTTGATGCAATCTCGCACATGTCTTCCTTACTGACAATGGAACAGCGATGGGATAACTTATCTCACTCGGTTCGCACCAAACTCCGCAACCTCACTCAAGCTGGAATATGAGGTCTATCGGCACAGATCGTGCTCTGATCAAGACTTCGAAACCATGAATCCCTTTTTCAAGCAGGTCGAAAAGGAGGATCTCGAGCTCTGTAACGCGGTGCAGCGCAATCTCAATATGGACACATATGTCAAGGGACCACTACATCCGCACAACGAGAAGGGGGTCATCTATTTCAAGAATCTTGTGAGGGAGTTCCTGCACAAACATATGGAGGAAGAGCAACAAGCTGGGCGAAAGATCTATCCCGCTCGGAGGGACGATGACAGCCAAGAGATCGCGGCTGAAGAGGCCTTCTGTCGCCTTGCCTGCGATGGGATCGGAGCAAAAGCAGTTCCCGAGTGGTAGATGCTGCCAGAGATCAATGTACTGTCAGACCGCATAGAGCCGCCGCTGGCATCCTCGCAAGATATTCAGGATATAGTCTCTTTACATCTCATCAACCTCACTGTCCCCATCACCCAGTAGGAATACCACGGAGTCCACGCTGGTGTCACAATATCACGAGAGGGTCGATAGCAGACACCACCCAAGAATCAGATGCTGGTGACTGTGGCCCAATCGGCGCGCCTGAGCGTCACGGAAGCCGAGGCTGACGTCTGAGGGCGACGAGTTTGGGGAATGGTAGTGCTGATTGCTCCATTTTCGGTAGAGATTAGGACAATCCAAGGTCAGTCTGCACATTCGGATTCAGGGTGTCCGAACATCCAATCTTGCATTTAGTACTGCAGCAGGTCCTTTGAATTTTGCATCCGGAATCATGGATGCCTGCTTTCCTGTCGTGCCCATTGTTCTGTAGCGCATCTTTAGCATTCCTATTCCTTTTTTCTTCTTGAATACCCCGCCATGGTACCTTCTCGCTCTACGAGTCAAGAGCGAAACATCCTGCGTCCGCGGCCGACAAGGGCGTTGCCGGAGGCCTTACGTGCTCCTAGCCAAGGTCTGAATGGCTTTGCTGATGTCTCGTCGAGCATCTCAAGGCATGTCATCCCTCTATCTACAAACACTGCGATGCTGACATTTGAGACCTTAGCGGTCGTTCCACGCCAATTCCTCAGGATGCACCGCCTTCAGTCCATTCCCTTTCCACAGCGCGAAAAGCTGCTCGTGCTCAGGCGAAGCACCGCTTGTTCTATACAATCGATTACGTGTCCCGGGTCTCCTATTTCGATGCGCGGAGCGAATACCGCGACTTTCGTGGCTTCTTCGTCCTTTTCTGGATCAGTCTGACCATCATGGTGATCACGACGTGCTTGAGAAACATCAAAGAGACGGGTCATCCTCTGCGGGTCGAGGTCTATGCTCTGCTGTCACGGAATGTCATTTCTTTGGGCCTGAGCGACGCTGCCATGGTGGCAAGTACCGCGCTGAGCTTGCCCATCCAAAAATTGGCACGAGGCACGAACGGCGTCCTGCGATGGCGAAGAGCTGGAATCTGGATACAAAGCTTGTTTCAAGTGCTATGGCTGGCATTATGGGTGAGCTGGCCGTTCTTGCTGAGTTGGACCTGGACTGCGCAGGTCTTTTTCGCTCTCCACACCTTGACCTTCCTTATGAAGATGCACTCCTACGCCTTCTACAATGGCCATTTGAGCGAGACGGAGCGACGCCTGCGAGCCCTCGACAAGCCAGAAACGGCGGACCGGGGCAAGGCGGTCAAATACCCCAGCTCACCCTCTCGCTTGCGTCAGATGGACTCAGAGAGCTCCGAGGAAGAGAAAGAAGACGAGCAGGATCTGGCACAGCTCCGGCAAGATTTGGCTACCGAGTTGACTTCTCCCCTTGGACAAGTCACGTACCCTCAAAATCTAACGCTGTACAATTACCTCGACTACGTTCTATGCCCTACTCTTTGCTACGAGCTTGAGTACCCAAGGACACCCAAAATCCGGTGGCATGACCTCTTCTACAAGACCCTTGCCGTCTTCGGCTGCATATTTTTGATGATCACAATCAGCGAGGAGTTCATCATGCCAGTCCTAGCCGACTCGGCTGCTCGGCTGCGCCTGACGACATCTCTCTCTGAAAAAGCATTGATTCTGGCTGAGACTACCAGCATGATGCTGTTCCCGTTCATGATCACCTTCCTCCTAGTCTTTCTAGTGATCTGGGAGTACATCCTGGGCGCATTCGCAGAGATCACTTGTTTCGCCGATCGCCATTTCTATTCGGACTGGTGGAACTCCAGCGACTGGCTCGAGTTCAGCCGCGAGTGGAACATCCCGGTCTACCACTTTCTGCGCCGACACGTCTTCTTCTCTTCCAAGACGTACTTCTCGACCCCAGTTGCCATGACCATCACCTTCCTGGTAAGCGCGCTTGGTCATGAGCTGATCATGGGCTGCATCACCAAGAAACTGCGTGGATATGGCTTCTTTGCCATGATGCTCCAATTACCGATAGTAGCCCTGCAGAGGAGCAAACTGGTCCGGGGACGGTGGGTGCTCAACAACGCCGCATTTTGGGGCAGCATGATTCTGGGGTTGAGCACCATGTGTAGCTTATACGTCTTGGTTTGAATGGGAGCTTCGATAAAGACGATACAACCATCACGTGTGTAGAATATAATAGTCTGTGACAATAAGAGACCAATAAGAGACAAACAATAACAAGACAATTCCCTAACATCTGAGAGGTCTGGCAGCCACTTGGTGTTGAAGGGTCATAGGGTCAACAAGACTATGTCGGCCTTGGCATGATTTTGCAGTAGGTGGCAAAACCGAATTTTGAAATCTCTCTCGCTGCTTTAAAATTTCTCTTCTCAGTAGCTTTGCCGACCCGAATATCACCTTGAACATCACCAATTTCAGCGAGAGAAAGTCGCTGCTTTAACAGATCACTACACAAGACTTTACGCTTTTCCAATTCCGACAATATGCCTGGCGTGTAAGTTCCACTCTGATTTTGTGCACTTCACCCCCATCCTCTCTGTTTTTATTTGTCTCCATCAACGACGTGACGACAACTTCACCCCTGTCCACGGCTGTCCAGACCTGAGACAAATTCTCTTGAGTCTGTTCTCAACGACAACCATGCCCTTCATGTTACCTCACAACGTCTCCCGGTTGCCTGCAACCTTTCTCTCCTACCCTTCAACCCACCTTCTTGCATAGTCTCCCGCCCACAACATTCAAGGTCTTTGAAAAATCACTTGGCTTGGAACAGCGGACAACAAGACGACAGACAGTGAATGAGCAATGTCGATGGTCTGTGCTTCATGCCTCTCTTTTACCTTGACGCCGTCCTGTGCAACGCTGCACTCGACATGCCCTACGACTGGACGCCGTCAACAAGCCACGTTGTCATGGAGTTGCACCCGCGTCGCCTTGCCTCTCAATACACACCTAACCCATTTTGCTCATTTGGTTGAACTCATCACTGACATCTTGATGTTCGACAGACCCAAAAGTGCCACCATGTGGAAGTTTATCCACATGGCAACCCGCCCAGAGCGCTTCTTCGTCCGGGGTGGAGATGAGCTCGAGTACAACTCGGCCATCGTCCTCAGTCCCCAGGGAACGCCCATCCTCGTCAACGGGCAGCGGTTGGTGGTGCCTCGGCTGCGCGTGAAGCGCGATTCGGAGGGAAAGCCAGTCCGGCGGGCGCCGGAGCTTTGGCTGTGGGAGATGGAAGATGCCGATCAGGCGGAGGCTGATGGCAGCGAAACGTGGATGGAGCTGGGGTTTTTCTCAGGCCCGAAGGACCTGGAGAAGAAGTTGTTGGACTTTCTCGCGCGGGATTTTGGAGACGCGGTCACCGGACCGGCCGGCGCGTTGCAGGGCGGGCGCGGCTCCTGGGACCGCTTTATCTTCCACCGCCCAGGGGAGCAGCCAAAGCGGATGACAGAGGTCCGCGAGGAGTATTGGCAGGAGCAGAAGCGACTGGAAGAGGAGGAGCGGCAGCAGCAGCAGCAGCAACAGCAACAGCAACAGCAACAGCCCTGAAGGTCCCCCTCTGCCCTCTCTTGCCCCTCTCTTTCCCCTTTCGACTTACTCCGTTCTCTCCGTGGGATGGTGGTTGGATCGGTCGCGCTCCCCTGGGCGGTGTCGGTGTCGGTGGCTTGTCTCTGTTTGGGTCGGACGGTTATCGCCCTTTCATCCCCCAAGTCAGCGCCGCAAGGGCTTTCTGAAGGGACGCCCCTCCCATAGTTATGAGCTCCGCTCGTCAACGTCGTTACAGCGTTTGACAACTATGGGAACGGGTGAGGGTCTGGTGCGAATATACATAGGCACACTCGATAGCTTGTTGAACTGAGACTTGGTTGACCCCCAGTCCTTGAATGTGTCCCTTTCTCCAAATTCGACGTAACAGACAAAGTGGGACAGCAACAGTGGTTAACTGTCTTACAGATTTCGAAGATCGCTTGAGCTGTATACAAGCAGCTAGCAGAGGTGTGAATGAACTGGACCAGCATAAAGCCTTTCCTGCCTTTGACTATTCTCGGAGATGACACGACAGTCACATCATCAGCAGATTGTCTGAACACCGGAACAATGTCACAACGCTGGAACACAATCAGAAATCAAGATGCGCCAGTATCCCACCATGACCTGATATCCAAAATGGGCCCCCAACTCCAAACATTTGTATATCAGCACAGATCACCCATCCCACCTTTCTCCGGTTCGCGAGTCCAACCGGCGGATCGCCAGTGCCACAGACGCCAACAATAAAAAGGGCAGATCAGCAACTTGGAAAGGCCAAGTGGCTGACAAGTGGCTCACATCACCACACAACCACCACTCCTGGCACGTCGCCGCCCTCCTCGTGGGGGCCTTCCAGGCGCAAACTCCTGACCACTGGCATCTTCATCTCCCGTTCCGGCATCATGAGCCGCACCGTCTTCGTCATCTCTGACACGGAATTCGGCTTCGCGAGCCCGCCGTCTTCGGCGCCTCGAGCTCCAGCCATGACCGACGACACCGACCTCTTCGCTGGCGACCATCCACTCTGCCCATTTCTGTTCCAAGCGGGCAGCTGCACCCCAACGGCCGGTGACGCAACGTTTGTAATGCTCCTCTACCGTTTGCTGCCAACCATAGAAGGCTTTGAGATGAATGATTTCGGTGGGGTAGAGCAAAGTTTGGATCTCAACCACCTTCCGAATTTCCTGTTTCTCGCCGAACTCATCTTCCGCATTGAATGTCTGTACCACTGACTTCTTCCGACCTTGCATGACGCGGCCATTTCCCTGAAGAATCTCGCGGACGCCGGCCCAGGTGACGTTGGCGCAGTCAAACGCAACCAGCTCTAGGCCCTTCTCAGGCCGTTGTGACTTCTTGGTCGTGCTACCCCGTTTGCGGACTTGCTCAGAGGCTTCCATGAGCACCAAGTCAGAGATTCTTGTGTTGTCCAAGCACAGAGACTTGATACGAGGGCAGGCCTTGAGCAGAGGCAACACGCCGATATCTCCTATCTGCTCGCAGTAGGAAACGCTCAGGTGTTCCAAGGTCTTCGCAGCCTTTGACTTTGAAAGATTGATCAGTGTTGCATTCGTCAAAAGATCAACTTCTTCCACTTCAAGGTGCGTCAAACGGTGTGTTGACTGCACGAGATCTTCGAAGGCATCATCAGTCAAGGCCGTGTTCTGGCACGTCCGGAGACCTTCCAAGTATGGTACGTTATATGCAAGGGCTTTGACACCTCGGTCGGTTAGATTTCGACAGCGCGAAATATCCAAATGTCGTAATCGCCGCGGAGGCACCACTGGTCGGTCAGTCAGAACATCCCGTTCGGGGTCGATGCCGTGGATCATGATCTCCAGAGCCTCGTCTGTCAAGCTGTCACAATGCTGGAGGATTAACCTCTCCAGAGTATTACGCTGGAACAATTCGAGCATAAATTCGTTGTCATCCAACCCTCGAACCTCGCTGGCCCGCAGATCGGTGAGGTTTGGACAAGATTGGATGACCTTCTTGAGACCTTTGGTGTCAATCTGGGAACACCAGTCGATGTTCAGAAGCTCGAGCTGAGGGCAATGGCTGGCAATGATTTTCATGGTTGCATTGTTGATGTTCTGCATGCTGGGCATATTGATATGGAGCAGTCTTGGGTTCCGGAGAAGAAAGAAATGAATGGACGACCGCTCAATTTTGCAGCCTTCGATGCTGAAGTTCTCCAGGTTCCGGCACTCTTGGTTTGTCATTCTGGTCCCCAGACTCAGCCACTGATCCCGCAGTTGCACACATCCCCGGAGATTGAGGTTCTTGACAAAAGCGCCGGCCTTGAGCATGATCTTAATCAGAGCCTCCGAGGTGATTTGTTGGTAATATGTCTGGCAGTCGAGACTCGTCCACAACTGGCCATCAAAGCACATATCATGCCACTCCTTGGACACTGCAGAGATCCTGATGATCTCCTTGGGTGATAGGAAACCCAGCACGTACACTCTTATCTCATATGGCAGGTCTTTCCAAAAGTTGAAATTCGGTCTTCGAGGGAACGGCTTCTCTGAGATCTCAGGCAGCGGAGTGGAGAGAGGTTTCGAGGTGCGAATATCGACCGGTACAGGGACGGTAGTGATCTCATTGGGGTCCAATGGTCGGAGTCGGGCGTTTGTCTCAAAGTAGGACTGCTGGCTGCAGGGCGAACCGGGCGTCGTTGGCGCTGTAGAGAAGCCATTGGAGAAGGCGTAGGAAGCGTGGGGTGATAAGGAGTATGTCGAGGGCGGAGAATTGAGAGAGACGCAAGAGATGGAGGCCTTCTGGCCGGACTTGTAGACCTTCTCGCTTGAGCGGGTTCGACCCAACTTGGCAAGGGACGGAGAAGAAGACATCCGCTGCAGGCCTTGAAGCAATCTGTGCCGCCCTTTGAGCTTGACAGGCTGGTCAAAGGCCGTTTGGGCCTCCATGAGAGGGCTGGCCGGAGTCATTGGCCTTGGAGAATCGAGCGGTCGAGGTTGAGAGGCAGACGGGGAGAAGGTGATGGTGTTGGGCATGGCTGCAGGAATTGACTGCTGCTGCGCCATGATGTAAGTGGGAGGCTCGGACACCAACATCAAACGTAGAAGTTGATGTGCAGGATCAAGTACAAATGCAGCTCCGGCCGATGCTGTAGGATGGTATGTCCGATCAAATCAAGCAAGCCAAGCGAGGGAGAGGCCGCCCCTCACGCCCTCGTTGAAAAGGGATTGCTGTAAGGTAGTAGAATCGAGTTGGCCAGCAACTGTTCTCATATAGGTAGAGGAGGAGAGGAGGAGAGCGAAAGCGAGTCGATCAGAGGAGCAGTCAGTCCATTTGCAGGACCGAGCGACGACGGTGAGGTCAGGCGACTTGAGAGGCACCGGATTGAAAAGAGCGTCAACAAGATGGAGATTGGGGCAGCGTGGTAAGAAGACCAATCCAGGATTTTGAGAGGCCGAGCCGAGACAAGGAACACGCAATTGTTGCTGGTGATGGGCGCGGACATACGAGTGCAGCTGATAGTCGCATGGATACCTCCCTAGTGGTAGCGAAGTGGGTGTCATCTTGTCCGGTGTAGGAGACGGAACGAGTCCATCAGGCGATACGGGCGGGAGGAGTCAAGAAGCAGGGTGGGTTGAGTCGACGACCTACTATCACGACTCAGGTTAGGGGGAGAGGGAAGGGGGAGCGGGGGCAAAAGGGTTTGCAGAACCTGAGAGCAAACAGGCACGGGCATGGGCAAACGGGGCAGCCACCTGCTACTGCACCAAAAGCCGCCGAGGCGAGGCCAGCTCGCGGTACAAGTACGGAGTATCTACTTGTGCTGAGGGATCCTCAAGGCCTAGGGGCAGATGAGCAGCATGCGATGGGCGATGGGCGAGGGGTTCCAGCTGCCACCACTGGTGGGATGTGGGAAAAAACGGTCGAATTTGGCTTATCGGCGTTATCGATAGGCTGGCCTGGCCCCTATCAGTGCCAAGGTTCCAGCTAAACTAGCCAGAGACTCCTCCCCAATGAAAAATGTCCAGGTACTCCTTACAGACCACTCACTACACCAAGCAACTCGATCCTCCTCCGAGCCCACCATCCCCCCAAACCATGTCATTTGTATCCGCCCACTGGCAACTGACTGGTTCACCGAACATGCACTCACACGGTTACAGTTGTCCATCTGATGACCCTGCAGGGCTCTGATCAAGATAACGCGGTGCAGACCACCAGGAGTAAGGGTACTTCTGGCTGGTGAGATTCCACATGAAATCTAAGGCAAATGATCAACGGAGAGAGTGCGTTTGCTTTTTCTTTTCCTGGCCACCAAGGTGTCATCGCGTGCTTCCGGAGAGTCAACTCATGCCCTCTCTTGGATGTTTTTGCCATCCAGGGGTTGTCCTGGCCCTTCGATGCCGTGGCTCTCTCGTCTAGCGGCCCATGCAGTCCCTGACGCGGCCAGCCTCTGTGCTTGACTTGTGAGCCACCGACTCTTGCTAACAGTTCTTCTTCCCCCACAGCAGATCTGCCGACCACTTGCTGGTTTGCTGAGCGCTAGTGGGGACAGAGGCTGTGTTTTCAGCCTAGAGACTAGGAAAGTCACTGCGGACCCTGGCCGCTTAACCGAAGAAGAGCCCATCTCACCTTGGTGCGCCTTTGCCTCGTGGCCACCACCTCGCCATCCTATTCTACTCGCCCAAATGCGGCGGACCTCGACTCGACTCGGCCCATCCTACGCGTGGTTCCGCCTCTAGTTGGAGACATGCAGACCGTTTTCCATGCGAAGCAAGGTCCAGGCCCTTTGCAATATCTGCGAGATTCCGAATCCTGTTTGGTTAGCCGGCGTTGGTGGTACCCATGCCACCGCGGCCGAGCCCTTCTCGAAGGACATCTGTACGAATTGAAAAGCGATGGCTGGTCTCCAAGTAGCAGGGGGGTTGCGGTCCCTGCTCACCGTGGGATGCAGGGGTAACCACAACCACTGCTTGGGGTGGTTTCTGACCGCGTAGGGTCACGATCTTCCCCCTTTGCCTCCTGCGATTAAGGACCAACCGGTATCTCGGTTTCTCAGTTGTCACATGGGATGTCGTCAACTGCTCATGGGGCGAAGCCGTCCATGATTGACCTCCCTGTGCCTTGATTTTGACACTTTTGATAACCTCTGTGACGCCAGGCTCGATGTGAACGCGCTGATCCGGGGCTCTTTTCCGAACCGAGGACGACATTCTCTCCCTCTTCCTGCCGACGTTGTCGTCAGAGAAACGGCTGAGGCCTGACCGCACGGCAGTTCCCCAGACGCCATCCACCGCCCGCATGTTTCTCGGAGTAAGGCCGAACATGGCGTTATACCCCAATGGCATGAGCTGCCAATGTGGACTGGGGTGGAATGGCCTTCGGTGGCAGGTTTGTCTCATCACTATTGGCCCGACAAGACTCTGCTCCGTCCGGAGGTCCTTTCTCTAGCTTAGATCCCCACAGTAGCACTTCCCTTCCCCAGCTCTCAAAATTCGGCTGAATGCGCTTCGGAGTCTTCACGGGCGTTCATCCTCCTTGCTGGAGCCACCAAAGTGGACGGGTGGGGAGATTCACGAGACTATGTCTACTTGGTCCCGCCGAAGGCTCATTACGAGGAGAACGCAGCAGCTTGAAGCGGAACCTGGAGAATAGGTATAATTGAAAATGCTCCACATCACATTTGGAACTTTAGTTCAAAAGGTACTATCCGTCTGCCGAGGGACAACTACCCTCCAGACTGAACGGTGGGAGTCGACCGCATAGACCTCTCCACAGCTCGAAATTGAGAACCGACCGTTGCTGCGCTCATGCGAGGCATGTTCTTGGCCCGGTGTATCCAAGTGGATGCCATGCTTACCCCATGCTTCATTGTCCTGGGAGCCTGTTCTCGACCGAACTGTGACCTCTCCGCGAAAAGGAGCGCTTCCCTACTCCGATTGTCGTCCCTTTGGGATGTCTGCGGTTTGTCGCTGGTGCCCGGCAAGCTCATCCATATTCGCACATCTGCCCCGTTCAGACTCTTAGCATTCAAAAGACCGCTGGTCCAACTTGTCGAAAGTGCAGTTGTTCCCCCAGCAAAGATTCATCGCAACCATTCTTTTTTCTTTTTGGCCGTAAGTCTGTTCATTTAGCACATATAGCACATAAAAGCCCCCAAAATCAGCCAATCATTTCAGTCATCATCATCTTCTTCAAGCCAAGGATCGTCAAGAACTTCTTCAATGGTGACACGTCTGTCCACGTCTCGGTCCAACATCTTGCGAATGAGCTCTAGGCACTCTTCAGAAAATGGCAAGAACGGCACCCGCAGCGGGTGATCGAGGATTTCGTCTGTCACAAGTCAGTCTGCAGGCAACTCAGTCCTCCCGTGGCGCTGCTGACCTAAATTATAAAAAGGATCTTGCGAAGAGTTAGTCATGCCTCAATGAAGGGGAGGGATGTTGGACCTACTTTCTTTATACGCAATGGTGTATAGCAAGATGCCCAATGCCCATACGTCTTGCTCCTTGCCGCCATAGGGCTTTCCGTGAAGAACTTCTGGAGCGGCATAGTCTGCACATATTAAAAGACAGACACCACACATATCTCGATTGAACTCACCTATAGTTCCCACGAACACGTCGAATGGTCCATTTTTGATGTACGCCGCGCTGCCAAAGTCAATCAGTTTGATTCGTCCTTCGCCATCCAAAACAACATTCTCGTCCTTGATGTCTCGATGCACCACAAGAGCCTTGGTGTGAAGATGGTGAATGGCGTCCACAACCTGGCGGAAGATGTTCCGACTTTCGGCCTCGGTCATATTCGTCCTCAGCTCGATATAGTCGAATAGATCCATACCCGGAATACCATGGGGTAGCATTTCAATGTAATAGTTGATGTCATCCTCGAAGAAGTCAATCATCTCCACGATATTGGGATGTCGGAGCCCGTCTCGACGGAGATAGTCTAGGACATGGATCTCCAACGGGACGGTACCCAATCTGCGGTCTCTGGTCCAGGTGTCAACCAGGATGCGCTTCTTGGTCACATACTTGAGAACCATCTTCCTTGATTGGCCCTTCTTATACCTGACGAGCTTTACTTGACCATACGCTCCAGAGCCCATCTCCTCTAAGATAATAAAGTCATCAATGGTCTTTTTCTTGTGGGATATATATGTCATATGGGGGGGAGGATGTTCGAGCGGCTCATCCATTGTGACGGACTCTGTGTCATCGGATTGATCAGCCACGAGCGACAGTTGGGAGCTGTCTCCGGATCTGTCAGAAGGTACTGGGGGTGGAGAAGGAAGCGTTGGTGGTGGTTCTGGTTGCGAAGGTGGCGACAGAGAGCGTTCATGGGTAAGGGGCTCGTCATCGCTTGTGCCTACTCCCACACCATGGATATTGCGGGAGTAGATGATCCAAAGTGCGTAGACGAGCTCAGCCACGGCAACATTTGACTCTGCCCTGAGCTCATCTTTTTCCTCAATCACTGCCTCGTCTGACATGGGGAAGACGGCCTCACTGCGAATGACTCTCATTTGAATATCGACCATGATATCCGATCCATCTCTGTGTTTGGCAGGGACGCCGCACGGCCGTAGAAATATGTGGGCAGGATTTTCTTTGCCCTCTCGGAGCGAGAGAATGGTCCGCGCCCGGCGAAAGCTGTGTTCCGGTACGACAATCCCATCCACGAGATCAACGCCATCGTCCTGCTTTAAAATGTTCAAAACATCCTCGAAGCTGGGGATCAGATTGGCGATATGCAAGCCATCGAGTTTCGGATAGCCAAACAGCGCGGCCGAGAATATGCTGTTCGAGCTCGTGATTTTGAGAGTATCTGGGTCCAACACCATAACACCGGCTATGTGAGGTAGACTGGAGACTCGGAGCTGGTCTCCTGTAGGTGACACTTCCACCGTGGTTGGTACCTGGACATGTTCAGCGGTCTCCGCTGCGAAATATCCAATGTAATGTTTGTCGTGGGAGTCCAGTGCATCCAAGGGGAACTTTGGAAGTAGAGACTTGAGGGTTGTACCGTCCAGTTCAGATCGGCCCCATATGGCGAGTATCTCGCCATGAGCGCTTTTCACCTCTCCCGAGTGGTCAATATCGAGGTATGCGACATCTTCAGTGATCTCTTCAATCACCCAGATAAGACCACCGCGTTTTTCCATGACCCAGAAACTGGCGGCACCCTTGCTGCCATCTCGTCTTTGAATGGGCACGATGTCACCGCAAAGGAGGACGCCCCTAGATTTGCTTGACGGGTGGTTCTTAGGCTTGGGGCTGTAGTGGCCGCCAGAGCCATCGTCCGTCCTTGCTCTTTCTGAAGTTTTGTTAGCTCGAGAGGGAGCTTTACTAAGTAACCGAGCTGTAATACCACTTCTGGACCCTACCAATGAGAGGCTAGTACTCCTCGCCTCACTCTTCGGAGGAGGCGGGGACTTCGGTTCCCGAACTTCTTCAGGTCGCGACAGCCTCGTCTCCAACCAGTGCCTTCTTTCTTCCTGAATGATTCCAAGAATACTCAAAGACCGGAGTTCAGCTCGCGTAACTCCGAAAATTAGGCAAGCCAGGTCGTTGGCTGCCAGAATTGTCCAAGGAGCGTCTGCTGTTGTGCGGAAAACAGCCTGGTGCGCAGGCGACCACTTGCTGCTATGGGTATGAACGGAAGCGGCGTTTCCAGTGGTTGGCGTGGCAGGAACGCCTGTTATTGAAGATGTATACGAGGCGCCCTGCACGACATTGTTGTCATCTGCCGAGTATGGCTGCGCGAGAGCTTCTATCAGCTTCTGCTGTAAAGATACAGAGTGCAGATCAGTGTAGGTCCTCTTGAGCCCAGTCCGGCGTGGTGCGTCTATGGAATCTGATCTGGTTGGCGGTATCTGCATTTCAAGACCAGGCTCGTTCGGCGACATGTCATCGTCTATGGAATACTTTCGTTTTTGCATTTCTTCCTCCGGATCAGGGTTCACAATCGCGTGTTGAGCGTTGTCTAACTCCTGGCTGAAGCTCTTTTCGAAAACATTGCGTCCGTCGACGTGCGCTGGCCCGGTGAGGGGGCCCAGCCCGATCGCTTTGGATCTGCTGCCGCTTGTGTCAATGGGGATGATATTGGCCTTCTTGAGCAGGTCCATCATGCCCTGAAGCTCCGGATCCCCACTGACTCGTGCTTCCGCGTGGGCCAGTGCTGGGTTTGCTGCCCATGACGACCGGTCCCTTACGAAATCAATCGACTTCTGGAGGATATTTTGTCTGCTGTGGAGGATCTCCTCGGACTGTTTGGCGAAGGAGAATGAGTGGAGGGATTCCGACGGAAATCGGTGAAGATCTTCTATCACAGGAGAGGATGGTCCGCTCATCATATAGCCAGTTGAGACGGACCTGCTGGATGAGCCCGATATTGGCGCGGTCTTGGAGTGATGAAGCACAGGAGCAACGAACTCCCCAGCTTCCAAGATCAGCGTAGGCGTCCGCAACGACGGCCCTTGTCGTCTGATCCGTCGAAGGCCAGATCTACCCAGGCCATCATGGTCGACACGAGCAACCCTAGGTGTTTGTCAAAACCCGGAATCGTTAACGGACAGTATATCCACCCACCTTTTCAGGTTGTTCATCTCTTGAGTAGTCCCCGCGTCAAAGGAGAACCGCGTTCTCTGAGAAAACGTAGGTGCATCGTACTTGACGGGCTGTAGATTCCCAGTGCTCTTGTTTTTGGGGATTCGCAGTGACTGGTCTCCCCCCATGCCTGTCGAAGGTACGGCGAGGAGGGGGGAAAGAGGCGGGGTGGTGTCTCCTTCGCAGACATGTCAATACATGTCCAAAGCAGGCTGATTGCTCAAACAAGTTGCGGGTATCACCAGGCTCTTCCCAGTAGAGCCATGGGCTCAATGCATACCGTGAATATCCAATCCATTTCGTGTCATGCTGATTCTTAGCACTCCAATTCGCCGTCAGGCCGCCTGGCCGACCGATCCAGTGCCAGTATCACAGTGTCAGCCTGGAGGGACGCATCTCTCAGCAGGATGTAGACAGTGGCGAGTGTAAGATCGAGTGAGGAAATGAGTGTACGAAAACAGTTCCCTGTCTCCAAGATTTGAGTTGAGAACTTTTTTGAGGGAGCAAGGTCGGAACGGCAATGACGGACAGCGACGGGGGTCAAGCCAACTCGGTTCGAAGGGGGAAGGTTGATAAGTCGTGGCGATCCCAGGACAGGAAACAAGAATCGTCGATCAACAGGTCATCGGCTATTATGTAGGTTCGCGAGTTGGGAGGAGATTGTGGAAAGGTCGGTCGTTGTTCAAGCTGCGCAGTATTGTAGGCGCAGTTGTGCCGTCTGAGGCGATTGGTCCACCCGCACCCAGTGGCCTAATAAGCCGTTTCGCCTTGCATGTGCCTCTACCATTGACTGGGGACCGCTTGAAAGGAAGTCGGCATGGTGGGATCATCGTAGGCGTGTTTACCGAGAGATCGGGGCAGCCTCATGCCTTAAACCATCTAACTAACATCCCAACGATCGCGAACGTCGGGCTTTGGCCCACAGGAGCCAGACTTTCAACCGAAATCAAATCAAAACGCCCACTCCTCCCTGTAACCGACGGACTCTGGGCAGCACCCAGGTTTCTTTGTCGCAACCTATATCTACCTAGACGCTCGGAACACTGAGCTGATCAACGCAGAATTATCTTTCCGATCGTCATGCACTGGCACCTACTGTGCGTTTTGCAAGCACTACTGTCAAAGACGTCGGAGATATTCGACACCAACCCAAGCACCGCAGTCACTGCTTGTCGGAACAGCCGGGACTGCGTTGGAGACGTCGGAACTGTTGAATTTCGAAGGCTATGAAAATGAAAATCGGCAGATGTAGAAACTCCCAGGTCGTGGCAGTTGGACGGCTATACCCACAACGCAAAACCCACATTGATATCGTCTAACGCATCGCTCGTACACTCATTGTTACACAGTAGTCGATCGTGTCCTGCATTAGCGTTCCCTTTCCCTTCAGCCTTGGCCTCCTTGGATCTTAGTCAAGGTGAAGCCGTCATCCTCACTCCCTGAGTCTTTGCGCTCCTGCTGCGTTTTGGTCTCAGCTGCCTTCTTCTTAGGTCTGGTTCTAGACTGGCTTTCCCTTCTATGTTCTGGCAAGTCAGCAACAGAACTGACAAAGCTGGATCGGTGGCGATTTTCCCCAAGCATAAACGAGAATGATGAGTCCATCAACGATGGTCGTGACACGGCCTTGTTAGTGACCCCACCACCAGCCTTTCCGACCATGGGATCTTGGGTTGGCTCCGTGGTTCGTGATTCCGGTTTCGTGTCGTCTTCGCGGTCCTGTTCACCCTGAACAGCCTCGCCTGACTTGTGTGCAGATGGATTGGTTGTTTTGGTGGAGTTCTTTGTATCGCGGACCTTTTGTTCCTTTGGAATTGGGATGTCTGGATTGGACAGATAGACCGAGACAAATTGGATTTTCGCGAGGCATATATTTAGATCGTGCTCTGCCTCCCCAGCCCCTTCCGGAGCTGTCAACTTGATCGCCCTCAACGACTCCAAAGCATCATTGAGCATTTGGCCCAGCACCACGTTCCTTTCCTGTAACATTTCTAGTTTCTGATTCAGATTCTGTGATGGGTCCCCAGCTTCTCCTTCTGACCTTCTCGGCTCTGGGCTGACTAGCGGAGGTGTATCCAGGCTGGAATGCCGAGGGTGTGAGGATTGGTAGTGGTTCATGTTACGTCGAACTTCGCCAACTGCGCTTCTAACGGCTTTCGAAACATCCCACCCTTCAGTTCGTCTGTGCAGATTGCCTGTGACTTCTCGGAATAGCCCTTCGAGCTGTCTCTGCGGAGATGCAAACCGGCCTGGAGATGCGCTTGGTGACTGGCGGTGTTGAGCGGGTGCGGTTGGTCTGATAGCTGGTGAACTGCGGCGGCTCGGAGCTTCGGTGCGCTTCGGCCACCTGCCAGAGTATCGTTGGATCACTATTGCACCAGCTTCGCTGTCTCGATTCTTGTCCAAAAAGACGGCATCTCTGACCAGGGACCGGGGGTCTTCGGTAGAATTGGGCAGAGTATAATGAGTTAGTGCGGTGATGGCGGCGGTGTAGTCTGCTTCGATCAATGACCAACGAGATCTCAACAGCATTGCAACGCAGGTCAAATCGACGATATCTGATCTCAGGTTCTCGGCAAAGAGAACATCCCATACTTTGAGGACGTCCTTGAAATCGAATTCCCGGCCGAATAGCAGTCGAATCCAGCGGCTGGACGCTGTCAGGTATGATATTTTACGCGATGAAAAGAAGACGACTCACATAGAATAGATCTGGGGAAGAATGCCGAGCACATGCAAGTGGAGTGCCAGTTCCGGATCGACGGCACTCAGGATGTCGTCGTGGATTCTCTTGCTTCTTGCAATGATAGGAGACGAGTCGCGATTCTCTCCAACTTCGTAGAATGCTTTCGCCGTCTGCATCAAGGCGCAGAACAGGTTGAATGAGTCGTGCTCCACGAATTTGCCGTCCAGCACCTCTATCATGAAGTCCATGCCTTCGGCCTTTTTGTCACCTTCTGGAACAGCGGTTAGATCCACGGCATCTTGATGGACGACCCAGATGATAGGCGCCAGCAGCTCGTGCATTCCCTGCCGGTAGCCGATATCCGGGTTCAGCTTCGCGTAAATGAAAAGGATGTCTAGCAGTCTCTTCTGAGTAGCGGGTTCTCGGAAAAAGTAGTTGTCCTGCATGCATCGTGTTACATCCTGGAATATCTCCTCCCTGTTGATCTCGTCCTGCCGTAGACTTGCCCAGGGAGACTTTGCTTCGTCAGACGTCAGATTCTTGAAGTATTTCCAAGAGATGCAGCCACATACATTTTCGTCGTCCGCCAAGGGATCTGCAGACGAATGAAGATCATTGGGATGCTCGATGAAGCGTAAGAAGTGATCTCGCAGGGAAACGTATGCGGACCGAGACTCCGCCAACTTCTTGGACCACGAACCCTGGCTTAACGGTCCATATAGAAGAAAAGCCTGCAGAGTTGCGGTTGGTAGATGATATTTCTGGAGGGGCCCGCCAGTTACAAACCTTCCAGGAAACGGATCGCAGCCCATCCTCACATGGATCGAAGCCTTCACCGTCTCGTACAGCCTGTCTCAAATCGACTCCGATCGAGGTATTGAAAATCAACGTCCACCGGCGCCTAGACCGAAGTGAGTCCGTGAGTGATGCACAAGCGATTACACTTACTGTATATCTGCAAAGTTTCGCATGACCGCCAGTCATGTCCAAAGAAGGAGGAACTGATGAAGAGACTGTGTAGTTTCAAGACGGGGCGGAACCGAGTTGGTCGCACATGGAACGTCTAAAGTCATGGGTTCGGACTTGCAGGGCGAGTTGTCCGGGATGCTTGGCACCTGTGCCGCTTTAAAAACCTGGGCTTGTCGCTCAACGCACAACTCCCAACCCAGTCGTAAAGCCGGCATCACCTACCAACAGACGAGGGCGTATTCGGCCCCGATAAAGGGTTTCCTCGTGGGGTGAAAAAGGCCTGGCCGAGCAGAGGCCGGCATCATTCTCGTCCCAAAGCGGGCTGATTCGCTAGCAGGATTTCTATCCCTTGCCATTATCTAAGTCGCCCACTGTTACTCTGCGCTGACCACAGCCTGTGTCCGCGCTACGTTCCACAGCCCTGGCCTGTTATGTAGTCTGTCAAAAATGTCTGCCGATTTGTATGCAGCGTTTATGGCGGAGGAGACGCCTCCAAAGCCAGAGGGGACAAGCAATACACAGCCATATGTCGCGGCGACGACTGCGACTTCCACAAACGCTTCCAGTATTCAGGCCCCAACTTCGAACACGAGAATGGCTCAAGCAGCCCAGCAGCAAAAGGTGTCTTCACCCCTCTGGCAGCGAGATCCGGGGGGGAGCGATATCCTGTTTGATGCCGAACAAGCTGACTCCGGAGACGAATTTGGTGACTTTGAGATGGCGGGCGACTCCCCGAGTGATAGGAACAATACCAGACAGAATAATTCTCTGAGGCACGAGTCTACCAAGACACAAAATCCGGCACCTTTAGCTTTTGACCTTCCGGAACCAATTGAGATGCTCAATTCCTCGTCGCATCCAGAAATGAGAGTCCCCACAACCTCAAACATCCAGCGAACCCAGAGTGGTACGGAAAGCACGGAAATCGACGTGAAACCTTCTTGGGACGATGATTGGGGCGACTTTGAACAGACGGAGCCTCAACCTCCTCAATCGGTTGCGAAAGTGACCGCTCAGTTGTCCGATGATGAATGGGAGCCTGTCGAAGACGGAGTGCCTGCGTCAATGCAGCAGATTTCCCACCCGAAGTTTCCATCAATAAAAGGCAAAGCTGCGGAGGCCACTTTGCAATCCAGTACCCAAGCGTTGGCTTTTGAGCGGCCTAACAATGTCCCGCCGCCGTCCTCGCTTCTGCAGTTGCTCTCCTCTGTTTTTGAATTCATCCACCAAAACAATGCTGATAGTATGATGTCGCAATCGGAGTTAGCGTCAAGGTTGCTGGTTGTCTTTCGAGTTTCCAGCCGAATCGTCGCCGGCAGGACCCTACGGTGGAAGAGGGATACCGTCCTAGCTCAGAGTGTGAGGATAGGTCAGTCAGGCAAGAGTGGCGGAATGAAACTAGCAGCAGTAAACAAGAGTGAGACAGCCAAGGAAGAACGAGACACTGAAGAAATGGTTCGACATTGGTCAAGCTACGTCCACGAATTCAACAGCATCCTTGCTCAAGCTGAATTTCCTCCATACCGGATGAGACTGACTGCCTCCCCTCCCATCAAGAGATTGGGACAAACCAATCCCCCTGACTTGTCAAAGCAATGCGCACTCTGTGGGTTGAAGCGTACAGAAAGATTAACCGATGTGGATTTCGACGTGGATGACATTTTCGGTGAGTTTTGGGTTGAACACTGGGGCCACAAGGACTGCTTCGACTTCTGGTATTCGTACAAGAATATGCTCGAACACCGTTAGGCACGACCATTATCTTAAGGATATACCACCGGGATTCGCTTCCGCAGACTTCGAAATTCTGTCTCGGTGCCGGAATGCACCTTTCACTCGCAGCAATCGTCCTCATTCCAGATGCTGCAGGGGCCGGACGCATCGGGACACGGATCATCAAGCTCGTACCTGTCGGCCTCTCCCTCCACCTCAGCTTCTGTCCAATGGAAAACCTCGCACCCGTCGCACTCAAAATTTGAGTCAGGGTCGTCGCCGCACAAGCAAGGACCCCAGGACCGATTGTCATTGCTGGAACCCATCGTCCTGTCGCAATCGAAACAGGTGCGAATGGAAATACCCCCGAAGGCATTTCCTCGCCACTGTCTTTTTCTTTCATCATATGCCGTGTCTTGCTCCATGGTTACACCAGGCCTGGCATACCCTTCCGGCTCGTCCCATGACCAGGCTGCAGAAGAGTTGAAGTTGATTGCTGGACGGTATAGGAGACAGTGATGGCAGAAGAGAAAGTCTTGGGGCATCCAGGACGTGAGCCTCGACATCAGGACCATATACGTATCGTGGTCCCCGGGACATTCCCATCGAGCTTGTTTGATAAATGGCGTAACGTGTGCAGCCATGGCCTTAGAGGTGAGTGCGAGACTGATCATATTCGCTTTGCATGATATCTTTTGGAAGATGCAAGTTAGGGCGCAAGGTGGAAGGCATTCGAAGGCTGACAGTGCCTTGGGGCTTGAAGTGGCCGTCTGAGACTAGTTTGACATCAGATCGAAGTTTTCGAAAATGATAGCAATTGGGCTGACCGTTTGTGGAAACCAAACCTCACTCAAATCGATCTTGAAGTCCTGGTGTTTTGATTCCTGCCTACGGTGCGGCGAAGGGGCTGAGGAGGTGACCTGACATTTTGTGTTGTTCTGCACCGATGTTTCAGTCCTTGGGAGGGGACAAAACCAACAGTCTCCGTCAGGAAGAGACCACACCATGGTATGAGGAGAGAGCACGTCGCATACACTGCGAGACAGCATCCAAGCCATGTGAGCTGAATACTTGACAGGACTGGAATCTTACAGCATTGAACAGGGCTTTTATCGAAGAAGAAAAGAATGGTCAAACAAGTTTTTTAGGTACAATCAGAATAGATTGTCGATCGAATGGTGACGAGAAAGTGAAAATTACTGGCAGGTGCATTTGCTCACTGCCTGAACTGTAAGCATGGCCTTTGTCTCCCTACCTAGGTACCTGCCATTTGCACTCACTTCACCTACAACACCGCCGGGCAGTGGCTGCAAGGCATCACTTCAATGCAACAAAGCCGCGACCGCGACATCTGGAGCCAAAATCCTTTTGCGAGGACGACCGTCTTTACAGGAGACAACAAAATCTCAAAAGTTATATTGCTATTAGCGACACTCAGATACACAGATGATGTCACCACTTCATTCTTTGGCTGAACCTCACCGATTCCGCATCTGAAGTCCCTTTTCTGCACAGCCTTGCTATCATCCTAGGTACCCATGTATTCTTCTCAGAGGGCAATAGAAGGAGAGCAGAGGGAATGCTCCGGAGACACGCATTGAACGGCATTGTCCCATATGACTTAGGGGATTTGCTTTGTTACCTCAAGGAAGTGCTTGTCGAATAAATAAATGACTGAAATCACTATTCCTGCAAGGACTAGAGGACAGCTTCATAGACGACGTTCACAACAACGAGCAACTAGTCGACGGTAGTGGGGCTGGGACGAACGAGCAAGGCCCGAGTAGTGACGAACTCTCCGATAGGATTGCGGCCCAGGCCGCAGTAGTGTCTAACCCCCAGGATCGATTCCCCTCTCCCACTGATATCCGTGGCTGCGTGCTTTGGTTGTGCAAATCATCCTCCTGACTACTTCGAGCAGTAAAGAAACGCCTAACACGAGCTACATCACCGTGGTAAGGCTCCCAACACTCCGGTCACACGGTTCAGTTCCTCAGAACAGTCACGAGCCACTCGGTCGGTGTCCCTGGCGTTTGCGAAGCCCCCCCTCACCAGAAGTGGCCTCCCACCCAAGACGTCCACTTGACACTTTCCGCCGTCGATCACAAGCCTACCATCAGCCCATTGCTCTCGGGCTTACAAGGAGAGGGCGGAGAGCACCTCAAAACCAAAGGTTGTGCGAGAAGATCTCGGACGAGCATTCAGCGAACAGAAGAAAAACTGCAGCTTGGTGGCGGCGGCGAGGAACAAACGCTCTCTGGCTTCAACGGCGTCGAAGTTGTAGCCAGAGACAGCTCTGAACAGCATGGGTCTTACGTACAACGTCTACCTCGATTCTGCTAAAATATTTGGCTGCAAGGTATACCCCCTTGGTCAACTACCTCCGCGTCCCTTTTGCTAACGGAGCCGGTCGACGCCCTTAGAACTGCAAGACACACCTGGCCGACTTTGACGACATCATTTCACGCAATTTCCGAGGCCAGCATGGCAAGGCCTTCCTATTCTCCACCGTTGTCAACATCAAGCAGGCTGAAGCCATGGAACGCAATATGACCACCGGTAGACACATTGTGAGGGATATCAAGTGCAAGCAGTGCGATGAGACGGTGGGTTGGAAATATGATAAGGCCTACGAGGCTGCAGAAAAGTACAAGGAGGGAAAATTCATCCTGGAAAGTGAGTTGCTTTGCACGGTGACCTGAAAGAAGGGCCAGGCCATCGGTCCTAAGGAGCATCTTGGGGGGGCCATTGGAAGGGACTGGAGTTCTCTAATCTTTGTGCCTGAATAACACCCTTGGAGTCGACCATCCTGTCAGTTTGAACTAGGACGTGTCAGTTCGGGTCTTTGGATTTGGTATAAGGGATATTGCGTTAGAGCAATGAGCGAGCGATACCGCTGCACTTCTCCGCGAAGGCCCATCCAGATGTGGGACGCACCCTTTGCGATCGGGCAATCCCGCCGACTTCCCACCTTGTTACTCTCGATACTGAAGCCGGGCACTATGGGAATTGCTGCGCAGCAGTCTTTTTGAACATCAAATTGTTTCCGGCGGAACTCGATTCCCGTCTCTGGTGGGGGATAGATAGATCTCTGCCCGAAACAATGCCATTTGGGCCGCGCATTCGGAAGCCGTTTTCGACCCTCCCATTGGATGCCTGTTTCTGATGCTCATTAGGCTCGACGGGTTTCTCTTCCACTGTCCAATCTTTCCCTCTTCCAAGCTGTGCTCCCACTGTGGGCAAGCAACACGGACGCAGCTATTGCCTCTGTCGGGATCGCCACAACCTCTAATACTCAACGAGAGCCAGGCGTTACCACTGATGACTGGTCCTAAGAGCGCTGGAATGTCCGCTGGTGTGCGTCAGCCCACCTTTGATCTATCCACACCATTCCCCCGCCATGAACCCTCCGAGGCTGGAATAAACACACCATGTTGCTAACCCGTAAATAAATGACACCCAAAAACAATTCTCCTCCGACTGAGGCCGCAGGATTTACTTGCTTCCCTCACTTCGCAATAGCTCCTCGCCCATCATATAACCCGAGCTAAAAGGCTCCAAATATTGCCGTCGTGTTCTGTCTGCCCAGAATTCCACACCTCACCAACCGATTTAACACACAGAGACAAAGGCCAAAGAATAGCACATCATGGCTTCGAAGGGTACGATGAAGGCGGTCGTCTTCAAGGGCAAGCTGCAAGTTGAAGTTGAGGACAGACCTATCCCCAAAATCCAAGATCCCAAAGACATCATTGTCAAAGTCAGATACACTGCGCTTTGCGGGAGGTATGCATCCAGTCCCCACTGTCCTGACCAGTACTGACAAAGGAATAGTGAACTTCATGTCTTTCGCGGCCATCAGCCGTCCGGCACTGGCTTCATCATGGGCCACGAGTTTACGGGAGAGGTTGTTGAGACAGGTTCCGACGTCAAATCGTTCAAAAAGGGGGACAAGATCGTCACACCCTTTACCACCAACTGTGGCGAATGCTTTTACTGCAAGAGAGGGTTCTCATCACGTTGCGAGAAATGCCAACTCTTCGGAACGGTAATCCTCGACGGCGGGCAAGCAGAATACTGTCGAATCCCACTGGCAGACAGCACGGTCGTCAAGGCCCCAGCGAATATTCAGGAGAATAAGCTTGTGCTGATGGCCGACATCTTTCCGACAGGGTATTTTGCCGCTGCCAACGCATTTCGAGGGATGGACCAGGAAGTGATATCGCAGAGTGTCGTGCTCCTCATTGGATGTGGACCGGTCGGATTATGTTCCCTGGTCTGCGCTCTCGAGTACAAACCCAAAGCTATCCTCGCCATCGACGGCGTTGAGGCTCGTTTGGAGCAGGCGAGAAAGCTCGGCGCCGAGCCCTGGAATTACCAGAAGGACATGGATGGGTTGAAGAAGCGGGTATTGGAACTCTCGGACGGAAGGGGAGCAGACACAGCAATCGAACTGGTAGGTCACAGCAGTGCGTTGGGCATGGCCTTTGACCTTCTGAGACCGTGGGGCAACATTTCTAGCATTGGCGTCCATAACGGAGAGATTCCATGGACAGGAAATCAGGCTTACGGGAAGAACTTGAGAATTCAGATGGGCAGGTGTCCAGTTCGAAGCCTCTTTGAAGAGGCCCTGGACATGCTTGCAAAGAAACAGGACCAGTTGGATTTCATGACTGACAACATCAAGCCTCTCACGGAGGCCGTGAAGTGGTACGATGAGTTCAACAACATGAGAGTTCAAAAGGTGGTTTTTGAGGCAGATAAATGAGCGGTTAGGAATACTTGCCTCCCTTCTGTCTCTAGATCCCTACGCAGGGGTTCACAAGATATTGTAGTCCCTGGGGGTAGCTCTGGCTAATGCAGACTGGATCTCAACCTTTGAATCTCCCAGGATTCCCCATGTTCCCGAGATCAAACAAACTCTGGTACAACGGGTACTACGTTTGGACATGGTGGCTGCATGCGTTCTGGTGGGTCAAAGACGTTTATCCCCGCCACATAGGATCTTGGCCCAGATTCATGATGCCGATGAGAAGATCGGATAGTATTCATGGCATATTATGCGGGTAGATAGGAGGTCAGGGAGGCTGGCGCAAGGCTTCAACGTACAATCAGGCGGTCAGTCGGTCAGTCGGGGCCGAGGTCGGCTTGACCAAGTCTGAGAGGGAGGGAACAGAGCATCGAAATAGCTTGTGAAACTTCATGGCAGGGATTTGCAGTGCCTGAAGGTCAAGAAAGAGTTAGTCCACAGCATTTGGTAGAGACGGAGAAGACGTACTCATACTCTGTAATCACATGGCTCTAGAGCTCGAGTCGCAGGATGCATCAAGCATTAAGCCGTCTAACAACCAGTTGGAATTGGAAGGCCGAAACCCGAAGGTTAGTGAGGCTGGAGCAGGAGCAGCACAGGAGCAATAGCTGGAGCTGTTGCTGTGCCAGTGGCCGGCTGGCCTATGGGAGGGGACCCCCTCCTCACTGCTCTTCGCTGCTGCTGCACATTCGCCGCTGAAGAGTTGTGCTTGGTCGCCTCCAGTTTTTCCACTACTATTTCGTTTGTTTCTCAAAACTTGCTGCATCCTCAACACCACCACCGCATCTCGAATCGCCCTTCGCCGCGCACCTCACACCTCACACCTCATACCTCACACCTCATCCTCGACCTCTTCTCTACCTCATCCCTTCCATCCTCATACCTCGTCGTATTCCTCCTCTCTTCTCCTCCATTCTATCTCCTTCCCCGCGGTGCACTGCATCTTCTCTGCTACGCAAGATCACCTGCCATCTGCTTAGTTGGACTCTTCGCACCTTGTCGATCCGCAGTCGCCCACATCCCACGTCCAGCCCGTCCTCGAGTTAACTCCCTATCATCCTCAACTCCGACACACCTCCCGATAGACATCACGATGGCCTCCGTTGACTCTGCTGCATCTCCAAATCACATTGATGAACCTGGTGTTGCCGACTCTCTGTCCCAGCTTAATGTTGGAGATCCACAGAATGACACTCCGAAGACCGAAGAGGAATATGCGCAATCCCAATTGACCCTACGTGCTATTGTATCAACCAAGGAAGCTGGTGTCATCATCGGCAAAGCGGGAAAGAATGTTGCTGATTTGCGTGAAGAGACCGGTGTCAAAGCCGGCGTCAGCAAAGTTGTCCAAGGTGTTCACGATCGCGTTTTGACAGTCACTGGCCCTCTTTCTGGCATCGCAAAGGCGTACGCGCTCGTGGCCAAGGGCCTTCTTGAAGGCGCACCACAGATGGGTATGGGTGGTGTCATCCAGAATAATGGCACGCATCGTAAGCATTTTCTCCAATCTCCTACTTTTCGACCTTCGCTGATTTCCCCGTTCCAGCCATCCGTCTTCTCATTTCCCACAACCAGATGGGCACCATCATCGGCCGGCAAGGATTGAAGATCAAGCATATCCAGGACGTGTCGGGAGTCCGTATGGTTGCCCAGAAAGAGATGTTGCCACAATCCACCGAGCGTATAGTCGAGGTCCAAGGCACCCCCGAAGGTATCGACAAAGCTGTTTGGGAGATTGGCAAATGCCTGGTCGATGACTGGCAGCGCGGGACTGGGACGGTTCTTTACAATCCGGCTGTCCGGGTTCAAGTTGGGTCTGGTCCTCTCCCTCCCGCGGTTGGCAGCGGTGGTATGTCTGCGGGTGGCAACTTTGGTGGTGGTCGGTCCTACAATCGTACCGGTAACGGCGCGGACTTTAGTGAGACGCGTACGTACAATCGCAGCGCCGATGCGCCACGAGGAGGTGGTATTCCCATGGTCACTGAGGACGGAGAAGAAGTCCAGACCCAGAATATCAGCATCCCCGCCGATATGGTCGGCTGCATCATCGGAAGAGGAGGAGCAAAAATCAGCGAGATCCGCAAGAGTTCTGGGGCCCGCATTTCCATTGCCAAAGCACCACACGACGACACCGGCGAGAGAATGTTCACCATCATGGGCAGTGCTAGTGCCAACGAACGTGCCTTGTACCTCCTCTACGAAAACCTCGAGGCAGAAAAGGGACGCAGACAGCAGGTCTCCTCTGAATGAGGTGCGCATGCTGCCACAGCCCGGCTCCTTGTCCAGCACGACCACTCTTTCCCCACGCTCCTTGAAAATCCCCCGTCCAACCATGTCCCGCCTTCAGACTCGACGAAATGACAGTTCGACTAAAAAGCAAACGGCATTGTTTTTCCTTCTTCGGCGTCGGATAGATGGTGTCTTGCGCAAAGCGACATTGACGAAGCTATGATACCTTACCTCTCGCCTGGGGCGCGAGAATTTTTTGACGAATGATGACCTGATCTCGAGCTTGGACGTGACGAGCTCCATCCATCGATCCTTGTTTAATGTTCTCCAACTACCAAACACCAATGCAAATCGATTCCCGACTCACAAGTGAACTCATCCATTTCCCCCAACCACTGTTTCCCCATTTTAAGCCTCATCGCCACAGCCCTACCGCCCAAGGCTGGATTCTCCGAAGCGAAGGAAAGATTAGACACTGGGTCGGAAAATAGCGGCGGAGGAGATGCCCTTGAAATGTGTTGTCCGTGGCTTATCTAGAGGATATGGCCAACGCTAACCTAGGTATCACGCGGCTGGTGCAGGAGGATGTTCGTTGAGCACCTACTTAACAAAACTCATGCCGGTCGAAGAGAATGAGCGTATCAGACCAGAGGACGGACGGGCCTCCTCTCCCTACGAGTACTTCAGATGAATCCAACAGCGAAAACTTTTCGTCCAAACCTCGCTTAAGTAGTGACCATTTTCAGTTCGTAACATTTCCAGCCGACTGCAGCGTTGATTTGCCCAAGGCGAGTGACTCGTAGATTGGTCACCGCATGTTCACAGCCTCTGACAGGCGGGAATGAGACAAGTCAGCTTCCGAGGGGCGGTATGTGAATCAACGGCAGCTCCGCTCACCATAGGCTAGCCGGGCTCAAATGAGGTTGTGTCAAAGTTCCTGCTGATGCCCGAACGTTGCAGCTGCCACTACTGCTGCATCCTTTTTGCCCCAGGCGCTTCAGGACCCCTGGTGTTTAAACGGTATCGATGGCCAATCCAGTGGGAGAGCCCGGAGTAATGGGGTCCGGAACGCCCCTGCAGCATGGATAGCAGGGAGCGAGGGAGACGTAAGGGACCTGATTCCCAGGCCTCGCGCTGCAGGTTGTCAGATGGAGACCAGTCACGACATGCCCAAAGGGGACAGCTGAAAGCGAACCGAACTATCGCAAAGCGTGAATCACGACTCCGTCTTAGGTGGACAAGACACATGTCCGTGGGATCTGTCTCTGTCCAAGGTCACCTTGTGCTTTTGATCAACTGTATCGTGGACTTCTGGCTTGCGAGCGTGCAGTAAAATCTCTCTAACCAACAGGTGCACCCAGCTCGCCAGCTCTCTGCCGCGCTGGCCCTGTGCATCTCGTTCTCTGGCGTTTCAGGTAGCCGCCCGTTGCAGATCAACAATCCACCTTCGCCAAACCGGGTGACTTGGCCCTCGTCCGGCAAACCACGCTTGACGTCGACCCCGTCGTCCTCGTGGCCTCAAGGGTCTCGCTTTGGCTGGCGTGGGCACTGGGCAGTCAGCAAAACCAAATGCAAATCCATTACTTTGGACTTTTCCAAACCTCCACGCGCGTGATTGCTTTCATGCACTAATATCACAACATCTACTATACAGCAAGCCTCCTCCCACCGAGCCTTGCCTTGCCTGACGGAGCCGTCCAGCTTGGAGCACCGTATTCCCTCCGCTCTGGTGTCACCATCGAGGCACAGGGTTTGCAAGGCACACAATCCGAGCCCTGCGGCTGCGTCTGCGTCTGCGTCTCAACCTCGACTGCACCGTCGTGCAACGGGCAAAAGAACACGACCAATTTGCCTCCCACCCGCTGCAGGATTCCGCCACGATAACCTCGATAACGCCTCTCCCCACTGAACTCGAACTGGTTCGAGTCTACTTATTAGAAAGAGAAAGCTGTACAAAATATCGGAAATCCTGACGGTGCTTCCGAAAGCCCTGCTATTTCCCACGCATCATCAACCTTCCTGCCGACTCTGAGCGCACCCTATAACGAAATCATGTCTTCCCCGGTGCCGCTTCTTCGGCCACCTGTCCCTGGTGCTCGAAGCTCAAGCGGTAGCCGGACCCCTCGTTTGACATTGGGAATTCCGCCTTCACCCAACCAACGACCAGTCTCTGGAGAGGGAGAACAGGCTGCTGAAGTCCCCCGCTTCAGCCTGGCCGCATCTGGAGTGAAGGGGCCACCAAAACTATCTCTTGCAACACCGATGGGAAGTCTCGGTTCAGTGCAAGAAGGAGCAACCAATCTAAGACCACAGATACAACCCTTGAATATATCCGCAGTGACAGGAAATGAAGCCATTAGCAGGCCAAGAGGGGATAGTTTCCACGCCGCCAGCGTTCCCGGATCTGCTTCGTCGTCCACATACTCAGCCCTCTCATTCGCCATGCACGGTAGGCAAGCTGGGACACCTGACCCATCCTCGGCGATAAGTTCGATCTATTCAGAGGCCAGTATCGGCGGGACTTCGATGGAAAGAGAGTCGAGTATGGGTGGGTTGTCGGTGGACTTTGAGAAACTCGCGATCGAGAAAGGCAGGCCGCTCGATGTGGAAGACCTGGACGACGAAGGCTGGGGTGCAGCGAGTGAACAGAAGAAAATTATCGAACTGGGTTCTCTGGGTGAAGGTGCGGGAGGGGCGGTGACACGGTGCATGTTGGAAGGCGGCAAGACCATTTTCGCCCTCAAGGTATGTTTGCATCCACCCGAATTTGTTAGAGGCTCCTGTCCCTGATATTGGACTTCACGCAGATCATCACCACCAGTCCCGACCCAGACGTGAAAAAGCAGATCCTTCGTGAACTCAAATTCAACAAGAACTGCACGTCCGAATATATCTGCCAATACTACGGGGCTTTCATGGACAAATCCTCGAGCACGATATCAATAGCAATGGAGTTCTGCGAGGGTGGCAGCCTGGACAGTGTCTACCGCGAGGTCAAGAAGCTGGGTGGCAGAACGGGAGAAAAGGTCCTGGGCAAGATCGCAGAAGGCGTGTTGCATGGTCTCACCTATCTCAACAGCAGGAAGATCATACACAGAGGTAAGCCACAAAAATTCAGCACCAGGACTTCCTCTCGAGACTTATTGACATGATGCCATGTAGATATCAAACCTTCTAACATCCTCCTCTGCCGTAACGGCCAGGTCAAGCTCTGCGACTTTGGCGTTTCCGGTGAATTCGGCACCAAAGGTGACGCCAACACCTTCATAGGCACCTCTTATTACATGGCCCCCGAAAGGATACAAGGGCAATCCTACACCATCACTTCCGACGTGTGGTCTTTGGGTGTGACCTTATTGGAAGTTGCACAGCATCGCTTCCCATTCCCAGCCGACGGGACGGAAATGCAGCCTCGTGCTGGCTTGATCGATCTGCTCACATATATTGTCGCTCAGCCAATACCAAAGCTAAAAGACGAGCCCGAGAACGGCATCAAGTGGAGCGACATGTTCAAGTACTTTATCGAGTGCTGCTTGGAGAAGGAACCCCCTAGGCGAGCCACACCGTGGCGAATGCTCGAGCACCCGTGGATGGTCGAGATGAAGGCAAAGAAGGTCAGCATGAGCTCCTTCTTGAAACAAGTGTGGGATTGGAAAGACTGAATGAACGACACGCTATCTGGGCCAGAACTGGGGACGCCTTGCGATGTCGATTTGAACATGACTATGCGGAAGCGAATCTTGGATTTTGATGACGCGATCCCCTGGAGGAAAATACGACCGTATTAATGCTGGAATGAAGGGAAGTAAGGATTACTAATGGGCAAGACTCAACGGCTTCGCTCTGAGGCAACCACTCGCTGAGAGGCGTCTGGATCAAGGACAAGCACCGACCAGCCCGAGATGATATTGAGGTACTACACCTTGGGTGTGCGAAACCGAGCCTTTGTCCTGATGGGGCGAAGACTGTATTGTGCCATCAAGGCGGACCTGCAGCGGTTCGATGGCTCAATAGTGCATACTCGCTGCAGTTCGAGCAGCTGGGTGCCCTTATGCATCTATTATCGTTAGATAGAGTTACGGTGAAGTCAATGAGGTCAATGCCGGGACAGAGCGAAAGAAGATCACATTAACCAGCTGAGAAGCGGTGCTACTCTAATTTCACTGATCCCAACTGCCCTGATAGTTGCCCGTGCCGCCGCCACGACGTTCAGAGCTTGGCTTTATGTGCAATCAGTGTGTATCCCCTGGGGTAGCTTTCCAGACGATCCTTTTGCATCTCATCAATATTCCGCATTCCGGCTGTGAGCATGGAGATGTCGAACTCGGCAAGCAGGCACTTCATGACGTGGCGGACGCCCTCTTCGCCCATGATGCTGTTGTTTCGAACTGTGAGTATAGTTTACAACTCGAGTTAGATTTTACAGGGGGATAGTATCCAACGCACCTCAGCCCGTAAATCCACATCCTACCGACCCAGACAAACTTTGCGCCCAAACACAAGGCCTTGATGACGTCCGAGGCGCCTCTCACGCCCGAGTCAAACATGACGGTTAGTTTCTCGCCGAGTCCGGCGTTGACGATGTTCTCGAGAGCGTCGAGGCTGGCAATTGCGCCGTCGACTTGGCGGCCCGCGTGGTTCGAGACCACGATGCCGTCGACACCCAAGTCCACGCAACGTTGGGCATCGGCGACAGATTGGATGCTGCGAATATCAGAGAAATCAGAAGTTAGACGCTGGTGATGAATCTAATTGGGGCACCAGGTTCCACCGACTCACCCTTTGATACAAAACGGCTTTCCGCCACTCAGCCCCTTCCACGTCTTAATCAGCCAGGGGATCTTCTCCCAGTTGAACGCCCGGCCGTGCCAAACATTGTCTATCCACATCGCACCGGCCTCCTCGGGCTGCTTCTTCGGGTCGATCCCCGCCTCTTGCATGCGTTTCTGGAAAACCGGGTCTGCGAGCCCTAGATCCGCGCCGATCCCGCGATAGAAGGCGTAGTTGGAGGTTGCGACGTCGTCATGTCGCCAGCCAAGTTGCCATGTGTCGGTCGTCAGGACACATGCTGTAAAGCCATGGTCGACCGCTCTCTTCATCAGGGAGACAGCCAGCTCATCGTCATGGGGCAGATACAGTTGGAAGAAGCGGACCGGGGAATCGTTGTCTGCGCCTTGAACATTGACGGCGTCGGGCATTTGGTGACCGGCGTCATTCGACGCAGCAACATCTTCAATGGTGCTCGATCCGGCGGTGCTGAGCGCATAAGGCAAGCGAAGCTGGCCCGCAACTTTGGCGACGGGGAGCTCGCCCTTAGGGTGGTAGATCTTGTTGATACCGATGGGGGCAAAACCAATCGGGGCAGACACCTTGTGGCCAAACAATGTCGTGGTAGTGTCTCGCTCATTGACATCCACGAGCTGATGTGGAATCAGTCGGTGGCGGAAAAAGGCCTGCCGGTTCGCCAAGTGAGTCCAGCTGTTGCCAGCGTTGCTCTGAGCATACAGTCTGCCATTGACGGACAGAGATTCTTCAGCGCGGGCTTCAAGCTTATCGGGCCGCGTGTTGAAAGGGGCCACTTTGCCCTCATTCAGCGACCAGAAGGAGTTGCGCTGTTCTTGCTGCCAGTGAGGAGTGCTGCGGTGGTAGAGCTTGGGAATTCGAGGATCACTCATTTTGGGAGAGAAATAGATCTGGACTAAGCGAGAGAATAAAGTAATAGAAACAACCAACCAAGGCCCAAGGATTACAGAGAAGACTTGTTTGAGATACTCGCAGAGGTGATGTGATTTCTCTCAATGTTCCCCTGTTGGAAGCCCAAAACTCACCGTTGGTTTATACGTAGAACCAAAGAACAGCCTTGTGGTCCTCGAACTCGGACAGACAGAGCGATGCATGACATATTGTGCTAGACGGTGTGCTTCCCGGCAGATCGAGCATGATCGTCACCACTATGCATAGCAGGGGGAGGATGACGTTGAGATGGGACGGTAGACGTAGTAGATGCAGTTGATGGACTGAGATGGCGGTGGAGATTGGACATGGAGATCGAAGCTTGTGCTGCAGGGAACTCTTTTATTCGATCGTCAAACGCCACGCCCGGAGTATTTTCCGGGTCACTTTAGGGAGGACTTCACGCCTTGAGGGTTGAGAGAGGAAGTCAATGGTAAGGCCCCTTGTTTGTCGATTGTGTTCGAGGGCGCAGCAACGCAGTCTGATGCTGACTTCGTCCCATGTCCTCTCAGCTAGGTTCTAGGGAGATGGAGCCAATGTTGCCAAGGATTTGCCTCGACACGCCAACACTTGACAATCGACAGCATCTGCCCCAAACAGTCCCATCAAACCTTCATCCTCCCTTCCTTGCGGTATCCTGCTCTGCCCACCACTTCTTAAATGCCTTCTCTGCGTCTTTGAGCGCGTCGAAGCCCAACAGATCTTCCTGATATCGACTGTCTATCCACTTCCACTTTGTTTGACTGCGGTACCAGTCCAGGCTCGCCAGAGCTGCATCCCGCTCCTCCTGTTCGGGCCCATCGTGAAGATGGAAGTATTTCCGGTTGGTGACTGCTCCTAGCACATTGACCGTGGTACGCGACTTGCGCAGCTTCTCATACAGCCTCAGCACGGCTGAGATGTGGTCCTCCGCCTCCAATGTTGCGTGATTGCTCGCTGACTTGTGCGCAACTTGTCCCAGCAGGAATCCCAGCACTGCGCCATCCTCCACCGCCATTGCTGCCCCCTGTGCCTGGTATGGGAGGGTTGGATGGCATGCATCGCCCAGCAGTGCAATGTGATCCTGCGCCCGATCTCGTCAGTCGACACCTCCAACTGGCCGAGGGACTCACCCACCCGTGTCCATTTCTCGAGTTCTTGGTGATGACAGAGCTTCCATTTCAACACGGAGGAAATGCACGAGATCAATTTCACCAGGCTACCGAGGTCAGCATGTGTGCTCGGCAGTCATCTACCACACCTTACATTTCATCCCATCCTTCGAATGTCATCCTCATTTCGTCAAGATCTCCTTTGACCGTCCTAACACCGGTAGGAAGATTGTCCGGTCGAAGCAGCACAAGGTTGAATTCGGCGCCGCCACGCACAGGATAGAACACACAGTGCTTATCAGGCCCCATCCAAAGTGTCACGGTCTTCTTCGCACATAGCTCTTCGACCCGCGGATCATTCAATTCCGATAATTGTTGGCGCGAGAAAGTCGCCCGATATGCGAGATCGCCGGTTTCGACTGGCGGCGAGGGGTGGCCCAGGATGGCGTCGCGCGTGGATGACCAGAGCCCTAAAAGCGTTAAGACGAGCCATGATCAGAAACATGGCTGGACATCATTCACCATCAGCTCCAATGATGACATCTGCCTTGATAACCTCTCCATCAGACAATATCACCTCTGTGCGGTCAAAGTTGAGGTCTGTCACGTTGGCATCCAGCTTCACCTCTGCTCCAAGCCTTTTTGCCTCCCCGAGCAATATGGCATGGTAATCTTGTCGATGGATGACCCTGTTTACGATCAGCTATCAGGAATCTTGTTCTGTGGCGCAGATTGGAACGCACATCCATGGTGCACCCATTTGCTTGATGAATTGCTCGCCTACAGGTCTTGAGGCCAAGAGCTGTCCATCCCGGTATCTTCTCATATCATGCCATTCAAGCTGAACAGCAGGCTTGTCGAACAACGGCAAGAGGCCGTAACTTTGCAAGATCTTTCCTGCATTTGGCGGAACTTGGATGCCAGCACCAATCTTTCAACTCAGTCAATATCATCTCAACCGATTCGACCTTTAGAGTCCACCTACGGCGGTGATTGCTGGTGCCTTTTCCAAGACCAGGACGCTCAACCCTTGATGTCGACAAGCGATGCTGCACGAGAGCCCCCCCAGCCCAGCTCCCACTATGATGACTCTGAAAGGAGATGCGCTTCCCATTTTTCCCTGCGACCAAGTCTTCGGTATGCACTGCAAAGATCCGCCATGGCCGGCACTTATATCAGGACCTGAAGGATAAGCCAACTGAGTTTCTCGTCACTCTTTCGTTTACCAATCAAAGTACACATATCCATCCGCGGGGTTCTCTGGAGTAGCTGTTCTCTTGCCAAAGCCTGGGCACGGCCTTTAGGTGTTTGTGGGTTACGCCGAGCAGGGAGCGGCTTCTGCTGGTGCACGGCAGATCTTAGCCTCGCTCTGAGGTCCGGCGGGACGTCCGCTGAGCGGCAGTTGATATTCCTGTGCCAGAACAGCGCCAAATGCCGAATGTACCCTTCGCTAAACTCAAATGCCATGATCCACAGGATTCCGCTGGTCTGAATACGGGGTCTATCTGAACGGGCAAGCTAAAGCGTCTGGACCCGACATCGTAGTGCGAGACGACCTTAATCTTTGGCATTTGTCCATCAGTTTCTGTCTCGCCAGACCCATTGTCCAGTATACTGACGAGTCGTTCGACTATGTGAGAATCTCGACTCGATCACTTGAGGGCTCACGCCTTCGGGATTGGAAGGTGGCGTGGAGTCTCTACTTGCCCCGGAGACGCTCTGACTTAGCCATGTCGACTTCGAAGAGGAATTGCTGAAGCCAGCTTGCGGCATTCCTATATGCGTGATACCTGCCAATCAAGGCTTTTCGAACAAAGGACAAAGAGGATCCGAGGTGTCGACTCCCATGTATCAAACGATCGGGTTCTTTCTGGTCTCGGCCCTGGGGTTGCCCGGCTCAACTCTACTGCCTAGCCAGGTGAGCACGGCGCAGACATTGGCATTTGAAGTGTCCTGAGTCGATCATGCGGGCACGGTCTTCTGCGTCACCTTGCTTATGCCGGTCCACGTGACGGCCCTCGCTACATCCGCTCGACATCCATCAACGCTGCTGGGGATCCGTGCGAAGACATCGGTCTCTATCGACCAAACATTGGAGCAGAGAAATGCACTGTGCTCTGCGGTGCTTACTTGCAAATACATCACTCTGATGGTAACAAGGGTCGAAGCAGCATCGAGCGACGAAACCCCTGTTTCTGGATCAATCTGCTGAAGCATCCATTCAAGGAGCAAAGACGCATTGGTTCTCATGGCTGAATGCCTACTGTATCTCTCAAGGTAAGAGGATATATGTGTTTTTGTTCCTACCTATCTAGTGTTTCTGATGACAAAGATTCCTTGGTCGTCGAAGAGACAGCATGATTTGTGTGTGCCACTGCTCATAACAGCTCTCTGACGGGGTTTCATGCTTTCTTCGGCAGCTCCATATTTATGATGATCGTCTTGGCTTGCAAATATCCTTTGAGGCCTTCGTAGCCGCTCTCCCTTCCTTGCCCTGACTGCTTGTATCCACCGAATGGCGTCTGCGGAGTTGTCTTATATGCTTGATTAACTCCCACATTTCCGGCCTCAATCTTGGACGCTACGCGCAATGCTCGCGCAATATCGGATGTGAAAACAGAGGCTGCGTCCGTTAGCATTGCTTCATCTTTTCTAAGGAAGCTTTCACTCACATCCAAGACCGTAAGTGGTATCGTTGGCCATGGCGATAACATCTTCCTCAGTCTTAAAAGTCTTGAGGGCAATCACAGGTCCAAAGATCTCGTCGGTAAAGACACGGCTCCGGACATCAGGATTGAGAAGTACAGTAGGTTTCACGAACGTGCCCTTGTTACCCAACCTCTCTCCTCCGGTCAAGACTTCAATACCCTCGGCCTTGCCGTCGTTCAGGAATCCCATAACGCGATCGAATTGTTTCTTGTCAGCCAGTGGTCCATACGCAGTTTCAGCCAAAGATGGATCTCCCATTTTCTTTGTCGCATCTTCAAAAGCCTTCTTGATCCCTTCGATAAACTTTGGGGCAATGCCTTCCTGGACAAAGACTCTGGACGAGGCGAAGCAAATCTGTCCGGAGTTCCGCAGAAAACTGGTGGAATTGTGCAGGAGAGCATTGTCCAAATCGGCGTCATCAAAGATGATAGCGGGAGATTTGCCTCCCAACTCCAGGGAGACGTGTTTCATGTTGGATTTGGCGGCCGCGATTTGGACAGCTCGCCCACCGGCGGCAGAGCCAGTGAAAGCAATCTTGGCAATGCTCATATGCGATGCTAGCATGGCACCTACCGGGGCGGCTCCTATCACGATGTTGATAACGCCGGGGGGAAAGCCAGCTTCCTTGATCAGTTCTCCATAGAGAGCTGCTCCCAGTGGCGATTTTTCCGATGGCTTGAAGACAAACGTGTTTCCAGCCGCTAGGGCGGCTGCCATTTTCCAGGCGGCCAGGGCGTGAGTGCCGTTCCAAGCGGCAATACCGGCGCAGACCCCGAGAGGTTCATAGGCGACGATCTTATAAGAGCCATCACCCTCCGGAGGGTAGCTTTCACCAGCAATCTTGCCGGCAAAGCCAGCATAATAGCGCCAAATTGCGGCTGGGCCGTGGACAAAGCCTTTGGCAACGGTGATGGGTTGGCCCATGCACAGCGTCTCCATTTTGGCAAGGCGTTCGGCATTGGCATCCAGGAGGTCAGCAAACTTGAGCATGATGGAGGCCCGCTTTGCACCGGGTGTCGAGGACCAGCTGGGGAAGGCGGCTTTGGCGGCCGCGACAGCCTTGTCGACGTCGGCCTCGGAAGCCACTTGGACTTTGTCGGTGACTAGGGTGTCATCGTTGGGGTTGTAGATGGACAGGGTCTCTCCTGACGAGGAGGGGACGTACTGGAATGGTGAGTCCAACCCTCAGACGAGGGTGAGGAGGACTTACCTCGTTGTTGATGAAGAGATTGGTTTGGTAAGCCATCGTGATTATATCGAGTGTCGATGTGGGCGGCGGTGTTGAGAGTGAAGACGACGAGCTCACCTTGGACAGTGATTGAGATGGAAAGAGTCAGCGACTGGATGATGGCGGTATTGATTGATTGACCTGGCTGAGATGAGATTAATATATGTATCCATCTCTACTGAATGTAATGGTGAGAAGGTGGTCATGGTTACCCCGCACCGCGCACCAACCGGGCCACGCAGAATCCCCAGCATCGTGCGGCGCTTCCGAGGAAGAGAGATTGATGGCTGTTGGCTTTGCCGTCACCATCTCCAACAATGATATATTGTGTTTTCGATGCGAGCATGTCGAGCCCAGACGTTGGAGCCATCCAGCTTGGGGGCTACCGAGCATTACCTAGGCACTAGGCTGCTATCCCGCATCTGTATGTGAACACCATCGACGCCGACGCCTCCTCTCATTGCTCGCCTTTGACGCACGTTTCGCTGCCTTGTTGCCGTCAGCCAATCAGGCTGCCCTCGCCGGACTTTACTCCATGGCGTCCTCTTCCCTCGAAAGCGACTGCAACCTCGTCCTCTACCGACACCTTGTGCTGGCGACGGGCGCAAAGGACTGCCAATGATGCGGCGGTAAGCAGGCAGAGAGCAAAGCTTCATCCGACAGCGGACCACATGCATGGATGGGCCACCCGTGAAGCTCCAGAATCCACCGACACCATGCCCATGACCTCGTCCGCTCCATCATGCAGTCCTCGCAGCAACCTGTTTCCATCTTTGCAGGCCTCCTCACTGACCTCTTGACCTCCTTCAACACCCTCACATCCCAGCTCTATCAGAACATCATGTTTGTGCGACTCCGCGACGTGCTGCTCTTCGGCTCCGTCACCCATCGGGTTGTGGCCCAGTCCAATTGCTCCTCCCCAGCCACGACCTCCGTGGACTTGACGTGGCATCCTCCGAATGCCACTAATATCAACAACCTGGCATTCGTTGTCAATGGCACTGGCATCAATGGATTCATCTTCAACTCCTCCATTACTCCCGCTTCGACCGCCTACAGCACGTACAACTGGTGCAACATGCCGCACACGCGACGTCAAGAATACCCCCGCATTGCCCAGGGCTACACTTTGGAATATGTCGAGATTGTAAGTCGGATTTCGAGGTTTGGGCGACCTGGCCTGGTGATTATGGCTGACCCTGTTGCAGATTCATCGTCACCACAAGCGCACGCCTTACGCGTCCAACACTTTCCCCCGCGAATCCTACGCCTGGAATTGTGACGACGAGGCCTTGTTCTTCTACGGCGCCCCAGAACCAGATGGATCCTCGGCCCAGATCAACTGGCAAGTGTACACCTCCCCCTCCAATCCCCTGGCCCCAGAGGGGTTTAATGGGACTTGCCAATTTCCTCAAATCTCTGGATCCGGCCTGAACGACTCTCGGCAACATGGTCGCGATCTCTTCGGGGTGTATCATGACTTGCTCGGCTTTCTACCGTCATCCTATAACTCGTCGCGAGTCAAGTACCGCGTCACAAACAATGTCATTACCTCCCAGGTCGCCGGTCAAGTCGTCGAGGGCGAGTATTCGGGGCGCCGGAACGCCCCTCTTTCCGTACTCATCCAGCCTGACAGTGTCGATAGCCTGGAGCCGGCCTATACCTGCTCCGCTGCCAGTGACCTCTATGCCTCTTACGGCGTGGGCAGTGACGCCGCCAATTGGACCCTGCACCTCAATGACTCGGTCTCCTTGTTCGAGAAGCTGGATTCCGTGAGCGGGGTCAACAGCAGCGATCCCGACTGGCACAACTGGTTCGATCACTACTTTGACAATCTCTCCGCGCGTCTGTGCCACCAAAAGCCCCTGCCATGCCAGATCGGCAACTCGTCCAACTGCATCACCGAGAGGGACGCCGATGCCGTCTTCCGGCGCGGCCAGTACGAATACTCGTTCATTTACCGCGACAGTCCCTCGTCGCTCCCCGCATCCACCGCGAGCTACGGCATCTACATGGCCGAGCTGGCGCAGAATCTCCGCGACGCGATCAACGGCACGTCCCCCGTCATCTACATGCACAACGTGGCGCACGACGGGTCTCTGTCCCGCCTGCTCAGCATCCTGCAAGTCGACGTCATGGTCTGGCCGGGCATGGGGTCCGAGGTCGTGTTTGAACTCTACTCCAAGCAAGGGTGTTACTACCTGCGCGTGCTGTGGGGTGGCCAGGTGCTGCGGAGCTCGAACCCGAGTCTCGGCCTGATGGACCTGATACCTGTCCAGACATTCCTGTCGTATATAGACGGTTTGGTCGGGGTGGGCGCGAGTCTGGTGCCCGGCCTGTGCGGAGGAGGTTCATGAGATTTTGAGAGAAACGAGGTCCATCAAACGTCTATACAAGTCACAAAAATGCTAGATGATAGAAGCTGCCCGTAAGGGCCGAGCGAAATAACGAATCACCTGAACAGTGGCACATGGCTGGAAGGGGAATATCCTCCAACGCAATAAAATCGTTGACCGTCGAGATTGATGGTGGCTGTCTAGGGTCACGTCATATCTGCTGCTCTGCTCCGCTCCTTGTCCCTTCAGGCTCGCTTGCTTCCTTTGGCGACAGCAAGATTGAGTACATCGAAATCACACACACGTCCCGGGACACACACGTTCCGGGTAGTCACATGCCCATCGCGAAACTGTCTTCGTGGGTGGGAAATATCTCAACGGGGAACACTGGCCTTTTCCCTTTGGATCGGCATCCTCCCCCAATACCCAACGTTTAGACTTCCTTGTGCTCCACAACGTGGGCCTTCTCCTTCTCCTGCTCCTGGAAATGCTGGCCGGCCTCCTCGAACGTCTCGGCGATGCGGTCGCCAAAGATGGCTTCGATCTCCTCGAGCTGTGGAAACGGGGGTTTATGCGTTAGGACTCAATCTTCAACTTTTTTCTGTGGTGGGGACGACTTACGGTCTTGTTCTTCGTCTCCGGGTAGAAGAAGTAGAATGTGGTGATGAAGATGAAGTCGCAGACGACGAAGATGAGGAAGTACTTCCACGAGATGTGCTCGAGGGCCAGGGGCGTGACCTGGACGAGTAGGATGACGATGCAGTTGAACGTCGCGTAGCCGCACGCTACTCCCGCGGCCCGAATGCAGGTAGGCATAATCTCCGAGGAGTACTGGTGATCTTGTCAGACGGATCGAAGCGGGGGGGTCAAAGACATGCTTTGGGCAGCTGGAAGGACAAAGAGAGGACTCACGCATGGGGCAAACGTGTTGAGGATGCCACCATACCCCCAAACGAGAAAGAACATGCCAAAGATGATGCCCTTGGCCACGCCCAGGTCCGTGCTACCACCGGCTTCGAATCGAGCCCACATGATAACGATCAGCAAGGCGCCCGGGACGATGAAACCGTAGGCCAAGAAGACGGACGACCGGCGGCCAATGCGGTCGAACCAAGGCGACATGCAGGCGACCGCGATGCAGACGACGGTGCCCCAGATGCCGACCAGGACAAGGGACATGACGGCATCGAACCCGCAGATCTGGTAGATAAAGACTTGATAGTTCTGGAGGGGAATGATGCCCGTGAGCTGCTGGAAGAGGAAGAAGTTCATGACCAGAAGAACCCGCTTGCGATATGACGGCTTCGTGAAGATGTCCTTGAGGCCGAGCTGCTCGTCCTGATCGAGTTGGATCTGCGCCTTGATTTGGTGGAACTCGCGTTCGTAGAAGGTGTCGTCCTGGTGCAAGCCGCCGTGGATGCGCTTCAGGACGGTCTTGGCCTCGTCGTATCGCCCTTTCATGACTAGCCAGCGGGGCGAGCGTGGCATCCAGAAGGAGAACACACCCATCACCAGGGTCGGGACCGCCTGGAGACCAAACAGAACTCTCCATGAGGCGTTCCCTTTGATGAAATAGAACCCGAGCCCTATCCACTCGGTGACCGCGTAGCCAATAGAGACGTTCATGGCATATATCATGCCAATCCGGCCTCGGATATGTGGTGGTGCAATCTCACTGGCGTAGACTGAAGAACGAGGTTAGAACCAGGTGGTATAGAGACAAGGCCTGTTGCACAAACCTGGACACAGGGCAAACACAATGCCGCAAGCCAGACCACCAATTACTCTCCCGGCCACAAACATCCCATAATTGACAGCAGCAGTCTGCAAGACGATGGCAGGGACGTTGAGGAGACAGGCAAATTGTAGAGTCCGTATCCGTCCGAATCGGTCAGGGAGGTACCAGTTGGCGATGTTGCCAATAGCACACGCAGCATAGTATGCCGAGTTGAAGGCTCCGATGGTGTTCGCATCGAGGCTGAAGTAAGTCAAGAAGCTCGAGTACCCGAGCACGGAGGTGGTAATGCCTATGGAGTTGTTAGAGGGATAAGTCTCGACAAAGACGTTGCAGCCTGCCATCGTACCAGAATCGTAACCATAGAAAGCAGAACCAAATGTGATATAAGCGAGACAAAACAACTGATACCTATTGAGTCCGAACATGTTGGCTAGTAAGTATGAGATGTTCTTTCGTGAGGTAGGGTATCGTAAAGTCTGAACCGCTTCGAAGGAGGTCGACTACTCGAGGGGAAGAGCCTTTAATACCATGGAGCAGTCGAGCCCGGCTGATCATCCAAGGAGTCTGGGGTTTTGCGGGGAGTTCGAGACCCTGGTCGAATTCCCCGAGGACACTAGATCTCCCAGCATGGAGATTCGTTCCCTTTGTCATCGACATGAGTGGGAAGGTATTGTCGAGCTATACAACGCCCCCGCTCCTCGGGCCCGGCTCAGTTCGATCCAACCGTTCGGGTTCAGGTTTTGACAATGACTCCTCTCTTGTTACCTCAACATGCTCCAGCCCAGGGCAATCTACCGAGGGGGTGCTATCCGCTTGACCCTCTTCATTCTTCAAGAAGCGAATCCTTGGATGGCGGGGTTTGTTCCGCCGCCATATTTGGCTCGTTTCTCTATTTCGCCTCTTCTGGCATCGTGATTTTGTTGGTGAGCCGTAACGCTCTTGTCTTCAGTGCCTGGCTAAGACTGATGGTCTCAAAGCTACCTTCTTGAGGCGCCGCGCCCGAAATCGAATTGCTGTGGCGGCGAAACTTGTGAGGGATAAGTGACCGAGCATTTCATGAGTAAGGATTCGAGGTCGTCCGGCAGCCAATCATATTGTCGAGCTTGGAGTTTGATCAACCCCCAAGAATCAAGAACCTTGCTGGGTCAGGCTCATGTTCCAGAGAGTTTCTCGCCTGGACGAAAGGAAAGATGGGGGAGGAAAGGACCTCAAGACCGATCTGCGGTACGAAAATGTGGGATTCCCGAGAGGAGCGCCGACGAAGTAGTAATGATAGCTTGACTACGAAGGCTTTGAAGCTTTAGGAAGAGCACTATCTGTTCTTGTGCTCTGCCGCCCTGAATACTGCAGAGTATTTAATGCGCCGCGCCACCATTTGCCAAATCACTTCTGTTGGCCACCCTGCCCGCTCCACATGGAAATTGAATATCTCCTAACCCGCCCGTAACATCGTCGCCGTAAAGGTTACCGGCAACTGTGTAGGCTATGTATAACACCATGTTTCCTGTCCGTTACTTAAAGGAACTCTTGTGAGACTCTTTCCTCGCTGAAGCGACTTTTCCAAGTGCATGGTTGAAACTGTCCCGGCGGTTTTCAGGTCCAAATGAACTGCCAAAGCCCTCGCATAGCCTAACTAAGTAACAGCAGCATAAACACGGAAACATGAACATCCTACATCCTAGCTGTGTGTGCGCTCCATGACGACGACCTCACCTCTAGTAGACAGCCTGAGGCTGCTGTCCGTAGGTAGGGTCATATGCCTCCGTTCCATCCTCTCCCATTTCTTCTGCTCCATCACCATATTGCTCATAATCATCTTCTTCCCCACCTGTTTCGCCCATGGTGCCATCGTCATACTCGCCTCCCGTAGCATGTCCCTGACTGCTGGCGCCTGCTCCGGCCATCATCCCTCCACCTTGCATGGCTGGGTGGGCCGCTGCTGCTGACATATGAGTAGAGGCTGCAGTCCCCTGGCTCGGCTGGTTGTAGTAGCCCCCATCTTCATCTTCTTGGTCATACATTCCCTCCTCATCGTCTTGTTGGTGCTGCGGATACTCTTCCTGCTCATTGTAGTCTTCGTACTGCTCTTGTCCACCGTACTGCTGTTGCTGCCCGCCGTATTGCTGTTGTCCACCGTGCTGCTGCGGGTGGCCGCCGTAGCCCCCCATTGATTGCCCGTGCATTTGGCCGTGGGGGTCACCGTAACAATCTCCACCCTGGAGCCCTTGCAAGTTGAGCGTGATGTTCGGGTTGAAGGTCGGGTTGAAATTGTCGTCGACGTCGGTGTTTCCACCCTCGAGAGGCCCGATACTGGTGTTTCCACCGTCGACCGGGCCGATGTTGGTATTTCCACCGTCAATAGGTCCAACGCTGCCGCCGGAGACAGGGCCCAGCGATGTGTTCCCCCCTGAGCTGTCGCTTGTGATACCGCTGACGCTGTTTCCAGTGGTAGTCCCTCCTGTTGCGGTTTTAGAACCGTTGCGCGAACGGGGCCGTACAGAAGTCCCCCAGATGCGCGGGTAGGCGTCTTCGGGTGAGAAACTTACCTGAGACAGACCCAATCGAGTTTCCACTGCTGCTACTCGTTCCTCCCGTTCCGCCCTCATTCGCGTTGGTGCTGCTAGTGTTGCCGCCAGTGTTGTCCCCGGTTGTGGCGGTATTTTGGTTTGAGTTTGAAGAGTCGGCGCTGGAGCTGGCGCTGGCATCGGCCGTGTTGTTGTTGGTGGTTGATGGAGAGGAACCACCATCTAGAAGACCCCCGACAAGACCTCCAAGGAAAGACATTGTGTACGTAGTTGGCTGAGTTAATAGAAAGAGTGATTTAGAGATTGTTCGGAAAGTTTGAGTAGTTTGAATCAAATGAGTATTAAGCCCAACAAATGTTGTTGTGTTGAAGCATGGAGGGAGAACAGAAAAACACGAGCTCTTCGAATCCTTATAGCTAAGTTATGTTCTAAAATCGGGCACTACTTGAGAAGATGAATTGAAGGCCCGACTCTAGAATTATCACCCGTGTTCTCCGTTGGCTTGAATGGATCGAAAAACGGCGACCAATTTTAGCTTCAATTGTGCCAACGTCTACTTCTCTGTAATGATACAAGCCACACTGATTACCAGCTTGCCTCAGTCACAGGGCCCAGGTTTAGGCTGGGTGTCCGCATCCAGGAAAGAGGAGAGTCTCTTCAGCCCCGAAGGAATACCGCTTCGGATAGTCCTGTCAGAGTATGGCCCACACTTTAGCGTGCCCCTCAGTAATAGCGTATTATTGTGGGCCTCGAGGTTATCTTCAACTCGCTATGAGATGGCGGTTGTATCTAGGCTGTGCTACCAGCTATTTTTGATCAAGCAACGTTGGAGGACTGTGGCTTTTGGGCGTCTATTTTCACCTTCGTTGATGATGGGCTTACTAAGTTGCTGGCGGCACGTCTCTTTATCTTTAGTTGGAGAATGTGAATCTCTTTTCAAACGAGGCTGAGAGATGGGCTGTAATCCTAATCTACGCCCTTGAAGTCTAACCTTTGAGGTGACAGTAGATTCTTACCAAACTATTTCTTAGGCTTGTTATACGAGTTGCCTGAGAATCCAATCTTACCCACCTGCATTTGTGCCTCGCATCAACGATTTCCAACCCTACGAACAGAACCCTGGCGTGAGAATCTCTCTTATCCCTGCAAAAGGCTCCAACCTGCTAATATTCATGCCAGAAGCTATGCACGAGATTCGAATTTAACAAAATGAGCAATGCCAGACGAGGATTGGCGTGACGAAATTCAGGAATACGCCCTCCTTCTAGACGCAGTTGCCAGCGGCGACAGATCTCGAGTCGTGAAACATTTGACAGATTATATTCTCGGCAAGAAGGAAGGGAACCAAGCCTCACAGCTGAACGACCAAGAACCGCAAGGAGAAGAAGGGGGGTACCCCGAAGAGGAGGAAAATGGCTACGAATATTATGAAGAGGACGCATATAACGACCCGTATGCCGGGACGAGCACACAATCTGCGGACCAAGAAGGAATGTACACAGGGGAGGGAAGAGATCTGGACTATGAGGACGGCCAATATCAATACGACAATGACTATGACGAGAATATACCTACTGAGTACGGTGTCTCAGGAGCAGCCGAGACCTACTATGAAGGCCCTTACATGTCTGGTGCATACAATGAACCAGAGAATGGGGTTGATACATATGATGGTGAACCATACGATGACTACTCTGGCCTTGATCCCTCCGCTTATGGCAACGAGACATACACAATGGGAGAACCTGAGAGTGCCGATATGAGCTATGCACTTGGAACCTATGATGGATCCAACAGCAACAGTTACGGGACGCATTCATATCCTGAAGGCCAACAATACGGCGGAGAATATTACGATCAAGCAGTGGATGGGACGTATAACGATTGGAATCAGGGTGGAGAGAACTATCATTATCAGCATAGCGCAGACGAAGTAGGAGGTGAGTGGCATCAAGAGTCGGATCACGGGCTTGTCTCAGATGACCAAATCCAGGAGGTCGTCGATGAAGCCGCTCTCAACGAACCAGGAGAAGAATACTTTGAGGAGGACCAGATGCACCCCCGCGACGATCGCACGCGTCCGGAAGAGCAAGCACGTCCAAATGACGACGACGTGCCTCCAAGTTATCATTCTGAACAAACGAATTTGCACCAGCCTTATCCAGAAGATGCCCTCCCTTTCTACCCCCCAACGAAAGACACACCTCCGGAATACTCTGCGGTTCCACGCTACGAGGTCAATCACACTCAGCAGACACAGTACGCTCATACGAGGCTAAACGAGCTGACAGGAGTAGACAGAGACATCAGGGAGACTGAAATCCCTGTCAAGAGTCATGGAGATAGATTCGGCGCTGGCAATAATGCCGATCTAGTTGACTTTGAGGAGGATGAGTGGGAGGACGAGGCTTGCGAAGAGGAGGATGAGAGCATAGGGCCGCCACCATCACCCACTCACTCTGACCTCCACTTCAATCCTTTCAGTCATCAATACGGGAGGGGCATGCCTGGACGGAGACCGGACCCTTTCCTCTACCTACCAACTATTGAATCAAGCCAGCCAAATGTAGTTTGGGAGCGAAACAGGCGTTAGAGCTTGGCACAAGTATATTTGTATAGAACCACCAATTCAAGTCTGTTTGACAGTCAGAACAAGTCTCCGGGAGGAAATATCGAGGGCAGTACTGATTGACTTCGAGGGTCTTTCGAGACCGGCAGAGTAGACGCCCACTTTCACCAAGATCTCGTCCAATGCTTTTGGCACATGGTAGACTTCCGGGGACCGGCCCGCTGTAAAGAGAGAACCACTCAAATAGGCTTTTGATCATCAGCAAGCAGGATAGGTGGGTGTCGGAAGTACGGCACGATGACATGGACTCGATGTCATTCCGTGGTCCGGCCGAGTTACAGAATCTACTACATCGATAAGAATTACTTCCAACATGCCAAGAAGTGTACCCTTGAAATTGGATGTAATGACCATCCGGCCCCAAACGCCTGTTCGTTGGCTATCCGCTGGCAGTTCCAGGGGCCCTGGCCTCGCTTGTTATGTCCAAGTTTGATATGTATCAGCACCGGGGTTTCGGCGATGAGATAATAAACAACCCCCGAAATAGCGCAAGGCTCCCCCCTGTTGGGGCAAAAGCTTAATCTGTAATCTTAAAGCGACTCTATCGCGGGATCCGGGGACTTTGCCCAGCTTATTATGGGCGTATTTTCCGCCCAATATCACTAATATTGGAGCTGCTCGAATGCGGCCGTAGGTGCTTAGGCTGAGCAGGAATAGACAGCAAGCCACACTGCCTTCTGTCATTCATCGTGAATCCTTGGCTGTATCCTTTGCCTCAACGGGCTTAGACGTCTGGATTCAGTCAACCCAACAACACTCATCTACGCCGGTAGAAAATAGATCATCTCCAATTGAAGTTTGACCAGCCCTATGTCGAGCATTTAACTTTGCATAATAATCACTCTCTTCTTTGTGGGAGACGCCGCCAGGGGAAAGCAACAGTTCATATACGTCATTGAAGAAGCACAACTCTACCTGAATCCAAGGAATTACCATCATTCTGAGGAAAGGTCTAGATTGCTCAACAGGCCATCCTGTTCTAATCACCATGGACTACGACTATTACCACCACGACTACTACTACGACGATTACCATGACTATAACGGATGGGACGGGGAGTATGGAGGAGACGACTATGACTACGACGAGTCTTATTGG